TTGGGAGTTCCAACATGATGACTTGGAGGATGTGAGATGTTCACTGACACTTTGGAATATGAACAGCGGCTGTGGTTTCAAAATTAGTATTGAGGATTTTAATAGAATACTGTACTGTCAGTTCCAACATGATGACTTGGAGTATGTCGGTGAAATCGCAAAAGAGCATTTGATGTGATTGACAGAACTCATGGTGAGGATTTGTGCAAAGTCTTATTTCTGGATGATGCAAGATATCTGTTTAAACTACCGAAGATCAAAAATTAAAGCCGATATGCTTTTGAATCACTCCTCGTCTATGGTAATTGACTTTAATTTCTTTCGGATTAAACTCACAGTTGGGGCCACATATTTATATGATTCTCAAGTTGTATAATAATTAACCCAAGTTGCGCTAATCATCACATAGAACAAATATTAGATTTATGTTGCACAAGCTGGTAATTTTTGTTCTTCAAAGTAGCACAAGATGCAAGAAAAAAAAAAGCAACAATTAAAACTCTATAACTTCACATGGTATCATAGTTCAGAAGAGAGAAATATCTATTAAAAAAAAACTTACAAGAGGATAATATATCATGTAGATAGTTGTATGTCATGCGTGATGAATTCAGAAGACCGAGATATACTACTTTGGACTATATATTTCATAACGTCATAAATTTAATGAAATTTGTCAAGTACTTTCCGATTTGAAATTATTTGTATATGTCTTATTCTTTCTTAATTAGAAATCTTCAAATCACAAAACAGATCTGTAATATCATACTAATTTTTTTCCGAAAATCAACTTTCTGAAGACTATAGTAATAATATAGTCCAAAAACTTTGATGTCATTCAATTTCTAATGTAAATGTAAAATTATTTATGCACTAATCTCCATTTTTCCTAAAAAGATAAACACTATGCATAAATCTCGTAGGTTGCAATCCATATATTTAATTATTAGGGCGTTAATCGTTATTTTGTCTAAATAATATACAGTACGACTTTGGCTTGATATATATTTTAGCCATGTCGCAGAAGCCAGTTATGTCGTCTTTTGAGTTCTTTTTGTGACATGTCATATTGAAACTAATTGTCCACGAAATTTCTGATTGAAAATACATTATGCATTTTAATATACAAGTAACAAAGTATAACACACTTTTCCGATGACTATCTCTTTAATTTAGTGATCTTGATTGCTTTTTGAAATTGATTGGCTTTGCTTTTAAGATTTAGATAGATAAAATTTATTAAATGGATATTTCAAAAAATTGGAATTAATAAAAACTTTGGAAGTTTCTTTGGAACTAAGAGATCAAATTTATCTTTCAAGATAATACCTGATAATTTTTCAAAAAAAAAAGAAGATCGTCGAATATTTAAGTTAATATACGTCTAGAGTAGACATTCAAATTAAATTTGTAATTGTAGAATTCATAATTGAAAACATCAACGGAAAGATGTGAGAGCGACATGATATACATGACATTGTCAAGTCCATGTTAATGTGGAGCACCAAACAACGTGTTGTACTCAAAAAATGAATTTGTTCGTTAAGTCTTTGATTCAGTTGATGCGTCATACAAGCACACCATACATTCTTTCAAACTAATTTTGTGTTCTTGTGGCCACTCTTATGTATGCAGGTAAGTAGAGGTTAAGATTCATACGTTCATTTGAGTCAGTAGTATATTTCAACCTGAAACATTTCAGTTTAGACGATAAATTTGAATACAACCTGCAATCAATATTCCTTTGAATTATTCTTACAAACTATGGGGTGTTTTACTCTTGGAAAAATGAGTAAGGATTTGACTTTAATAATCACATGATGTGGAACGATGGCTATTACTACAAATACAAAATCCATGTGGGAAGAAAAAAAGAGATATCTAGTGGTGAAGGATCAATCTAATTTGAATGAGAGCTACTAGACGAAATGGTAAATTGTGTTCCCCACGAGGAAACACATATATTAAAATTGTAGATCCTGTAGACGACACTCAAGTTTGTATTATGCCCCCTCGATATGCTACACCTTTTGAAAGTAAAGGGATGTAGACTTTATACACAACCTATATATCCTTTCAAGTATGTCATAGGAGCTCCTGTATCCTTCACATCTATAATGACATTACCATATCACGTGCTCTGATATTAGGTTTTTAGTTGTTGAAATCCAACGTATATGCTGCTTTGTCGAACGGTGTAACTACAACGGTTTTACCGAGAAAGCACAATTCTTTTGACCACAGTTTACACGAAAAGTTTTCAGTAATTTACACATGTGTGTCCTTTGTAGTACACTACAAGGAATGAAAGACCTTCGCCGGACAATTAGTTGAATATGTTACAATTTAACAAAGAAAATTTTAAAATGAAGTCAATTCCTGATATTTCCTATTTGAATATTCAATTTGGAAAACTATTCTTAAATTGTATTACTGAGTGATATAGTTAATTTTTTTCCATAGATTAGTTCATTATCAATGTAGAAAATTTTGGTTTCAAGAAATATGGAATTGAACAAATCATAAATGTGGAACAAAAGATTATAACATCTTAAATTATGTATAACAAATTCTATGATATATATCTAATAATATGAGAACTAATAATGGTTTAATGAATTTATTCTGCATCAAGACCATAAGTTGAAAATGATACATTTGCTTAATTTATAATCCTATGTTGAGATTAAGAATATGGAATCCTCATTCAATCTTGTTAAAAAAAATTAAACAAAAATGATACGTCAAGAACATGTTATCTTCTGTTTGCTTTATCTAAAACTGCAATGTAAATTACAATTTTTTTCTGAATATCAAAGTAATTTCATTCTTTTTTACACTAAATTCCTTTCAGTGTTACAAGCTACATAATGAAAAGTTATAACATGAAAAGTAATAAAAAATAAGCAAAATACTTTTATTCGAACATTTCTGAAAGATTTCAAAGATTTAGACTTGAATTTTTGCTACATGTACGTATATTTGTAGCCAATATTATTATTATGATTTCGAGTTACATTGCAAAAACAATATCTTTAAAAAATTAAAAGAGATCTTTCAGTATATAATTTTTCTCATTTCTTTGAAAGCTAAAAAATATACTTGATGGTATTATAAAAGTTACATATAATCATGATATTAAGAAAACCGAACTGTTTTGCAATGTATCGAAAAAATGTTGATTTTAAAGTACAAACGTCTTTTGGAAATAAAATGCAGATATACAGATAAATAATTAGTGAATTGATTTTTTTTCGCACTTTTATGCTTTGATGAAGTCATCTTTAAGAGTCGTACGTTTTTTTGTGTATACAAATCCATTTTCTATATTTGAAAATAATTCATCTGGATCTTAATGAAATCATACATAATCCACTTTATGTCGTCAACATCTCCACAGTACTATATGTATTATTTACCTATATACTTAAACTCTTTATATCAAAATATGTTATCATGTAACTTCAAACTCATTTGTAATGCAGATTTATTTAATACGATATAGTTTTTTTAGATTAATACATATCTTTATGGTCTCCATTGGAACTTTGCTTTGTCCTTTTGAAATAAGTTAATTTTTTGATGTCATTTAAAAAGTGATTTTGAGAAAATAAAATATCCTACCCGAATAATTGATGCATTGTATATAGTTTAGATTACATATATTTGATCTCAAAATGTAGATTATTATTGTAGATCCTAAATGTAACGAAATTACGGAATGAATATTAATCGTGATGATTCATAGCAAGTGGATTGACAATTGATACTATCTCCATATATAGAACATGGAAAGACATCAGCATTTTGAGTCATTTGGACAAGTGAATTATACATTCTCAAACATCATAGATAATTGAAGCACATAACATCAACGTTTCTAAATGCGTACGAGAATTGAAGTAAGGTGAATCATTAATTTACTAACTTTGGAATCTCATGAAATAATATATAATACATATATATAGTCTTGGATCGGTAGCTAGTGAAGCAAAAAAAACTTATGTCTGCACTTTACAACGTGATGAAATTAAATGGATATATGTGCATGCGCAGTTACAACTAGCTCTTTAGTTTCCAGCATTCAAACTTTCTCCACATATGAATATTCATGAAAGTTTTAAATCTATAGTTTATCACTTTTTTTTCTATCAGATTACTTTTCATTTTCAATGTTTTCTACAAAAAATGGGTTCCGACCAACCTAATGAAATGAGCAAGCTATGTATTGATCAATGGTATGCTCCAATTGGGTTTGGAGTCACCATCTCAAAGGTGACTCATTCGCATTCCTCCAAACGAGACATGTCCCTATATACAAATCAAACGTAAACACGTAACAACACTTGGAATTCTAAATTCACAACTGGATCAAGAAAGATAATTGGGCATAACATTTGAAGAAGTTGAAAACAAGGGGATGAATTGACTTTGGAAGATTTGGATATTATTTTCTACTATAATATAATTTGCAGTAAGAGTTTAACATGTATTTTAACTTCGTTAGATACAAAGCCGTGTATACTTAGATGCAAGTAGTAGATAAGGAAAATGAAAGTGTAGATGATTTTTTGTTTTGAAAATTTTACTAGTATTGCACGAAACATAAGTAAAATAAAAAAGCAAACATGTATTTGTTTAAAGTTTTAACTTGTATAGTGAAAATCCTTTCGTCTATAGTGTATTACAGGCAACCCCTTTTGATCTTGAAAGACAGGGTGGGCATGCCTCCAAAAGTTTTGTTGTGACTCCTACGCTAGCTCCAATATTATGTACACTTCCATATAGATACTTGACATATCTTTGGAAGGTCGGTGGTATGTCACAGTGTGTTTCGATTGGGAGCGTGGTCTCATCCTACACCAGTTGGTGGTTTCATACATGCAAGGCTTGTGGGGTATTCCCAGTCAACTCAGATCTAGATAAAGTCGTCGCCGGCAAATATCGAATACACCTCGAGGGACTTTGAACATTTCGTTGGGGACTTTAGGCTTTTTGCCTCGGGAACTTTCGTTCGCGTATTTCAGTCTCCATCTCTACCATGTACTGTACAGAATTCGGACTTTGGCGCAAGTGGATTAAAGTGCACGAAATTGAGGCGGAGGGCAAGAGAGCACAACATTACAGAAATAGGTCCGGGACCCGACCCTGAGAAAAATTTAAAGCGGCGATCACGAGCATGATTAGATCTACAGGCTGAATACACGACAGACCACTTTAATGTCAGACTGGTTGCTGGTAGATTAATGCCTGTTCCTGTTACTTGCAGGTGACGACGGTTGTACAAAGACATCAATATGTTGGCGCGTACTTAAGGTTAAGGACGCACTCTTCAGTGTATCGTGCCGTCCTCTCGCTCGGTATAAATCACCGCGCAGTCATCGTGGAGGCATTGGGCGGGCAGATCGAGTCTCGAGGAGCTGAAGAGTACTTTCGTCCGTGAGAGAGGGAGAGAAGTACGCAGCGATGGCGAGGCCTGGTTGTTGTTTGATTCTGACCATTCTGGTGCTTCAGCTGTCGAGCTCGTTCACGGAAGGAGCGAAACTGCGGATCTTGGCTTTTCATCCCTACCTATCGACTGCTGAGGCCACGTGCGCCTCGATTCGGACGTGGAACTCTGCCATTCTCAACCTCGCGGAATTTGTAATCATCGCGCTCAGTCTCTCTCAAGAACAATTGCTGTTGCTCACGTAGAGACTAGATTCAAGTCACTGTCTTGGAGTTTGCTCGAGAGGATTTCTCTCTACAGCGAGAAATCCAGTGGGTAGCTCACTTGCTGCTGAATCACTCGTGCCATCCCCTGGGATTGAACATGAATGATCCGAACATATTTCCCAGTGTTGCCCATGGTACCTTTATCTGTGTTGGCCGGTTTGTGTCAGACACGCACTGTTTGATTTATTGTTTAAAAGTCTTGTTTGGTAGACCATCATAGACGGGACTGAAGAATCCCGACTGAAGCAGCTGCATTTTTCGTGACAATGTATGTCATGTAGTTGACCTTCCTCACGATGTGTGTCGGTGTACTGAGCGTATCTGTGTTTGCAGAATTGTTTGACAGCCCCGTTCACTGAACAAGGCGGGAGGAGCTGGTTCTTGTATCCAAATGTAGGTCACACGAGCAACCTTCCTTCTGCCTTCCTTCCTTCCTTCCTTCCTTCCTTCCTTCCTTCCTTGCAGTCTGACTGCTGAATCTGCACTGCCTTCTACATCGGGTCTTGGTTTATCGGGTTCGTCGTGTTTGACACATGGAGTAGTTTCGTGCCGACTTGCAATGACTGATTTCTGTCTCTTTGAGCTTGGCGAACATGGTGAAGCTCGACTCGTGCTCACCACTTCACTTCACATGCAAATGTGAAGGCTGATGCATGAGAATGTACGAGACTGTGTGAAACCTGTGCCGATAACATATATGTGCTTTAAAATACTATTAGATTCTATCAAAATGCAGTCCATGCGCTCGAATTGTGCTCACGTGTGAGTGTCGATCCCCAACGTGGCCCGGACTGGCTCGATCTCTTAACTGCAATTTTGTATCGTACGCAGAACCCCAACAGGATCGAGGAAAGTATAGCATATGTTATTGACTACATGCACAAGACTGGACCTTACGATGGAGTGTACGGCTTTTCACAGGTTTTTTGTTATACAGGCCTCGTTCTTTGTCTGCATAGTCAAAATTTCAGAATGTGATTCATTTCCTTCCCTAGCTTCTCGATGCTCATTGCGTACAGAGGATTCATTCGCAGCTCATCTTTGCTACAGGGAGCTATGATGGCTGCCTACATTGTTGCAGGGCAAGAAAAGGTACGCGGAAGATGCAATCAGCGCACAGTTGCTCAGTCCTTAATTGACGTAATTAGTGAAGTGTTCCAGCAGCAGATGATCAGTGCAAGGGTCTAGACCTCTAGTACATGGCAGTTGAAGGCTTGTTGAAGATTCGAGAATGTCTCTGAACCCTTCTGTCCTCTGACACAGAACATGGTCTTCGCTGGCAAATCATTTTCGGGCCTTCCTCGTCTGCGCTTTGCAATTTTACACGAGGGAGGGCGGTTAGAGGGCGTTATCGATGAGGTGTATAGTACTCCCGTCAAGGTTAAAACACTCCATTCGATCGGTAAGTGAGGATGGCACTCCTGCGTTGCACGACCGATTTCTTCAGCCCACCGGATCGAGCATTCCGTGCTCAAATTGTAGACATTGTGGAGTGTGAAATTCGATTCCATTTTAACTGATGGGTTCGTGTCCTCCGTGTCTCTACAGGTAAAAAGGATGCACGCCGTTGGCTAGAAGAGGAATGGCCTCAGTATTTTGTAAATCCGACAGTCGTGCGGTCTGAAATGGAGCACACGTTCTTGACCAACCAAAACATGGGTAAAGTTACTATCTACATTCGAAGCAGTTCTGTTTTCTCGAAATTGCCGATAGTTGAGTAGATTGCTGGAAACTGATTCCCGTGTCATACATATGAGGAATTATCGTACGCAATAGTGGTCGAGTAGATTATCACAATTGAGAAACAATGACAGAATTTAATGTCATTAATTTGAATTTTCTCTGGAATTTGGAAGGGACAGAAAGCTGGGCACCTCTCAGATGCAGTGAGCTTTGAGTTGTTGAATTTTGATAATGCGCTTGCCACGGTTTGATCTTCAGCTGCTTATGCACTGATTGTTTGCATGTCACAGATGCAGAACTTGTATCAACTATGGTGAACTTCCTTAAGAATTCTTGAGCATGAGCGGTATCGGGAGCAAGAGGATCGATTTTCCATCGACCATGAAATGAAGTTCCGGTTTGTATATGTCGACCAGCGAAAGATGTAATGAAACTTGTCATATGGACAATAAGAACACGCCAGCTCTCCTGATTCTCACGTTCTGATAATGAAAATCAGTTGGCGGGGTAGGACATAAATTGGCGCGTTACGGGATTCGAAGGGGGAAAGGCGATACGTAGAGCAAAAATACAGCTTTCACCTTCTGATCTCTGCATATAAGAGACTTACTGAGCTTTCGACGGCTTTTGTTGCGTCCCAAATGAAGAATATATGCTTTAAGCTTGTAAATCAAAGACCTCGTCTAAGAAGCTGTTGGAATAATGTTTTTGGCAAAATACTCTAAATCGGCTGCTATGTGTAGCTGCTATGGTTTCAGCTGGTAAATTAGCACTGTAACATGTCGAGTCGGATCACATTCATCATTGTGGTACAGAAGGATAGATGTTTACCAAGGATGCAAGTCTCTATTTGATATTCGTCAATAAGCAAGGAACCTGTTTAACCAAAAGTTGGAACAGGCGAAAGAGCTACGTACCTTTTCATTCCTACTTAATAATGGCCAAAAAAATTTATATTGAATACAAAAGCATAAAGGCATATCTTCCAGCACATCAAATACTTTATCTTTAAAAGAGAAGAAAAGAAAAATCAGTCAATGTTCACATCTACTTCGACGGTAAACGATAGCAATGCTTGTTGGATTTGAGTAAAATCCAAAACAATGCAGCTACGGAGTAGAAGAACATTGATATTAGAGGTGAAGGAAAGAAATGGCTAACAGTGCGACCCTAGGAACATTGAAACAGGACAAGCACCTCCGTGTACGGAAGGAATCAAGAGCTAGTAGCAGAGTCACCGTCAGATGGCCATGTGAATATGTCCTGGCTAAAGAAATTAGATAGACATGTGCAGCTCGCGACGGAAGCATTGGCTCCTGTGACATCTCAGAAGGCTCACCTGTGGCTATGATGCTATTATCGCCAAGTTCAAGGTTTGGGTGGCTAGTGTGTCTTTGAACGCGTAAACCTATAGCGTCTCGGAACTCTACCTCATAGGATTGAGATATTAGTTGAATATATGCCATCTGAAGCTGAAACGGCTCACCTTCAGATGGCATATATTCAACTAACTTCATAACAGACCTACCTAAAATCTTTTTGGCATTTGACGCTCTAGCCTAGAGCATCACATGATTGTACTCATTTGCAGCCAAAGTTGTTTCAGATTTGACACCATTGCAAAGGATAAGGTTTTTAATGAACGCTTCTCTATTTCCTTTATATGCGTAATATTTTTACAAGAATAGTTTTTGTATACGCCTTTTTCATGCAAGACAAAATAAGAAAGTTCTTAGATTACAGTATAGATTTCATTATGTTTTCAAGTTACTATTTACACAAAACTTCACATATATTCTTAAAATATTGTTGACGATAATTTATCAAATTACAGATTGATCATAAGTAGATATCCTTTAGATGGTTTTTCAAAATAGATTTATTAGTTGTGAACTAAAAAATTATGTTTTCATTCAGCAAGGTGTTGATTGAATTCTCTTGATGGCACTTTTATTTATTTTATTTTTATAATAATATATATTGCACAAAATAATTTTATTTTTTTCAAATTTAACCTACGGTTTTTCAATCATACAATATTTTGATTTAAAAATATTATCTGATATTTGTAAGTTATTTAATTCTTAAAAGAATTTCTGTTGAAAAAATACATGAAAACTTAATCGTTTGAAAAATAAATCATTCAATTCTTCTAAAAAATGACGTAAAATATTTTTAATGTATAGTAAAGAATGAGTTGTCATTGGATGGAGATGAATCTACATCTTTGAAATATTCTCAAAGTTAAAATTTATTATTTTTTAAAGATGTTGATTATCCATTTTAGATTAAAATGACAACAAAAGATCTATATTTGTGGAATTCTGTTTATTTTCAAATCCCAAAAACTGATATAAATCCTGATCATATTTAAACATCTACAATCATTGGCCGAGATTCAAAAGTGATGGAATTGGATATTGTTAATCTAAATATCAATTAAGTGAAATAATTTCATATCAAGTCAAAAATAAAGATTTTTTTCTTGTAATATTCAGTCAATAATTATTTGTATATGTTTCAATAAATAGACATAAACTTATGAACACAATCAATAAATTTCCATCTTTGAAAGAATCGCCAAATCTTAAAGAATATACATACTTGATTTGAGTTTACAATACAATTGTAATAAATTTTAATTCACATGTTCAAAACAACCACAACTAATTTCGTTACATAAAATCTATGTTATAGGAAATTCTAATTTTCACACCTTTTTCTAGATTCACATCTTTTTTTCCGGTCCGATTAAACATATTAAATGTTGAGTGCATCTGAACTGAACACGCCACACAACAGCTGATGGAGTTTGCCGCGTGGAAAGAGCTGAACAAAGATCTCACAAACAGCTATGAACAAAGATGGAGTGGTCCTCGTCATCAGTAGAACCTCGTGGTTTTGAACTGAAATCAAGACAAAAAGAACTTCACGCTGAACCTGACACATGAAACGAGCTAAACATATATGCACACGAGGCTAACCGGCTGTGATTTAGAGATAGTCTTGCTTGCAGGTGAAGGCACAAGAACAGGAACAAGACAATCACCATTAGAGACAAGTTTCATTTCGAATAGAGTTAAACCTCTCAATAGTGTCAACTCTCATTAGTGATGTAAAATTCCAGAACCATTAATTTCTAAGTTGAAAATCTGCTCAATATGAACAGTTTGTCACTATTTCCAAAAGTGACATGATACTATCCAAAAGTGACAGTTTCAAGTGTAATTTAGAAGTTAAAATTCCTATCATTCCTGCAAAATTACTAAGGAATTTGACATACATTTATTAAAAGGTCTATCTCAACAAATCATTCTTTCTGGGCTTCAATAAAATATTTTGCTACATATATTATCATCGATTGTTTCAATCAGATTTTTCTGTATTAATCTAAATTCAAACGCAATTATAAAGTCTACGTTAATTTTGAAACCAAACAAAACATTTATAAAATGTACTAATACTAATGTAAGGTACAATAAGAAATCGATGAGATTTCTTTTTATAAGTGACACCTCCCAATAGTGACACCCAACTCTAACACCAATGTATGTTATTACAGTAAAACCCTTTTAGCCAATACCAATGGGACCGCTCACAGGTTGTAACCTAGGAGGGGTTATAAGCTACATTATGGGCTCACATTGGGACCCACACAATGTTATAAGGTAGGTGAGGTTATAAACTAACAGAGTATAAGGTACGAGGGGTTTTACTGTATTAGGAGATTATACTCAAAGTTACGCACTTTAGTCTTGTGAGTGACACCTCCCAACAGTGACGTAAAATCATAGCACCAATGTACGACACTGTTGGGAGGTGTCACTTATTAAAGTACGCAAGTGTGGAGTCTGTGGTCAATCAAGCCACAACTCAAGAATCTGCCAGTAGAAGTAATTGAGTTAATAAAAAGATGCACTTAAATTTGTTTTGTTCAAAATCGGACTGACAAAAAAGGTATGAATCTAGAAAAAAAAGTGTGAAAATAGATGTTATACTCAAAATTAATTATTTCAAGATTTAAAATATCACAACTGTAACAAATGAAGCAATATTTGCAATCAAGGTATCATTAATTCCAAAATCATATTGCAAAAGTGATGTTATAATCACATTCTAAAGTAATTTTCATGAACTTTGATATTTTCTTGACAAATGTATTGGCCAACGATTCATTTGAAATGTACTTTCCAGTACTGTACAATATTCACCTCCACTTTGATCTGATAGGTTGATTAGCTAGCAAAATGAAAATTTAGATTTCTCAACTTCTTAGCATTTTTATCACCTTCCAAGGTGTAGTTTTTTTAAAGTAGATTTAATAACTACCTATTGTAGGTTTAATACTAAACTCATCTCAAAAAGTTGACACTACGTCGACACAAATGATAACAACATGTTGTAATAATTGCTATTTCATGGCGCACAAATAAAAAAAACACATACTAGTATATTATACTTTCTTCATACGTATCTAGTGCTATTCACTTTCATCCTGCAACGTTTTGAAAGATTATGCATGCATCCATCGTCATATTCAAGATTTCCAAGCAAAAGGTTCTTCGTCAATTCTATTGCGTTTAGACTTTACTTGCAAGTAAATACGACCACGAATTTCATCTTTGTGGACTGACCCATAATCAAGACGGTCGGCAGTTATATATATATATAAAAATCAGTATGTCAGCCAACCATTTTGATCCATGGACCGTAACCCTTCCATAAATAAATGGATAAATATACCATCATGGACAACTGTAGGGTTAATTTGCAGTACTGGGTGTCCAGCATGCGTAATTACGGCATGACCGACCCGGAGAATTTAGAAAAATGAGAGAAGCACTAACGTTAGTGACTACTACCAGATGGTAGAGTCGAGAACAATATAGAGGTGCGTGAAGTTTGCTAAAAAGGATGTGCCTCCAGTGAGGATCGAACTCACGACCTTTCCCTTACGAAGGGAACGCACTACCACTGTGCTATAGAGGCCGGAACCATGCTTCCACTGAGAGTTGAACTCAGGACCTCCCGCTTACTAAACGGGTGCTCTAGCCAACTGAGCTATAGAAGCTACGTTTTGAGTCGAAATCATCGCCAAAAAGACACACGTGTAACTTTCGGAACCAAAGTTGAACATTTGAAAGGCGACCTTACTCAAACAGCGATCGTACCAATATGTGGTGCACCGTCTGCTCCATCGGTCGTTGTCACGATCTGCGCATAGAAACTGCAACCGTAACGTGGATCTGGCTCCCTCTGCCCTTCTTTACAGTTTGCACATTCACTGATTCTCCCCTTCCCCGAAAATGCATTTCATACTCGTCCGTTGGATCGTGACGAGGAAGAAGGTTTGGTTTGATAGTATTGCTCGAACGATCTGCTCACAGCAAACGTGATGGCTTGACCCAGGCCAGCTGCTCCTGAAACGTATAGGTTCACTTTCTGAATCCTGCTGCAGAATCTCGTGGGAGGGTCAGAGCAATTTCTGGTTGAGGATCTAGTCATAACGCAGCTCAATTCAATCTCAAACTGTGTCAAGTTTTCTTCCCACGCCGATCCTGGAAGATACATATGAGAGCGACCATGACATACACCTTCTGATACCGGCGTCCCATACCAAAATTCTGTGCTCAGATTATAACACTGATTTCTGATATGCTAGACGCATGACGCAGGTATCGCTGTTGACATTCTGGTCAGGCGAGAGACGAGGTGTGAACTGAACCCTGTGTCGCGTGTTATCGATACTATTGTCGTCGGGAGATCGATCAAAACAACGACGAAGAGTTTGCTACTAGGTTATGCCAAACTCGCCGTTACTCCTGCCAATTTCACACCGCGTCGGTCTCTCCGGGATATTACAAGCCGAGGCAATCAAACCGTAGCCTTTCCACACTGTTGGCATTAAGCAATTGAATGTTGCAGTGCCAATTGGGAACCTGAAGTCTAATTCATCAGAGCCTTCGTGTATCGGAACCGATCAGCCGCTCGATGAAGCTTGCTTCAGCTGATGTTCCTTTGAATTCTGTGGACCCGTGGAAACCGTGACGAAAGCCGACGTGGAGCAGCAGTGTGAAGAAGTTGCCGATCCCTACGAGTGTTGCACTTGCACCACCTAGGTGTGACTAGCTCACAATCCCTCGAACCTATCACTGCCATAAGCAAGAAGTTCACGTCTGAATCCACGTACAAATATACACACTATCTCATACAATGTACTTGAATGGAGCGGAAAAGGAAGTCTGGCTGGGCGTAAATATAAATTCTGGGGTTCCAAGCTCGAAATTCATAAAATCAACGCAACATCTAGTGGAATGCCACATTGTGGCCGAAAGTGTTACAAACAAATTCACGCATTTGATGGCAACGTGTGACAAATATAAACAATATAGTACTTATGGATTTCTTCTCCTCCGGTTAGTACTCATGCTTGCTACTTCATTCTGGAACTTAGATGGGAAAACCAAGTTCAATTATCTATGACACAGCACCAGATGCACATCGCCACTTTACGTCGACACTGATTATGAAATCTCTCTCCCTTAAACTAGCATTGTTGTAGATGATCTCCTCTGAATTCTTACTTTTACAGCATCGTATCGTTCACTATCAAGAATAACTACAAGATCAAGGTAAACAAACATAAACTATTCGCTCATATCAGGTCCGAAAGTGGTCCTAGGGTCGACATCGATGCGAGGTTCGAATGCAAACGCTCGATGCAGCATATGACTGGCTTCAGTCTGACTTTGGAGATTTGCCATCCACGTGTTCTGACTGTGACCCTGTCTTCCAGGAAGGGTCAAATTAACGCTTGCTGCTGCTGCTGCTGCTGCTGCTGCTGAGGATGCCAAAGCCGGTCTGTTGAAAGAGTTTGCTCTAGAAGAGCTGGATGAGCTGCCAGCAGCAGTAGTAGTACTAGGACTGGCAGGAGTCGGATCGAACACGAAACCAGAGGGCGTCGTCCATGCCTGCGAAGGCGGACTGTCTAGCCTGAACGACACAATCTGCTGTATCTCAAAATTGAAGAAAACAATTTGATCTCCAGATACTCTTTTACCGAGAGGGAGAGTCTGGAGGTATTTCAGCCGCATTAAGACCGGAGGCCACTGAGGGAGAAGCCCACCACCGTGGACACTTTGCTGAGCAGCCTGATTGTCGGCAGACTCTTGAGAATATATCAGCACATCCATTGCGTCGACCGGCATCTCACTTCTAAAACACCACTGGAACGCACCACTGGGACTGACGGATGAAGAACTCTCGAATATGCGGATCTTCACGCAGTCTCCGGAGAAATTGGTTCCGATTGCTACCAGAATCAGGAAATTGTTTCTCTCAAAAAGAAGTATCGAGTAGACCACGAAGTCATGTTGCGCGGTGAGAAGTGGTAACGAGCAAGACTCCCATTCGTAGTGTACGACGTTTAGCCATCTCAGATTCCCGAGAGTGCCTCCATATGCCGGGGCCTGGCCAGGGTTGTAAAGCTCCAGAACGTAAGTCAAGTCGTCTTCGTCGTCGTGAAATCGTTTAACTCCCGTATGCATACAATCTGGAGGAACCTGTACGCCTGGGAGTGTCTGCCATTCATTAGTTCTGGAGGAGAAAACTCTTAAAATCATCGTCGTGCTCCTGGACTCGCTGCTACTGCTGGGAGCGAAACTCGTCGGCAACGTGGTTCCCATGATCAGGAATTTGTAGTTGGGTCTGGGCTTGGTCGTTGTATCGAGTTTCGCAACCATCGATCTCACGGAAGTCGGAGTTTCATCAGAGCTTGCTGCGAGCTGGCAGCAGCCCCCGGTGAGAGGGTTAAGAACCCAGATCGTTCCGACTTGCGGTCCACAGGGCTGGGGGCACAAGACGCACACGAACATGAGGCCGAGGGCACTCGTGTCGGCGTAGCACATTTGAGCTGAGGACGAGACGGGAAGTGATCTGACGAGCGTAGCAGCAGCCTGGGGCATCTTGTAGCACTCATTGGGTCCAGCGTCGTAAAAGTATACTTCCTGGAAATTGCAGACATCCAGGAAGGTGAGCCATTTTTCCTCAGGTCTATGCTTGGCCCAATGTTTCGTAGCAAAGGCGCGAGAGCAGAGGAGCTCTTTCCATGTTTTGCAAACCAGACGGCTCCTGACTATACTGATCACTGACAAGCGACCGAGAATCTCATTCTTCACGAAAGGACTCAGCCAATTAAAATGAAACTGTGCATCTGCCTCGACCTCCTCCCAGTCCTGAACCTCCCTGATGCTTGGGACTGCGCTTGTGCTTGAGCTTGCGCTTGCGCTTGTACTTCTGCTCACCATCACCTGATCGCTAGCGCCTGCAGGGCTGATGCAACACAATAGGCGTTTGAAAGATGCGGACAATCTCCCATTACTGCTGTCGGAATCCGGATCCATCCTTTCGACAACTTGAGCCGACCGAGTCTTTCATCGATCCATGAATCAATCAATCAATCAATGCGTACTGAACAAACTGAACCTAGTCTGTACCCACGGTCGAAAACTTTGTATGTGGAGCTGTAATATCTAAAATGTCATGGGAATAGTGCTGTCAACCTTCTGACTGCTTCAAATCCAAGCATCAGCAATCATCAGGCAATCTGCACGAGGAGTCCCACAATATGTCGATCATTCAAACCCCATCCGTGTTCTCAGCATCGAGCTCGACAGCGTTAAATTCGGAGAGACTCGGAACCCGAGCTCCTCGTCCTCAGCGGTAACTTCGAAGACCACCGCTCCCAAACGTACACTACTCATCGCTGGACGTTGGACTCGAATGAAAAGTTCAGGCCAGTGCAGTTCGTTCAGAGGCATGGCCAGTTTGAATTCGGATCATCGTCCTTGACGACGGTAGCTGCCGGACTTCTCAGGCTCGATCGGGATGGAAAATGTTGTGAATACAGTGAAGTGTGTTTCGTCTCATCTCCGTCCAAAAAACCGAAAGCCCGTCGTCGTGTGGTGAGCTGGAAGGGGACGGCAATCTTCCGATGTTCCAGATACTGAGCCAGGTGCCGGAGTTACGAAGTCGAGCTCGATCTTATTGAGCACTCGTGTGAACTCATGCGAGAACACTTGGGTCTCTTTTTCAACGGGTGTGTGTAAACACGTGGGCGATCTTTACCGACTCGTGTACTGCAGATTTCTTCGACGTTGTAACATTGTAAGATTGACGCTATCGAGTGCATGGGGTGTGGATTCCATGGAAATCCTCGATTAGAACCTATGGAGCAGTCAAGCGCACTCGCAACTAATCTTTGTTTCTATTGGTTTTTTCATACCTTTCTTTGATAATACTTTTCTCATTTGATATTGCAGTAAGTTTACTTTGTTTTTTCGTTATAGGAGATTAGTTCTCATGGATATTTCATATTTCAAAAATCAAATATAAATATAGCATTTAATCAATGAATCAGTAATTTTGTAATTTATTAATTATAACCAAGTTATTTGAAAATGTTTCAATATTGAGTATTTGTGAGGTCTTATTTTATTTTATCTCTATTCACTTTGCACACATTTTCATCAAGACCAAGCAGAAGGTTCCCTCCTATGGATTCAGCCCGGAGAGAGAATTTACACAGCATGTAGAACTTCCGGCTCCCTCCGATGAGCCCAGGAGATCAAAAACTCCGACAAAACAAGGCCAACAAGACCAAAAACTCCTTGCAGCTTCTCTCCACCTGTACAACTTCCCTCTGCATTTTTTGTAGTCTAAAAAGGAAAAATGATGGTTAAAATAAGAGTATAGAATGATACAATCATTTTACATAGTGAGAACAACAATATCGATTTCATTCTGCCGTATCTCTTGGACTAATACATTCAGATTCGCCAAGGGCCAACCTTATCCCCGTAAAGCGTGTACATAGACAGTGTTACACTCGTACCATCGTCGGAATACTGTCCACACTTTGGGCCGCAAACTGTGCGTAGTGTGTCTATCCTCCACATTGATAGTTGATATGTTATTTTTGGTAATTCGGTCAAACCGAGTGCCTCTTACAATTGCTGGTTCCCTCTCGGTACACTGGAGGTTACTAGAGAGATACAGGAAAATGCAAGCGTAATGCACTCCCACACTTGATGAGTTCAAATGCCCTTCACAGCGAAATCTGGGATTGCTGACTGCGATTTTGATGATGCATTTGATATATAAAAGAAAACAACGATAAAAGAGTTGGGTGAAATCGAGACTTTGAAAACAAGATAGAGGAGAAATGTTTTGCCTTTGAGGAAGAACATCTTCTGGAAGCTACCTGGTTTTGGTCCACAGTTAAGACGACGGCCTCTACAATTATCACTTGGACGAGCAGCAATATATCCACCTGATCGTTTCTTTAAAACTTACTTGCATCACCCACTTGGTTTTCTGTTGAACAGTCACAATCGATCATTCATCTCTGTCGCTTCACACAATGAATTACTCATTCAAGTGAATTTGTGACCACGAGAAGATAAATGAAAGCATCCTCAATTTCAAGAGGACGCCCAAGCTGATATATTACTCTTTCCTAGTGGTCTTCTAAATTTGACCAATGAACTCCATCATACTCCTCCTGAAGGTCAAAAAGGTCACTGTTTGTGACAGGAAGTTGCACTGCGTGGGACTGAAGTTGAGATTCGAATTCCTCAGTTGTGAGGTGCATAGCATCTGATGCACACTCAATTCTAAAGAGGATGGGGTTTCAATGCGGATCTTGAGTGCACTAAATGCAATAAACCCAGAGATACAGAAACGGATCAAGAGCTAGCTCCAATCGAAATAAGATTAACCAAGGAAATTCATGATTACTAGGTGTAGCACCACATTGCATAGAACAAAGTCTGCAAATGCTCTTTCAGGAGGAAGATCCTGGAAACAACGTGCAACAACGAAAATGTTTAGTATCTGTGCTTTGAGAGTTGATTCACAACTGCCAACAATACTATAAGGTTCAAGGACCAACTGCTAACGCGGCCACAACTAGTAAGGTAATGCATTCACAACCCTTGGAGCAAATGAATTTTCTCAACCCAACAAGTATATATTACCTTGAACTCTTTGTTCTCCTTGTTGACTTGCATGCGCAGGCAAACTGAAAAGGCCAAACGCTCACAATTAGACCTTACAAAGAGCAGCACTGATAATTTGTACCTAGTGTACATATACTGACAAATGAGTATAAGCTTCACATCAATGAAAACAAATTTCCTGGACGTATAGAATATGAAATAAATTTCCTGGACAAGAGTAAACTTCAACAACCCGAATTGAAGGATGCTTTCAACGTGTCAAACTAGCAGTCTTCAGATAGCCCATTCATCTCATTTAATAAGAGCGAACAAGGAGCTTCGACCGACCTGCTAGGACGGCAGTTCCTACACACGAGAGCACTCCAGAGAGAAATGCGTTGAAGGGGAATGTTCCGACCATACCCATATAAGCTACCTGCGCAGTAAAGGATTCCAGTAAACTGATATAAGACAATGCGAGGTGAAACAAAAATTCTCCAGATTAATCCTCCTTACAAGTCCAGTGCGTAAACCTAGGTCTACCAAAACCGTTATAATAAGCACATACGGTTTCCAATAGATATATATAAATTTCTTGCAACGCTACACATGACAGAATATGTATATGTTTCAAATACTAGATATGCATAGCAGCTGAATGCTGACTGCCAATTCGGCAACATGATCCAACAGACATCACTGGAGTCCACTTTGCTCAAAATAGATATAACGTATGCACCTTGTTAAGATTTGATGAAACAAATCCAGACGAGTTATGGCATCGAAAACACTATACATACACATGTGCCTATTTCTTCGTCATAGGGTTCATAAATCAAGACCGAAATTTCTTAATACATGAATCACGAATCGTTAAAAACGTCCAAATGTACTAAGGAATTATATGAGGTAACACATACCTGCACAAACGCTGTGATGAGCGCATAGAGAACGTAAAGGTCAATGATCTGCAAACAACACGAAACAAACCTTCAGCTCAGCTCTCACTATTCTTAAGTGAGTGAATAAGAGCTTGTTCCGCATGTACAACCAGATACGGCCATCGATCTTTCACTCCGACATTCAATCCTGGCTCAATGGGATCTCAAACTGACGACTCGTTCGCCGGAACAGGATACAATGGGGTACCGGAACTAATAGACAAGAATTTGTACCACAAGAAGATGGAGTAGCTCTGATGGATAATAAAAAAACCCCCATAGAAAATGCTGAATAAAACGAGCAAACCGACAGAAACAGATTCCTAATCGGGGCCACACAGCAGACCGTTGCTCCGAGATTGAACTTGCAATCGAGGCGACTGAAACAGACACGATCACAGGATATAACCCCACCTTCAGCCTCACAGGCGTCGCAGAGTAGGCAGATCGCAGTGACGAAACCAAAGTACGAACATCATTAGCAGTACCACCGCCCGCCATCGACACTAGCGCTCGGTGACCCGATCAAGAACGCGTCGTCTGTGCTACCTGTTCCTTCGTTCTTTCGGGCTCTCTCGATCGACCTCACGCATGAATAGAGGGACCAATCAGTCCACTCAGAGCTCGCTGTCGCTCAAGGTCGAAGTGCAGGCCGAATCGCGCATCGCCGGCTCCTCCTCCTCCGTTCCGAACGAAGACTTCTCCTCCTCTTCCTCCTCGTCCTTGCTGCAATGCCGGACGGCCGGAATCTCGAGAAATGTAAACCTACCAGTGACCGGAGACATCGATCACATCATTCCCGTGGAACTTCGTTCCGATCCTTCGCCGTACAGTCAAGAAGTCGGTTCGGACGCGATGAGAGAGAGGGTCGCACCCATCTGCCAACCGAAATCATCCACGTGGAAAATACTCCAGGGCCAAGACGGATGCTCATCGGGTTCCTGGAATAAGCGTCCCTACCCTCACATGGGACTCGACCCTCGTTACATTGAGGAGCGTCTTTTGCACAAATGTATTGTAATAGAAACATTATGTCCTGTTCTCCTCCCAAAATAGTAATTTGGAACCCGCAGGTTCCCACAAGTTAAAGGATCGCCCTTCGTGCCTATCTTGCTCCCATAATGTTTGCATTAGCTCCCATAATTGTTAGATTCCCGTCTGGTTCCGGAAAGAGGACCCTGTTTTCTTCCGTCTTGTATGACTATTGCGAGCGAAACTTTGCACAATTGGGAGGTCACACTTATAGAGGTCAGAGAACTCTGAGGAGAAGTGCACGTACAGGGCACCAGGGTTTTGCTCTCGTTTCCAGATCCTCGACCGTCGTCCCTCTCTCTCTCTCTCTCTGGTGGGAGAGCGAGAAGGGAGTTGAATGGCACTCTGTTGTTTAAGGGACCCAGAAGCTTTAAGGATTTTCAAAACCAGCAGATTGCGCCTGGTTGATCAGCTAAGGCGTCAGAGAGTCGGGGTCCGAGCTTCCTCTGGAAATTTTCCAAGCATGGCTGCCCAGACAGGCCTCGGGAAGGAGCCGGGGAAAGTTCAGATTTACCCCGATAAGACGCGGGAGATTTCGAACTACTGGCGAGGTAGGGAATCTTCTTTTGGTTTAGTGAAGAATTTAAAAAAATTAAGTTGTCTCGAAATCTCGGTGCGCAACATTCGTGTAAATTCCAGATGAATGACTTGCGGGACGATACGATCGAAGAACATAACAATGTGATTAGTGAGACGAAAATTCAGGTCATCTGCCAGTTTCACAATTATGAATTTCTTCGCCACTTATGACACGGCCTTCGCTCGGTCCTTTGTGTCCAACGTCCTTGAACAAGAAGCTAACTGGAACAATTTCCTCATAATGACATAAGCCTGGCTTTGTTAATGGTCAGATGTACACAGCCCTGTCCTCCCGCAGGTGGAGGGCTGCGAGGAAATTGTATTTGTGCTGAACTCGAATGTTGAAGTGCTGGTGGGACTGTGATATGTTTTGGAATTGTTCAAAATCGACCTCTAAGAACTGAATGTATCAGTTTTTTAAAGCCTTTGGGATCTACATATAGTTATTAAGACATGTGTGCCAGTAAATATACAGTCCAAGATGTTCGAACATCTGAGATGAAATGATCTAACGTTCTTCTTAAGTGCCTAGGAGACTTGAATTCGATCTGGTCCTGAACTAAGATCTGGAGCTTGTAGCCTCACACCTGGAGGAGGTTTAGGAGGGTCATTTATGCAAGATAATTATGATGTAAGAAGAGTCAAATTGTTACAAGTTGGCGACCATACTGTCAAACATGCTGTGTTCGCAGTATGTTTTACAACACGGTGACGTGAAATCTTGTCTGTTTTCGACCCAAATTTATAGGTCTCGTCATATAACTACAGAAGCTTCTTAGAAAATTCAAATGAGCTCAAGCGCCAAGGACTTGTGGTTTGCAGACAAGTACGAAAAGGACGCCAAGAAGTACTGGGACATATTTTATAAGAGAAACGAGAATCGGGTATTCGACTCTGATTTTTATATCCAGTTTTATGTTTTATAATATAGAAGCAATATCAGTTGAGTCCCTGATCCTCTTGCATGCAGTTGGAAGCATCCCAATCGTGAACGAGTCTTAAATTGGTACATGTCTTTTTTCGCAGTTTTTCAAAGATCGTCACTACCTTGACAAGGAGTGGGGGAAATATTTCAACAGCATGGTAAGGGCACACTTTAGGATCGATAATTATAAGGTGTTGTTGTCTTCATCTGCTGGAATACAGCCTGAAAGACGAAGCTCTACATAAGCTTGGTGCAGTTGAAGAACTAGAACGAATTTATATGTATCAGATGTAGGCCATGTTCACTCGCCCTCTATCATGTACAGAAAGGGTTATGTGGTGATCTTTGATCTAGTACTAGAGGACTCTCGTTTCTTCAGCGTGGCTACTGTTGGCTCATCACTTGAACGACGTCATTTGGTTATGATGATGTTAACAAGTAAATTGGTAAAGTGATGTATCCCTCATGCACAGTTTCAGGGTATCGATGCAGGTTCTGCCATCGCGGATTCTGGGTCTGTTTCTGTCCAACACAGGCGAACCGTTTTGGAGGTTGGTTACCCTCAGAATCTCGTGGAAATGTGTGAATTTTTATTTTTTTTCCCATGGGCAAAGAAGAGTATAAATGAGTTTGAATTAATGCCTGTCTGGTCTTCTTGAATTTCTATTACTCCAGTTACCATGGCTGTTAAAGATGTTTATGCTATAAATTTAGGATATAGATGTCACTACCATGTTAACACGGGGATTTATGTGTGTTTCAATCTCGCAGGTTGGTTGCGGAACGGGAAATACTGTGTTTCCTCTTACTGCTCAGTATCCAGACTTATTTGTCTATGCATGTGATTTTTCTCCCCGAGCAGTGGATCTTGTGAAGGTTGTCAGCCACCTACCATTCATAAACTGCTCTTGTTCTTTATATGCTTTTTACACTAGATGATATCTTCACTACCTGTTCACCTAAACTCCCCAAGGTTGTATAGCAGAGTTTGAGAGTGACGTTTTTACTGACTCGGAAATTGTTATCTCGTAGTTGCACGGAGTATTTTCTAACACTTGGCATTTGAAGCAGGCCCATGAAGATTTCACCGAAAGTAGGGTGAAGGCATTCGTCTGTGATGCTACTTCTGACTCTTTGGTCGAGACCATTTCTCCGGCATCAGTAGATGTTGTCACTTTGGTACAAAGCACACTTTTTCCCCAGTCAAAGCTGAATGACATTATTGCTTGTTATCGAGAAAATTTGAATCACTTTCGTTTGTTGTATATCATATTCTCCTGTCATCTACATCTGCGTGACTCACTTGAATGTTGTCTGGTCTCATTACAGGTTTTTATGCTCTCTGCAGTTGGACCCGATAAAATGCCAGCCGTAGTACGCAACGTGAAGTCCGTTCTCAAGGTGTACATCACTGGAACATAACCTCAGTTTTTTTACAGTTGTTAACAGATTTTTATAAAATACGATCACTTTGGTAGTGAAGAAGCACTTCGAAAATATGTACTCGCTTCTGAATGTACTGTACTGAGTACTTTCAATGCTTGAAACTGTAGCCTGGTGGGCACATATTGCTTCGCGACTATGCTGTGGGTGACCTTGCACAGGTAAGGAAAGACATGATTTTACATATCTTCTTGCACTGCTTATTTCAAGTTAACACCACCAGGAAACACTGGTCTGAGATATTCACGTTTTCCGCCACTGGCAGGAGAGACTCATGACCAAGGACCAAATGATAAGCGAAAACTTTTATGTTCGAGGAGATGGCACGGTACGTTACTTTCGTTGCCGCATAATGAAGCCTTCTTGTTCATGAAGAAACTGGGTGTGAAATTATTTTGAAGTGAATCATGCACATGTCGTGAAGTGACATGTACATGGTTTCGCCCTCTTTTTTTTCAATGGACAATGTCAGTGTATATCATAATCCCCAATGCTGTTTTGCTGTTGTGCGCATTGAGTTTTTGCTTGGGCGTTCTCTCTATTATCAGTTTTCTGGATCGTGGTTACTTTCCATTATCTATCTCAATAAGAAAACACACTCCGTAATCCTCCCCCCCCCCCCCCCCCCCCCCTTCCCCCCGCATGTATTGATTGCGTTGGTTCCCAGATAAATGCCGTAGCGAGAATCTATCTTATGTCACAAGTTTCTGCTAGGTGTTATTTGATTTATTGGTTTCAACATATTTTGGCTTTTGCTCTTGGGTCTGATCGGCCACACTCTGAATTTCGCTCACTTCTTCGATGTGTTCTGCTTGCAGCGCGCATACTATTTCTCAGAAGAAGGTCTGAAGAAACTATTTGCAGATGAAGGACTTGAATGCAAGGAGATGGTCGTGCACAATCGGCAGTTGGAAAATCGAGCCCGGAAGATTAAAATGGATAGGTAACTAGTTACTTTTTCTCTAGTCGCATCCTTTCGGTTTGGAGATTCTCTCCGTGACCTGAAATTCGAAAGTTTGGTTTACTTCGCAGGCGGTGGATCCAGAGTGTTTTTTACTTGCCGGAAGAGCGGATGCCAACAGCAGGCATTGAGTCACAAGTAGCTAGAGTTTCTGCCCCTCAAAAGTCACCCACGATCTCTGAATCTGGTCATGTGAGATCATCTGCAGAGAGCGCATCAGCATGTCCCGAGAATGGCACTTCTCACGAAGCAACAGAGGCCCTTGTTTCTAAGGATCTTCACGAGGAGGAACTGATAGTTGACCTCTCAGAAGGCGCTGCAGCCGATTTGTTTGGTGGACCCCCTTCCCCTGAGGTATGTGTGAAGATTTCATCGTGATCCCGGTGAAACCACCCAATATTTTAAGGCGAGACTGTGGGGAATGATATTCGACGACGAGCGTTGTGAACAAGGCTTAGCTCTACCGGTGAATACGAGGGTGTCGAAGTTTTGTGATAACTAATGATCAGAGGTTTGTGAACATGTCTTGGAAGGCTAGTTTGATTCGTGAGACCGGGGATTCCGAGGGTGTCAACACCACAAGAGTTTTGGAGGTTTCTTTCCGAATCGACAGGAGATTGTGAGATGCTACAGGGATTGAGGCTTTAAAAACCTCAAGGGATTACTGTAGTCGTGGATATACATGAGTGCCTTGTTGGTTGCTGAAGTCTGAGAAGTGTGAAGATATGGCATTGGACACTTGTTTTGAACCTGAACAGGAGAGACAGGAAAGATATTAGTAGCAAGATCTAGGGATGTTTTTAATTGGTAGGATAATGAAGGTTGTAAGTTGTTGGATTTTTAGGAGATTTCATCTTGCTGCTACTTCAGACTCGACGCCCCGATATAAATGGGATGGATCAGGTCTCTGTGGTCGGACAAATATTTAGTTGTAGGTTAGGAGAGCAAATGTCGGGCGGTCGATCGAACCTCTTGACCTCACTGTCGTCTGTTTGTTCTAGCAGCCATTCGAAGTTGTGGTTGGAAAGCACACGGTGCACGCTCTTTGCCTGAATGCTGAGAACCAGCACACTTTTGCGGCAACAGGCTTCATGCTTTGGGAGTCAGCTTTGGCTCTAGCGACGTTGTTGGCCGTGAACCCCTCCTTTTTACGGGGGAAGACAATACTTGAGGTAGGTTGCGGATCGATCGGGCTCTGCTCTTTGATCGCATCCCTAGCTGCCGAGAAAGTGTTCGCCACCGATGGTGATTCTGGGACCATGGATCTCCTTCGAGAAAATCTTCATCTCAACGAGGAAAACTTTCCTGTCCAGAAGATAGCTCCACACAAACTGTATTGGGGCCACGCAGACGAGACAGCAGCCTTGAAAGCATCCAATGGCAACAGGGGCTTCGATCTGATAATAGGCTCCGATGTAACATATGTCGAAGCAGCAGTGCCTCTTCTTTTTGAAACGGCCAGATCTTTGCTACGTGAAACTTCTCCGGGGGCACAAGAACCACAGTTTTTATTGTGTCATAGAATTAGGGGGGTCTCGGAATCTGAGATTTTGTCTGCTGCCGCTGCACATGGTTTTCGAGTAGAAGGGTTGTGGACCTCGGACGGCTACGTAGCCGGCGAAGTAGAGAGAAGAAGGCGGTCAAACATTGAGCTCTTGTTCAAAGAAGGTCTCGAAGACATTGCCACCAAACATAATTCTCTTCGACTCCTTCTGTTGACTCCCAGTAGTTAGCCAAAGTTCATTTTTTAGTAGTATAATTTATACACAAGGTGTATTCGCTGTGTACCTGACAAGCCTTGTACCCCATTTTTTCTCAATTGTTTCTTGCGGTTGAGTGCTCAATTAAAGAAGCGTCGTTATCTCGTGGTGTGCTTCTCGTTGATCCTTAAGAAGGTCAATCTTCCAGGGTCGTCGTTCATGAAGAAACACGTTGTAGATCAATAGCGGTCAACATGATGTAGTGCATGCCTTGCTTAGTCCAGGGAAATATTCAACAAGCCTCTCTTTCCGCCTCGAAGTGTTGCCTCGGCTATATTGAAGGGACAAGACCTTTACTTCACTGTATTGATGATGTGGTAGGACTGTTGCATGGTCGTAGAAGTTCTTCAACTTTGCATTGGCTGATTTTGCCTCGTTGTCGCCATTAGGACAGAATTTCATTTTTCGAGCTCACAATGTGGAAAGAGTTTTCTCATGTGAGGAGAAACCACACAGATCTGTAAAGACAAACGTTCCGTTGTCGATCATCACCAGAACACTTTCGTAGTGCAGATTTTGTGTGTGAAACTGTTTCAACCAAATTTTTTATGGCCAGCCAGAACTGGGTATTTTGAATTTCCCCGTCAGTACCAACTAGCCATTACTTGTTTATACAACATCAAAATATTTCGGATCCGCTAAGTAGTTATTTAAGCACTTAATACACTGCAGGCTAGAACAACCCCGACCGTATTCTCGGGGGTCTACGGCATACGATGACCGTCGTGATGGTGTCACCGTTCAGCAGTCCGGCGCTTAACCTGTAGTCAATGCACCCTGGTTATGTGAACACGTGTCGACTATGAGCATCATTCGACTACAATTCAGATTTATTTCAGCCTTGGAGGTTTTGAACACTGTCCGGTGGATTTTGAGTTCACGTCCAAGACTACTCCTGTTCGCTCTTAGTGCACAACGCGGACGGCGAGGACGGATCTCTCCCACAACCACCGCAATGTATCGGCGATGAATCTCCTTGCTGCTATGATCCTTGCAGCTGGACTGCAGTCAGCTGTCCACATTGTCCATGCAGCGGATCCTGACCCACTGCAGGATTTCTGCATTGCAGACCTTGCTGCCGGACCAGTTTCAAATGGTTTCGCTTGCAAGTTGCTTGCACTTGCTTCCACATACGACTTTGCAATTTCTGGGCTTGCTGAAGCTGCGAATCCCAGCGAATCTGCTACCAACGGAACTGCAACCCTCGCCTTCGTTAGACAATGGCCAGCTCTGAACACTCAGGGATTGTCTCTCATAAGACTCGATATCAATCGTGGTGGCATCATCTTTCCCCATACACACAACTTGGCCACTGAGATTCTGTATGTGTTGGAGGGAGAGATGTATACGGGCTTCGGCACAAACAACTTCGGCAACGACCCAACCATATCTAACAAGCTGTATGCAAAGGTCGTGAAGAAGGGAGAAGCTTTCATTTTTCCCAGAGGTCTGCTACACTTCCAGCTGAACAAGGGGAAGGTGCTTGCATCGAGTCTAAACGTCCTGAACAGTCAGAATCCTGGTATTCAGCTCATGCCTTCAGCTTTGTTCGGAAATGGCATCGAACGTGAAATGCTGGAAAAGTCAATCTTCATGAATGAGACTCAAGTTGCTGCACATAACTCATGTTGGATAACCACATTTATCCTACTTCTGCTATGGCTTTATCGTCCGTGCGCATCAAAAATTCTGCCCACAGCATGCCACTTGGGACTTGTTTGTTTGCGATTTCTTTCAGAGAGTGAGCGGGGCAGGCATGCTGTGCTCGTGTGTGAAACTCACTTTTATGGCTACCTGTATTGCTTCTCCTGTTCGAGATTTGCCACCACTGTATTGGTTTGTTTGTTGGCATTTGGGGTGCCAGGTTGGTCAATTAAGCAAGGCAAGGCCCAAAACATTTGGTCTGCTGGAAAAGCACGCACTTTCAGAACACCCTCGGGCTTCTGCGTGCACCTACGAATGTATCCATGTATCCATGTATCCACCTGCAAAATTGTGGTCGCCGGCAAGAAGAATTATGCCACTAGACAGAAGGGCTTCGAGCAGCTCCTTCGTGTTTTCCACCGTTGCATGCTTCTGCTGTTTGTCTGTCTTTGTCTATTAGTCTCGCAATCCACCTCCCGAGAGAGATACATATGGACAAAATGCACGAAAAATATGATTGGACTAATAAAACAAATTCAATAAACATATTTTCACAACTGATAGTTTACTACATAAATAACACTGTAGATCTCAACTGTGGACAACTAGCCAAAACATTCATGTTGAAATATTTCAAGTATCATCTAATACCATCACTCCAAACTCATGAAAGTAGTGTTGGAATCTAGCTCCAAGCTAAACAACTATCTCTATAATCACCTTTTGAGCTTTTCATTTTCATACAATGCAACTGAGCATGCTTTAACTTGTTTAGGTAGATATTATTCCTTTAGTCCAACAATGGGTGCATCATGATTGTTCACCAACAATTTCTTTCTCAAAAATCGGTCTGAAACATATAACCTTTGATACCTAGGCCACCGAGATCTTCCTTATTTTTTAAAGTTAGGAGAAAGACAACTAAATTTGGTACATTAATGTGAATCTGCTCTTTTGAGTCTTTTAGACAATCGAATTCTGCTACAATTTTAAAAACCACACATATTTATGATGATATTTATGACCTACAGCCTGAGCTTCAGAAAGCAGTGGCTGCTTCCCAATAGTGTCTTCTAGCCATCTGATTGGAACCTCTAAGTCCCATCCCCATGGTTGCCCACCACAAGCAGGAAAAAGTGCGGTCAAAAGCTTCTGAAAAAGTCACGCTCTTTCTCTTCTCTTCTGTCTCATGTTGACCCAGCAAAGAAAGAACTTCCAGTGCAGCATCCACGACAATCTGATGAACTTTCAATTGTCTTGAAGTAAGCTCCTTGGCGTGTGCAGCTACTTGAGGTGTAACAAGGGTTACAATAGGTGATCTTATGAACCTCAATTCGTCCCAAGTTAGATCTGTAACAGTCCCTGATTCTAAAGCCTTGCAAAGTGTTCCCAAAACAAGATCCACCGTAGCTGAACGACTGATTGGTCCACTTTCACCCGCAAATTTGGTAGAAATAAAATTCGATGATGAACCCAAAATCAGGCTAGTAGCCAGCATCTTTCTCCGCACAACCAGAATGGCGATAGTGTATGCTAGTGACGTGCCTGAGAGATGGTTCTTAAGAAACTCTAAGTAAGCCGTAACCTGCACACGATGACACAGAAGCAAATTTTTCAGTTTATCCTCGCTGACATGCTCCATAATGTACACCTTGTCAAAGCGAAGACGTAGTCTTCCAAAAAGATTATGTCCAGGCATATCAGAATGGAAATCTTTTAAAACCACACAGAACCATGGAAGACATAGTAAACCTTAAACAGATAAAAGATCTGACCTCCTCGGATGTACCCATCCTGTTGCGAGAGAAAACACATATTGTTAATGAGTCTTAGAAAAGAGTTCCATTTATACAAAAAATTCATCATGTACGGCCTTGGTAACTAACCACATGAATAGATGTTTCTTCCTGAATTGCTCTTTGGATGGAAGGTGCGAGAACACATACAACCCTTGACGCTGTCGGAAGTTTCTCCACAACTTCAAGCCACCCACAGTCGTCGTCTGCGTACTGATACCGCATTGAAGACATACCCTTCTCTGTAGCAGTATCCTCATTGACAGCAACGTAGCTTACACCAGGAAACTTTCTGCATGACTACAGGTAAGCCAGACAAGCCGGAAGAAGAAGCCTGACCTAGAGGCGCATTCGTAAGACCAGTCACTTTCTTCGCAGCTCTCGACACATTATCATTGCTAGAAATGACGAAGAAACTAGAAACACTAGTACAGAAATAAACCGAAGGGAAATCATCCATGAATGAAAACCGAAAGAGTTGTATTGTGCTATAAAAAGCATTTAGACATCAGGAAGCAATGTGTTCACAATAAATTTAATACAAATTGGCATGTATTCATAAAGATTCATGTGCCAAGATGGAGAAATATGTATAAAATTCAAAATTTCAAACTTCTAGACATAGAGATCACGCGAAGTAAACTTTTGAACTTTCTAACTGAAAAACTAGCTTTCTCGCTTGTCAAGTACCTACCAGGTGGTCTTAGGCAAGGAGAAAAACAGTAACAAAAAATGAAACTTACCTCTTGTATATGAGTCTATTCACTATATCGGATCATCATTTAGATTGATTGTATGTGTGTCAGCTGAAAGCTCTCTACCTAATCGTTTTGGCAGGGATAATCTACTTGTAGGCAAAGAGGTACTATTCATATCAGTTTGTGGTTTCCTACTTTTGCGTTTTCCACGCAGTTGAGTGCTTTGCCTGAACAACTCTTCTCTAATTGTCTCTCTTTTAGATAACATCAGGAAGAAGTATGTTATCACAAATGACATCACTGAACTCTGATATAACATTCTGTAGAGCTGGACTATCATTGGTAATATCCAGATAGCTACCGCTATCACCGTGAACACCTTCAAGAGGCACGTTCAAATCTGTAAGTTGTCACAAGTGGTTACAGATCAGCCGCAATAAAAGAAAAAATGAAAACAAAGACATAACTAATACATACATCTCATTGTACTATAAGAATTTCAATTCAATGCATGTGTAAGTCACTTACCAAAGAATTTCTTGTTCTTTGGTAATTAGACACCGTTTTTTCTTCAAATATTCTTCAGAATTGAATGGCTTCTCTTTGCACCGTGATACTTGTCAACGATCCCGAGCCTTCTTCTCAATGTCAAGCCACTTGGTCTGATGAACATGTCGGCATTTGTGATTCTATCATTTTCCGATTCTAGTTGACATTGTTCCTGAACTCTCAAGTCATGCAAAGATCTATTCATTACAGCAAGTGTGCTGTGTGCTATGCTATCACTTTGTGAAGCCATTTTTTCTATTTGCATCCAAGCTTCTCTTGACTTCTCCACACAAACGTTTCTCTGATTGAACGTTGATTCCAACATAGGATTTTCTTCCGCTTGCAGTTCTGAATCATACTCCACTGACAAATGAGTATTTTCACTTAACAACTGTACATCGGTATTAGAAATCAATCCTTCATATTGCAACCCTGCCCAAGTTCCATGTTGCTGAATGATGGATACTCCTTGGTGCCCTTTGCACATCAAAGCCTTGCATTGATGTTTGAAAATATTTCCTTTCACAGCCCACGAATAGTCACATGAAGGCAGCAAGGAATAACAATATCGAACTGTGTAGTTAGTTTTAGATTTTGGACATATCACCTCAGCAAAGTTTGGCTTTAAGGGGTCTGGAATCGCCACCTGAATACAACATATATAACTTTTCATTAGTTATAATTAAATTGCAAGTTATGCATAGTCATAGCTCGGGTATTGCAAGCAAAAATGAGTAAACACAAATGCAAAATCAGAAATATTTTCACCTGAGCATATTTCATTTTGTTTTCTGCTGCCCATACACTGGAAATAGCAACCTCTTCCTTTCTCCAATTCACTACCAATCCCATTGCCTTCCTACAAATATTATAAAGAAAGAACGGCAACATGCTTCCAAAAAGCATGTCTAACAATTTGTCCAATTGACGAGCTTTTAAACCACATATCATTCTTTGAATCATCTTTTTCATGGTCAAATGCCAAGCTTCTGTTGCACCATTTGTCAGTTGGTTCGCGTGATCAAAATTTCGACAAATCACCAATCATTTATCTATGAAGACAACACACAAGGCATGTAAGATATCACCATTGCTACGAAAATCATCCATGTTTGTGAACTACATGTTCAGAACCATCATTCAAAAATATGAGTAAACTTTTACTTCACAAGACCCATCTAATACAGTTCAACACTTCTTCCAGTAATATAAGTTTAGTACTTGTACTAAATGCAATGGGCTAAACCAAGTTTTTATGAGCCTTCCAACTGTAATGAACAGCTGTTTACTTACACTACAGGCTAGATACACTATGAGAACAATACAAGAGAATTATCATAGAGTTACAGTACCTCTTCTTCCGATCCAGTCTTGTTTGAAGTAGTTTAGAAACTCAATTTCTGAAGAAAATCTAGTTTGGATTGCATCCAACGTCCCCACATCAAAAGTTCACTGTTAGCATACATCATTTCTCCCAAAGCATCAGACATTTCCAATATAAGCGTTCAGTTTTTCAGTTTTTGAATAAGATTTTCCTTCCATGCCCTGCAAACAGTTCCAACATGGTCAAAGGTTTTAATACGGATTGTAAATATCTATAGAATACTCTAAGTGTGACAATCATCAATATACACAGATTATATTGGCATTTTTTATACATAATCTGTGCATAAATCACTACTATAGATGGACAGAATTTCAAAAGTACCTTCGAATATGAAATGTACAGAAAATCCTGGAAATACAGCTTTCAAAGCAGCCACCTCTTGAGGAGCACAATCAAATATAAAGCAACTTGGTTTCCAGTCAGGCTTCAATTTTAATGCTGCATCTTTGATTTTTTGCAAAAAGTCCACTATCATCTGTGTTGTTTCTTTTTGTTGAATACTCCAAGCAACAGGTAATCCCATTTGATGGCTATCAAATGCAATCAATGTAAAAAAAGGAAACTGCATGATAACAACACATAAAATATAATTAGTTATGTGCAGCATGGATAAATGCATTACTTAGTCCATAACAAGCCAACTCTTGTATCACAAAAGTTGATGGAACAAGTGATCAGTTAGAGTCTTCAAAACGCTTGACCTTCTTTCTCTTCTTGCTTGGCTTCTAGAGAATACTTGAACGTGAGTGAGCACTTGTGACTCACTGGTACAATTTATTCCAACAACTATTATACTGTACAATGCATAAGACTAAACCGTGTGCAGACCTACCTTCAAAACTCTGCCTAAAAATGTACAAACAAGTAACATGTCTCAGGAAGACATGGAAGCGAGGGTCCCGAGACAGCAGTCTAGGAAGTGAAGGATACGAGATGGGAAATATGAACTAGTAATTCCTATCTTGAAATCAAATGAAACTCGACTGTGCACAAGAAATAAAGCTGCTAAAATATATCCGTTTGGGGTCCAACTTGAAAATCAATGTCTACATTACCTTCTAACATATCAGAGTTGAACATTGTCCTTAATTCAGGCATGTTATTTTTTCTTCAAGCATTTCGCTTATTAGCCTTCAGTTTTAATGTACTTTAACTGAAATTCTAAACTGATTAATATCATGGAGAAAAAGTGAAACCAAATGCACCTTGACTGTGCAAATTAGTTGGAGGAGAAAAGTGACAAAAGCTAGTCAAACTAAACATCTAAGTATAAGTTGTCATGTTACCATTTGTTTGATCAACTTTTTATTCTGAAGTCGAGAGCATATGTTTCACGCTTGTAGGCCGTACTACTGAAAAATAGGGATTACTTCAGACAACTCATTACATTTCCGGGCGATTTTTTGTATTCTCCTACAAACAAGAAGTTTCGTCCTGCTTGTCCCATGATGCAAAATCATGCATACATTGCATGTACTACGTGCAGGTATCTTTTGCGATATGCACATAGAGAGGATGTGCCATCGTTCTCTGTATCTGTATAGTGAGTACTTGAGATCCAAATAGAGTACTTGGATTCTTGCAGTCAAGCATGTCCTTTTGGAGATACAATGCTATACTCGCCATTGTCCCTTCCCCAAGATCTGATATCATTTTGAAGAAATCTATGAGGTCCAAGTCCTCAAGTCCGAAAGGAACTAGAAGACCTACAAAGAACACTGGATAGTAATCAAATAAGTAGGTTCAACTCTAGGCAATCCTATCTCGATATCCATTCAGTGTGTGTACTTTTCAGCACTGGTACTTTTCAGACACCCTTTCACCATTACTTCTGCATAAATAACTTGCAAGTTTACTTCTTGTCATATTCATTGATATAACTCATCAGACCTACGTCAGGTAGTTTCGACAGAAAAGAAAACTACTTATGTTTTTTTTTTCTATGTGTTCTCTGTCAATGTAAAAATTTTAAGTTAGAGTATATATACTAGACCATGTTCAAGAAAAAAAACACAGAAAGAAAAAAGTTAGATGTGGAGGAGAAAAAATGGCACATACCTCACATAAAGCATACACCCACCAGATAAATCTGAACTGAAATGGCAAAAGTCAAAGTGATCCACATGCAGTCTATGTACCACAAAATGACGCTGATCTACTGGAGTTCAATCCAATTGAAATAATGCCAATCAACACCACAACAATTAAAAAAAATCTTTCACTACACAATGTCATATTCATAAAATCAACAACTCAAAATACAACCGAAAGAAAACTTACATCATACTTGGTTGTCGCAAATGTGCTGTCCAACGCAAGAGGCTTATTTTGAGAGTAGTGAATCATCATACCCAACTGCCATTTGGATTCACAAACCAACATGAAATCTTGGGACGGATTTGCAGAGATAAACTGTTGATGTAGAAGCACAAAATGCGGATGCGCATTAATCCAAATCTGCACACACTGCTGATCGTTTTCATGAAACATATAAGTTTCTCTTGCCACCTTGGCTTTTATATTATGCAAATCTTTCAAATGTATTGTGTCATCTTTAGCTCCTCTTATGGACCATGGAAGATATGTAGTATCATTAAAAGTACATTGTGGACCTCATACTTGAATCTGTTGTTTCAAATGCATGTCAAAAAACTTGTGGAATTATCCAACCCATCTGAAAAGTTGCTCTATGTTTCGTCTGAGCTCGTTCGTAATTCGTGGAGCATATGCACACTTTGGACTCCAAGGAACAACTTTATTTTTTGCAATTCTTCCGTGACACCTTTTCCCTTTATCATTACAATGAGTCCTGCAAGACAAATGAAAACATCAAGTTAATATTTATCCATATTTATGAAATAACATCATCACCATGATAACGTATACATCAAGAAGTTCAGACTGTAAAAACATTCAAACGGAATACTCTTACCTTTATCTGCAATATATGACTGCAGTCTCAGGTTCTAATTTGTAATATGTAACAACAAAGTTACAAAGACATCCTCTCTTCAATTGATCATTGAAATTAACATTTCTTGATCGTGCTCTATTATTTTCATCTATACCGAGAGGTGGATAGGTGCCTTTTCTAGGTATCGTGTCTGGAATCCGAGAAGGATGGTTGAATGATCCAAAAGCACACCAATAAGTTACAGTTTTTATCCAAGCAGTTTTCGGGCCTGGTTTGTCATTGGTTACTCTTTTCCAAAAGCTTGTTTCAAATTCTATATTTCTTCTACCTTCACCATCCACAAAATCGTCTACCCTTTCGCTTGGAACACGAGCTAACTCCACAAGAGACTGATGCATTTCTCAAGCCCATTGCAAATCATCTGCATGGAATGTTCCTGTAGGAGGTGATTGAACAGGAATTCTACTATCTATTGTGACACAAATGTTCCTTTTTTGTTGAAGAAATACAACCGGGATCTAAATGATTGGGTAAATGTAGCCAAGGAAATCGTCTCTGCAGACGATAGACACCTCGCGAGCACCCCCAAAAATGCTTCCTGCTATCTGGATAGTGTCATAAGTCCACCATGATAGCAGCCCTAAGGTAGGCAGCCAGCCAGCCAGCCAAGCATCAAACAAATGATGAAACAAAGAGACCAAGTGTTTCAGGTATCGTAGCTCTATATTCTCTGTCACTAACAGGTGCCTGCGGACAGTTCCCAAGTCCAATCATTTTCACATTCAGAAGCAACTAGTAAGAACCTCAACAACAAGGAAGGAAAGAGCAAGCAACAGTTCACACAGCCAAATATGTAACAATTGAGCAATGATTTTTGTTTCTCATTATACCTGTAATATAACTCCTCGTACACCCTTTGAGCAACCACTTCCTCTTCTTAGATAGTGAACAATATTCTGTAGCAGACACTGTTAAAGTACACAATTTAAGGACAAATTTTGTGAAGCAAGACGTAAACCGAATCCACATCTGAATTAGCTATAATGCCTTCTGCGTTGACTAGATGAGAGCCAGACCCGTTAAGACACATGATACATTAGTGGTTAAGAGGGGTCACCTGGCATCCATTGCTATGGCCCATCAACATTACTCCTTGGGACGCTTCTTCATTAATAAGGAAATATGTTAGTTGTTCTATTTCCGCTGTATCCTGGAAAGTCCAAAGTATTCAAATACAAGTTAGTTCTAAATTTCTCTTAATAGCCTTCAGACTTTGACTAATCAGCCAATAGTATAAGCATGGAAGCAGATAACAACGACTAAACACTGAAGATGTGGTCAAAATAAGCCTGAATCTGAACAATAGCTGAAATGAAAATGAAGAATATGCCAGTTCCTGCTCTTGATGTTATAGAAACTGGTCACCTTTTGATAAGTATGAACGTGAGGCACGAGAGTGGAGAGTTGAACCTGCATGAGACTTGACTGACCGTATCCAATGGATGATGTTGACAGCAACGGCTGTACGTACGGCTGTACGAGACCACTACTCATCTAGAAGGGCATCTGCTAAGGATTTGACATAGTTGAAAAAAACAAATAACAGGATCAAAGTATGACACATTACCCTGTATCTCGATCTTCAAAGCTCTAATTATAACTGTGCTCTATGGTCGCACCACCGATGTCGATGGAAACATTAGTTGTCCGTACAATGGAAAATAAGCATTTTATCAGTACTCCAAGTTGACCACTCACTCAAGTCCATGCAGAGTAGTAACCAGCGAGTTATGAATATGATTGACAGAACTGTACTTCAAATTTGGAATTCCAAAGTTCAAATTCAGGCAGAAAAAAGGAAGGTATGAAAGCTCTTCATGCTCATCTTGCTTGGAGCTTGTGGACTCTACATGTGTTTGATCGGAGTTGATCATCGCGTACCTCTCAGCAGTCATTCCTATCTTCACATTTAATGATGGAATATGAAGGTGCCTGTACAAAAAATTCCAGAAGTTTGTTCTCCGATATTCCAGCCATCTTGTCTATGCAAAGATCAGGAAGACTATCAAAAAATACCATAACCAGTTGACCCTCACTTGCTTGCATTCAACCTGAGGCCTTGTTCTCATATGAAGTCTTCAAAAAAACTTGAGCGGACAAATGAAACGCTGGCAAGGATAATCGGCAGTACCCTTGTTGTTGTAGACCCGAAGGCTTATGAACTAAGCACAAACACGGATGTGTTCACTTTAAATGCCTTTATTCTTGAATCTGTAATCACAAAGGCAGTTTCTCCACCAGGACAAGGAAACAAAAGCGGAGGACTTCATCAACCACAAAAGAGGAAGCATTCAAAGCAGCAAAGTTGTCTTCTGACAACCACTTGTAAGCCTAAAGAGGAAAGATCGACTCGATGGTGATGTGAGAAAAATAGCAGTCGACATGTGGTGTTGCAGTTCACGTCACTACGCTAATAACATAATTAACAAACCGAAGCATTAAGAACTGAATCTGTTTCTGTCGCTAGTTGGACGCAGGTTGAGCAGCTTGTCTTATTATAACATAGAGTATCCTCGAAAGTTTGAGATAATAAAGAATATGAAGGTGCCTGTACAAAAAATTCCAAAAGTTTGTTCTACGACATTCCAGAGCACTTCCCCCGACCACAAAAGTATGATAGGTAAGTTCTGGTATGCTAGTAGTCAAGTAGCTATCAAGCGATCAAAGAACCTGTGTAATGGCTTCAGCCTCGGCAGTTTTTGCAATACCTTTATTATGAATCAAGTCAGAATGTTAACTACTACCATCTCATCTATGCTACGTTGGTTTATGGCAGGGGTGAATGTGCCTGCACGTCTGTACACTATTTTGCCATCTTGTCAATGCAAAGATCAGGAAGACTCTCAGTGATGACATTCATTCCGCAAATGTACAAAGAATGTGTAAAAAAATTCATAGTACAGAGTCTGATAGCGTACATACTCTGTAGCAAGGAGGCCATTTGTGAGACCCCCTAAAAATATTACTTGCTTCTTGAAATCACCACTCCGAAAAGCAACCTGGGAGATAAGTGCAATTATCGTTATGTTGCACCTAGTGATGTAGTTGAAGTGAAAAACAACAGTAAAAACCAAGAACCATAGTTCTAAGCACATACAGTAGGTTAGTACGAAAAAAAATTCAGACTTTGTTAAAAATATTGACAATCAAAGCCTAGTAGAACATGCACCTGGAGCCTTGCTTGAGGGGTGATAGTGCTAGACGACGAGATAGCATTAGAAGGAAGGGGTACGCGGTATGAAAGAGGAAGTAAGAAGAAAGGCCAATTTGACAGTGAGCAGGATCTCTCTCATAATGAGATTTTAAGAAGTATCTCTGAGATCGAAGAAAAGATAAAATTCAGAAGCTAAGTACTAGCTTTAGACATAACCCAATCAATTGAGCTGCGATCAACATAATCAAATATAGATTGAAGTACTTTGAAGTTCATCGATAGTTTGACTGAAATAGGTATGGATAGTTTGACACTCAATCAGGCCATTCATGTGAGATGCATTCTCACCTGAAGAACTGCGCGAACGAGAGATCCACACTACAAACTGAGAAATGCACAAACGAGTTAGGTATTAGAACTTCAACGTCGGCTCTCTCTAACCTAGAATGCGGAAACCTGGAAATTGAGGTATCACTAACCTGCCAACCCTGAGTCCCCAACCATATGTTTGCTCAATTTACCATCATGAGTGTCTTCAGTGAAACCTGCACGGGGTTGATGATCATTACCTGCTTCGACTTCATCCTCATGACATCGCGCTACATCTCTCGTTTTGCTTCTCTCGTTCTAATAACATCATGAATTCTCCGATTCCTCATGCCACGCAAGGTTAGATTGCAGAGGATGGATCTGCAATCGGTTCTGTTGACTTTCTACGAGACAAAACCTGCACAAAACCCGCACTTCTTCTTCTCATACAAGCTTGTCCACTGATCTGCTTCGTGAGAAACTCGCACGAACATTCTGTCTGAGTAAGAGACTGAGCGCGCGAAATGTTAAACCCGTACGAAATGCTAAACCCTGGGTTACGGTGAAGGTGAAACCTGGGTGATAGTGACGGTGATCCGCAAACGGTATACCCTTGCCGTCCGCACGGATGGAATATGGTCGGGGTTGATCTAGCCAGAAGTCTTAATACCTGATGTCTAGGCCGAATGTCGTTGCTGATATTGCTCAAGTTATTCTGTACCATGGGTATCTGCCTAAGATTAAACATTAACATTTTCAAAACATGCCGTGTCCATCTCATAGTATATTCAACTCACACCCTTTTCGCACATCATATATACAATGACATATAAAATCGAATGTGGGTCGAGAAAACAATGGCAAGACATACATAAGGTCTTCTCCACCCATGAATCTAAAAGAAGTAATAAGTTAACCAAACACTGGAACTTCATCCCCAAAATGTAAATTAGAGGAGACTGTTTTTAAGACTGCGTGCACCAATCTAAACGATATACAAAGAAGACAGTTGGAAATTCTTAATATCGCAAGATCTAAGGTTTTTCATTGGAGAGAATTACTTGGGACCCCATAGGTTCAATTTTACCCGATGGGACCCTTCGGATGGCAGTTAAGTCCATCGACAGCGATGTTCTACTATGAGTTCTTGTAACTACTTTGAGTCCGGGCTCTTTGTTGAAAAGTGACTTCTCCCCGAAGTTCAATTATTTCCTATTTTTCAAAGAGGCACCTTCACTTACAGTACTCAAAGCAGGGACACTTGAGGACCAAAATACGCAACTAACGTGATTTGGCCAAGATTTTTAGAAAAAAAAGTAGAGAAGTGTAAGTAGATAACGTCCCAGTAGATAAAATCATTCTCGGCCGTGAAAAATTGCGCTCTCGCATGATGAAGATTCGCAGCCATGGGAATTCTGTGTAACTGAACTTCGGGGAGAAATTACTTTTTTTCATGGAAATCGAAACAAAGCATATACAAGAACTCTTATGATAACAGAAGTGGCATGGGAGGGGTCCATAGGGTAAAATGTAACGTATTGGACCCATCAAGTAATTTTCTTTTTTTTATTTGTGATATCCAAAAAAGTTTCACTTGAGAAAAGTTTGGACTGCGAGAATTGATACTGTTGATCCTATATTTGTTGTTTTCTGGTTGGACCATGTTAAACAGTACAATTATTCTAACCAGACTTCTAATCATTTGAAGAAAATAACTATTACGATCACCTACCGATTTGTCACTCCAGTGACAGATCGAAAGTAGATAAATATTCCTTTATATATATATATATATTCTCAGAGTTCAGATAATCAGCAACAGCATTCGAGGAGTGACTCCCTAAGTTAGGTAGCGAGACTGTCCGAGTCAAAGGCGCCAAAATGGCCGCTCCCAAATCTCCACGACTCTAAAGTCCGAAATGAGTCTCCAGTCAATGGTCAGAGGGCGAAGAATATTCCTGTGTCAGGTCGACACATGAACAAAACGAGGACCGATGCCCGCGGCTCCTCACGTTCCTCCCGTCTCCGTGGGACCTTGTTCCCGCTCCATGCAGCGCCCGGCTCCGCATCCGCGCTTCTGATCGAGAGAAGGCGCGACAGTTCTCGTTGGCGGACGCGGACCTGCGGCTCTTTCTCCTCAGGTGATCAATCGATCGCTGCGGCCCTTCGTCGTTCTTCCGAGTGTTGATTGTCAGCTGCGTGGCTGTCAAAATGCTGTCCTCCCGAGTCTTTTGCTTCCCGAGGCTTCCACGGGCGAATGACGGGAAGCTTAAAACCTATTACGTCACAATCCTGCCTGTTGCAATTATCGGACGCAGAGTTTGTGAAGCTCGTCCATGATTGACGATAGCCAAAACGTCAGTTTCATCCAGGTCATCCCTCCGCTGTGTCGAAGGCGTCCAAATTACTCGTTTGAGACATTGACACTCGAGGACAGTTTAAATACTTGTTCGATCCGTAATAATCCGTCTATGAAAATTCTTCCTTCCAAAATCCTAGCCTGTGTCATCAACGCGATCAGTGATTGGTCTGGAAGTGTAATTCTGCGGGCCTGTGCTTGCCTCTTTTTACATATGGTTCATCTGAAACCGCGGTGCTCTTACCTGTATAAGTGAAGACACGTGTGGGGAAACTAGACATTCGATTCTACAGCTAGTGAAGTTAGTGTCTTGTAGTGCTTGTAACTTCCCTGCGACTTGAAACGAAGTCGTTTTTTTTCTCCAACCATTCTGTGTCAGCTGCCCTCTGATCGGCCTCTGGTTTCTTCTACTTCCCAACCTGGTATTCGACTCCCACTCTACGGGTACAAGTTGATCCAGCTAGGGCGCCTGCTTTTGTGGATGAGACGGTGATTTCGATCATGGACTTGACGTGTTTGTGCAAACAGGGTTGTCATTGTGATTTTTCTTTGTGCAGTGTAAAAAATGGCAGATATTGTGCAGCATGGATGGGAGAAGTATCTGTATGCCCTCCAAAAGTATCCGTTGCGCACGAAGGTAAGGTCTGGAATTATCGATTCTGAAAATGTGTTAATTTCTTTCATGCCAACATATCTCCGTGCATTGGTGTCAATTTGGAGTCAAAGACTGTCCTTGCTTTCCAATCTTAGCGTTAGCTCTATACTCGTACAATTATAGATATTTTCATGGTCAGCATGTATTACATCGAAAAATCTAAATACATGCAGCTGAAATAGCTAGTATCAAAGTCACCTGGGTTGCGGGTCTTGCTATCCTAGATTTGCAGTAGCGTTCAATTGGTGCACATGCAAAATGTCACACCTTCCGTAAAGCTTCCGGAAAGATGAATGTGTTTTGGAGTACAAGTTCAAGACTTTACTGCTTTGCGTTTATAGGCAATCACCGCTGGCGTGCTCGCTGGGAGTAGTGATATGATGGCCCAGAAGTTGGGTGGAGCAAAGTCTTTACAATTTAAACGATCTTTCTTTATGGCGGTTAGTTCCTGTTGTCTCAACTTGATTTAGATTCTTAGAAGAACTTTGGGATCCTATGAATGGTTGAATCGAAGTTGACTGCTTCCATTGCTTCTTCTTGTACATTCATGGGTCACTAGAGGCCCTTGTTATTGGTGCTGTTACTTTCGTATCAATGATGTACCAAGAGTATGAATGCTAATACTATTAAGTACGAATTGAACTAATGTGAAAAATATTGGCTATCGATCAGCTGTACGGATTACTGTATGCTGGACCTTTCGGACATTTCTTCCACAAACTAATGGACAGCATTTTTGCTGGAAGACGAGATGGTAAAACCTTGCTTAAGAAGGTAATTTTAAAGCATTGGCTATCCCCTCTATGCTGCAATTGCTGTTGTAAGAGTTATTCCTCAATGCTGCTGGTTCGGTATGTGTCACTAAGTTCTTTTGATGCCATTCCTTGTCTAGCATATTTTGCAAGCTCCCGGAAGAAATGAAAATCAACTTCAGTGTTTTCTTTTCGCAACTTTGCAATTGCTTTGAAAGGTCTTGTATCGTTGTATCTTATTTCGTTCACTAGCAACTGCAATTATCTGATCTCCACGTCGAGGAATGATCGCTGGTAGAGTTTTGTCGTCTAAACTTCTGGTCGAGATACATGTCAAGACCGAAGAACAGTGGAAACAAAAGCGTGTGTCAAACGTAATCGGTGAATGGAACCTGCTTTACTTTCTCTGACATCATAATTTCCAGGTGTTGACAGAGCAACTGACATCAGGACCATGGAACAACTTTCTGTTCATGTGCTACATTGGATTGGTACTTGAAAGTGAGTTGTTGCCTATATAAGATTCAGAAGACTGCATACGATGAGCTCTGTTTCACTCCGATTTGTTGATTCAAATGTGTGCTGTGCTTTTCACCATTATCAGTCTCCATTGGAATGTTGACGAAACTGTACTTCTTTTCTACTTCAGGAAGACCTTGGAGCGCCGTGAAGGCCAGACTCTCCACAGACTATCCATCTGTTCAGTTGAATGCTTGGAGGGTATGTTCAATCTTGTTCTTCTTAAAATAAATCCAGTAATCTGAATGTCTGTCTTTCAAGAATAAGCGCATTGCAATAAATTTATTTTGTAGTTTACATCCTTTTTACCTCATTTGTTTTCAACGAAGTGTCCTGTACACAGAAATGGCACTCATGTTGTTCTCTCTGTTAGCAGTTTCCCGAGACTAATGTTATTACATGTTGATGTTGCAGTTTTGGCCTATTGTCAGCTTGTTGAATTATCGATATGTACCCCCACAGCTCCGAGTTCTATTTCAAAATCTGGCTGCCGTTTGCTGGTAAGTCAGGACTACATACCCGAAGAATAATGCAGTAAACAATATTTGTCTCTTCTACACAGCTCCTTCCGAAGGGAAGATGCTTGATTGGGTCAAGTACCGTGTTCAGGTTTGAATCTCAGTTTTACTTTCGAAAAAGAGAAGTCAAGAAGGATTGAAAGTGTGTGATGGTAATGGTATGTAAGCTAGTGTCTCACGCTTTATGTTATTTGTTTAAAGATGACTATTTGGATTCCAAGGTATCCCGCTGTCCAGATTCAAACTGGTGTTATCTGGACCGAAATATATTGTTCGTTTGATCCATTTATTTCTTACACATCCGCCCTTGAGCCTGCCAGGAGTAACTACCTAAAGTGGAGGATTCTTGCTCGTGACAGGGGCACATTCCTCATTCTAAGTTCCAAGAAGCATACACCAGTGTTGAAGAAGGCTATCTGAGTTCCTAGAACTCAAACCTGACGACTGATAAGTTGCTCGAACGTTCAAAGACCTGAAGAGGGTAAGCTCCTCGCCAACTTTCAACCATTGCAAACACCTGTTGGCTCCAGACGTCATCACTATCCCTCTTGTAATACCAATATGGAAGTATTTGGCTGTAAATCTTGGCAACAGGTGACGTAGGTTAGTCCCGGTCGCGAGTTATTCTGTGTAAGCTGCTCAGAGAAGACCTGTTACAAAGGATGGGGCGAACAGAAAGTTGAGCGTCTGACCAAGTATAAAGTAGTCTACAACAAGCAAGTGTTTGTTGTTGGCTGCTTAGCCGGAGCAGGTCGTTTCATATGCTTGTGGGACTCCAAAACTCCTTCGAAGATATCATATTTTCCAGGCTTAACCTGGAGGATACATCTCCTTGTATATAAATTTCGATATTATTCTGCATCACAAGATATTCATCGTGCACCTCACGTAGTACAGTAGAGTTTAATAAGACATCTTTCAGATTTCGTAGGCACTAACGACCGTCTCATGCGATTGTCTGCAGCATGGTAGGTCCAGTAGACCAACCAGCTTATGAACAATTTAGACTTAAAGCGACTGAGGCGGATTGCAAAAGCATATCTATAGAACTTCAAACGATTACTAGCGAAGATATCTCGCCGTGCCCATGTTGTATTAGACCTGTGCTACCACATGTACTTTGCCCAAGAACTTGACATAAAGTATTACTAGCTACACTAAGTTCACAGATGGATGATGAGGAAAATGCAGAATTCTTACATTCTTACTTCACCGAACCTTAGCTTTCTATCGATCTTTACCAAGTTTGACGATATTGGTGATCTCAAATATAAGTGTATTTGCCATAAGACAAATACACTACGGACACGTCAATGAGGATATTCAGGACATTGGACTACAAAAGTTAGGATGAATCTCCGCTGTCAAATGGACTTAACGTTAAGGATATAAATGTAAAAACTTGGACACTTCTGAGAAGTTGGATAGTTTTACCACTAGAAATATAGGAGGATAACCTGAGATTCAATTTTGCAAGGTACAGCAAGGTATATTCTTATCAAGCGTAACATAAGCCTGAGATATGTCTTGGAGGAAGTCCTAAACCGCAATGTGATTATCGTGATTTTCACATCCTTTTGTTGACCACTATGTAGATATGATTGAAAGATGGAAGTTCTTGAAGAGCACATTTGACTTAGAGATAGTATGTCACTCCTAGATGAATTATCTAATAAGCATAATGTTGTGTTGGTTGGTTGTAACTGACTCAAGAACCTCCCTATGCATTTGTTTATGCACGTTTTTAGTAAATTTCTAAAGGTGTTGGAATGATGAGATACTCTTTTACATATTGCTTTGGATCTTAATTTTAAGATATGATGAGATTACGAAGAGACTATATTTTTCTCTCACAGGCTAAACAGATGATGCTGATTTCCAAATATTTTGAAATTTAACAACGTTGATAATAGATTAATTATAAATAAAAATCAAATTTTTAGATACTAAATTTTGAAGGATTCATGCTGAATCCCTTTATGGGTTTAGAATATCTGTTTGTAATATTCTTGAGTAACCTGTAATTTTATGATGAATTACCATGTTTTCAATTAAGTGAAAAAAAAAATTTGATTAGCAGTTATGATTGGACCATATTTTTAATGGTCAATCGGGTAGAACCCAGTAGACAATCCAACTGTGAAAAGAAAACTAGAAAAAAACAAAATTAATTCTCATGTTACAATACTCAATTTTATAAACTATTTACTTGATTGTATCCAATCGAAATCTAAATTGCTTGATGATATCCATTAAGTTCAATTTTACCCGCTGGTATTCCATTCACGGCATATCGTCATTAACTTCTGAAAGGTGTTTCTATACACTAAAGTTTTCATCATATATAGCAGAGATTCACTAAACCTCTGCTATTGCAAATCTCTATCGATATTGTCGCAGAGGACTTGAGTTTTGAGCTATCGGAATTTAAACTTGGTGAGCAATATTGGAATTTGTGGAGTAAATTCACAGGGAAGAATAAAGACTTGTGAATCTAAGTATCAGATAATTTTACAAATTTTGGTGCAATAGGGAAATTTCGGAAGAAGTGTCTGGGTCCGATTATGCAGAGTAGAAATTTGAGTGATTCAATGAGGCAGACGAGTCAGTCTCGTTGTCACACCATCGTTTAATACTGGAACATGCGCTACGTATATTTTCAAAGATGCCCCATAGGATAAAACGAAAATTAAAGTATCCCAGTAAGCACTTTAGGTTAAAATGGATCTCATCAAGTAAATAGCTCAAGTTTTATTTATTAAGTTATAAAATATTGATATAAAATCTTATCTAAAAATAAACTTTAAATACTAGTATTTAAATAAAGACATATTCCGGAAGTTGTGTATAACTTTTTTCCATCAAAATTGTAAACATATCATACCGTTTATGCATATAATGAATATATTTGTTATATATTTTATGGAACTCAATTGAAAAATAAGTTATTTACATCTACCCAAAAACAAGGAATAGTTAAAGGAGTACTGGAAAGAACTTCTGAACATGACGAACTTATTCTTAAAATTGACTCATGACGACCGTTGACACCAATATTCAAAGATTGATAGATAGATATATATCTGTTTATATCATAACTAAAATAAAAGCTAAAGTTAGTGCAAAAATGTCCATAACTTGGGGCTGATCGGTAGAGTTTAATGCACCTAGAAGTTTACCCAGAAGCGAAACATTGCAAATAAGCGAAACTTTAAGTCATTTACATTGATGCAAATTCGGTTAGTATTGGTTGTATCAATGGAAAAATTGATCAATTTCAACTTAAAAAAATATTTTATAATTCAGCTTGAGGAGAAAAAAATTAAATGATGAAAACCTTCAAATCGGGAAAATCCAGTTAACAGCATATAGCGACTTAAAAGCATTGAGCTTTTCCGACTAGAAAATGAAGCAGCATTTATGTGAACAAGAGCCCAAAATTGCCATTTTGGTCATTGACTTTCAGAGTGCATCAAGAATGTGGACTATAAAATGAAGCAACATATGTGGCCTTAGGTCATTTGCAGAGTAGCTGAATGCTGAGTCGAAAGTCAGTCCGGGATATAGGTACGCGCCGACCGTGGGGATCGAACCCACGACCACGTGGTTAAAAGCCACGCGCTCTACCACTGAGCTAGGTCGGCTTACGGAACAAAACTGAGGTGTTATATTATATAATACTAAATTAATTTCATCTTTACTGGATTAACTTAGATGAATGTGCAATCTAGATGAACTAAGTAGAAAGTTTTTTAATTAGGATTTCTTGCTTGCATGAACAGAAAATTGCAACTCCACGTATTTCTATCACGACAGTAAAACTGTACACAGCCAGATCTTCCTTACAGATGGCACAATCGCCGTTTGCAGGAGTTTTCGTCCTTGGAACATGAAAAGGACTTCTTTTGAAGTTCTCCAAAGTGTGTAAGCACATCAAAGCACGTCAGCACAAATGTATGGTGTATGAAGTAAAGGACACGTGTACTGCCGAAGGAATGCCATCAGACCAGTAGGTGACAAAAAGGTCAAGATATTCCACAGGACTTCCGACTGTGTCAGATTGTTCGCTTCTGTAGGAGGATGAATCGCTTCAGTCGCGACGCGCAACTGGTACGTAGTGGATCTGAGAAGGCAGGCGACCGACACCTTCCTGCATCATTCGACCCGTCGGAAGCTGGACGGAGGCCTCACGAATTATCATGCACTCACTCTCATCTCTGGGATGAGGTGTCCAGATGTTGAAACAGTCAATTTATTCTCCACTAGGGCCATTTCGAAGGGTGATGGCATTGATCTCTACATTGAAAGAATTTTCCTTGGTAACGGCGCAGGTGCATATGCCAGGGTAGCAATGCTGCCAGCCCAAACGTTGAAGTCTTAGGTTCATGATTTCCATTTCTCGGTAGGCTGTTACGTGACTGCTCTGCTAGTCATGGCTTAAACGTACAATATTTAAATTTAATAATGTCCAAACAATTATTTCATAACCTAGACTTCAATCCAGATTATATGCACTATTTGAAGCTTTTTAGTGCTGTTTAATGACCTACGCCATTCATCCTTGAATGGAACAAGTTTGGGAGATTTTCTGGCTGATGCAGGAAAAAATCATAGGGAGATTTTATTGCCTCGTCACCTCTGCCGTATTTACTAAAGCTTCGCTTATGGAAGATAGAAAGGACCAAAAGGGAAAGGCACTTGAACATCTCACACTCTATCGGAAACAGCTCCTGTAATTATCCTTTGTCTTTATTCATCGAAGCCGCAAAGTATATTACTGAGAGTCCGAAATATGATATGATATGGTAAAATATGATGATTGAGTCATCATATTTATTTTAGACTTCCATCACGGTGTAGCATTAAACTCTACGACATTTAATTATGGGTACTGTCATAATAACGAACGGAGCTGAGCTTGAACAAAGGTAGTAAACTACAATTCCGTTATCTAAATCTCGATTATGAGTAATCAAGATTATGACATCTTCTGAGACACATAGTCAGTCTTGCAGCAAGTTACTGAGGAGATTCACAAAAGGAGTTTTCGCTTTGGGGGATAACGTCAGAGGGTCCTTGGCGATAAATCACCCTTTGAGTATATAAATTGGCATAAACCTGTCCTAAATGGTCGGGTTTGGAACAAATCTGATGTATTCTGGTCCTCCACGGCTGCTAAGAGATTCTTAGCACCAGAAGAGTCAAATGGACCCAGCAGTTCACTGGATCGAGAATCTGGACGACCGGCCATTGACGAAGTAAATCGAGAGATCTGAACGCGACCTTTCTGCACGCATAGAACCGGGTGTTAAACAACTATTCGAAAAACATCGGATCGGAAGATTCTTCGTCCGAGTAGAGTAGGCTGAAAAGTCTTCGACCTGTGTCGCAGCTCTATTCCTTCAGATAAGAAAAGCATACATCTGTGTCAGCACACGATGGCTGTGGACCTCGCCGCATCGGCACATCCCCACCTCATTTCCACGTCATCAGAACGCTCGGAAGCACAGGTTCCATGCTCGAAGAATATGCCACCACTGTAACACGCGAAACTGCATCTTACAACATTTGCCATTTTTCTCTTGGCTCTCTGCCAAAGCCTGGTCGATTTAATTTTTCAAACTTCGTCTGATCATTTGTAAGTGGAGGGAAACTCGAAAAGTGCTCTTGTGGGATGGATTTAATTTTTCCTGGTTTGTATTATTTTTCTTTAAAACAAAAATTCGCCGAGGAATTTGGGCTTAGTTGTATGTACGGTTTAGAGTTGTTGTAGACAGGCGAAGAAGATCGAAGATACGAAATTGGACTTTCGCGTCCCAGTTTCTTGGACCGAACGTCCGGTTCGGAGGAAGGGATGATACCGGAGCGTGTAAGGAGCGGGCGCAGGTCGTCGATTCGCCGCCCGCTGAGAAGATTCGAATCCGATCGCAAGCGCTACAGAAGCGCAGAGCGACCGCGGGCGGTTCCCGGAGGCGTGAGAGGAGAGGAGACGAGACGAGGATGGATGGATGGAGGGTCCGTCCGTCAACCTGCCCGATAGGCCGCGGAGGAAGAAAGAAATCTCCACGTCGGATTGCAGGCAAATCGAGAGTGGGGTCCTGGGGAATATGCGGAATCGACGACTGCATTGCGCCTCGGCCACGGAGGAGACGAGAAGAGACGTCCGTCGGAGTCCGTCGCCCAGAGGGAGGAGCGTGAGCTCGCCGTGAAGGAAAGACGCGACGAGCAAGAAGAGTACGTACGTGCGTGCTGCGATCCGGTTCGTAGTGCATGGCATGAAGGCCCGAGCACAAGAAGCAGAAGAAGAAGAAGAGGAAAGAGCAGCAGCAGAAGAAGCAGAACGACGAGAGAGAGAGAGAGGGAGAGAGAGCGGCGGGGCCGGAAAGGGGGCGATCGAGCAAGATAATGAGCACAGGACGGCCTTGCACTACTGCACCAAGCGAGCAGCAGGATCCGGAGGATTCCATCGCGAGAGAGGGAGAGAGGTTCAGAGCGGACAAGAAAAGAGCGCGAGGTGGCTGGGCTTCGTTGAGTGGGGTCGAGCATGGCATGATCTTGTTGGCCGCAGAGGAGGATGAAATCTTGTCGCAGTCGCCACGATCGCGATGCATGAGCAGTAGTGTGAGTGAGTAAGTGAGAGAGAGAGAGAGAGAGAGAGAGAGAGAGAGTGGGCGATGTGGAGGCGGTCGGAGGAGGGCGATGCATGGGAAGGTTATGTTTCGCCTTGGGGATTGTATTACCTTGGAATATATGGAGATGTTTGGAGGTGATTGATTGAGATATTGATCAATCAATCTATTAATCAATCTTCTGGGCTTTATTATGGGTGTCCGTGCATCTTTCGTAGGCTCTCCGCAACAGAAGATCTTGCGATTGCTTGCCGGGGCGTGAGGGGAAACCACTGTTGGAAAACCGCGCTGAACAATGTCCTGAGCTTTCCAGTCGGCTGGCGAGAGAGAATCGGGCGCGCTTTTCAGATTCTACTCGTCTACAGCTGCGGCCCTGTGCGCATCTCGTGCTGCGAAAGTCGATGATAGTGTATCTCCAACAGGGACACGTGATTGAAAACTTCAAGCGTTATATACTTGATGCGTATGGTGGCTGAGGAACCTCTCGTGACGAGTGAGTTGACGGAGAATTTTTCCAAGTCTGTAAGACCATACCGATGATGCCCAGTTCGTATGCCTGCCTCGAAAGTTCGAAACGATTATCCCGAGCTGAAAGACGTCGAGGTCATGATCTTTTAGTAGCTCCTCCTCATGAAGTATCGGGTTAAATAGCGTGTCTGAGAATTCGAGGAGCTTGAGCGCTGTTTGGAGTGAAAATATGATCGTGACTGACTTAGATCAAGAACTTCGAATTGAGGAGGAATTTTGAAGCCTGATTGAGACGACTCGTGGAGGACTGATGGAGGGTGAAAGCAATCCGCGGGTGGTACTGCTAAACGACTGGCGTGGTACGGTTGTTGGCCTTGCCTACGATTCGGATTCTCACGAGGCCAGAGAAGCGAGTCCAATTTTCACTTTGGAGCATCGTTACACCAATCTGCAGGACAGTGGAAGTGGGGTGACAGGAGTAGCCGGAGGTTTATCCGCGGATTCACAGCAACAGAGATCATCAACGGATGGCGCGTTTCCTAGAGTTGCATCTCACGTATTGGAACGCCTCATGCTCGTGGCGCGCAAATGCCTGTTCAAAACAACCGTCGAAGAGCACGTGGAGAAATTATTTGCGGACGATGTTCATACGAAGGAGCGCGCTGCGTGTGCGCTGGCGGACCTCTCTCTCACCTCTCGAGAGCATAAGCTGAAGATTACCGAAACTCCGCGGGCTTTGGAGGGGCTTGTAAACTTATTACAGCTGAATTCGGCTGGGATGACACATCATGAGGTCCAGTGCGCCAAGGCGCAGACGGAGGCAACGAGGGCTCTGGTAAGCCTGGCTTGTGAGCAAGAAAACAGGTGGATCATATCTGAGTATCCTTTTGCATTAACAGGTCTCGTGAAAGTGCTTCTGACGAATTGCGATCCAGAGGCGAGAAAATGGGCTGCACAGGCTTTGGGGAATCTTTGCACGCATTCACGAGAGGTTAGGTTGAAGATTGGAGAGGTTCCTAATGCTTTGGCAGGGCTTGTGAGGTTGGTCAACAAAGATAAGGTGGATTCAGTGAGAGAGCAAGCCGCGAGGACGTTAGCAATCCTCATGAAAGGACAGCAGGAAAATAAGGAAAAGATCGCTAAAATTCCTCATGCGGTTGCATCTCTGGTGAGATTGTTGGCACCTCATGAGAGCCTGGGAGCGCAGAGGATGGGGGCATTAGCCTTGGCTAGTCTCAATTACTCGGAAGACATTTTGCTCGAGATTGCTAACACCCCGGGTGCTGTAACGGCTTTAGTCGGTTTGCTGTCCGCTGACGAAAGGGCTCGCCACAAATTAGAGTACGCGGCAACAGCAGCAGCAGGGAGCAGCACTCGAGCTCATCACGGTAACAGACGGAAAGCAGTTGAAGACGATGAGGCTCCTCCAGACAAACTTGCAACATTGGTAGGCGTATTGGTGAATCAAGAAAATCCGAACTCGCAGAAACGCACAGCTATCGCGTTAGCCAATATTTATTTGCGAGAGAAAGTATTTTCTCTCATGACAGGGACAGTTGGATTGGGTTGTTCACGTCGAGGTATGAACCCCGTCGAGCACATGGCCCACTTCGAGGGAGGGAGTCTGAACATGGAAGATCGTGCTGTCAACGTTCTACACTTCCTCGCGGCGGCGAGGGAAAAGAAAATGTTGATGTCGGAATATCCCAACGCCATGATAGGCTCCGTCGGGCCGTTGCCCAAGGAAGGGAACCGAGACTCTCCGACTTGCGCATTCGGAGCAATGGCCCTGGCGAGTCTTGCCCGTGCTCACAGAAATCGGAGAAAAATTGCAGAGTGTCCCGGCGCCTTGGCAGGTTTGGTGAAACTCCTCGGGAAAACAGAATGTTCTATCGCGCAAGCGCACGCAGCTTGTGCGCTCGCCAACATCGCTCATGGAGATCGACAAATTCAGTACACCATCACCAGGGTCCCGAATTCGAATGTTGTAGCTGCTCTTGTCAGGATGCTATTCAAACGAGAAAGTCATTATGTGCAAGCACAGGCAGCGAGAGCGTTAGCGTGTCTTGCGTCCGTTCGAGATCGAGATAACAATCTGGTTATTATCGCGAAGTACCCTAACATTATGACAGATCTATCCCGTTTGTTGTTCCAGTCCGATGTGCCCAGCGTCCAGGAGGAGGCCGCCTGGGCTTTGGTCAACATAGGCCACCGTCATTTAGGACATTAGATGATGCTAAAAACATTTACGATCTTCAATACTCGAAGACGATAGATCAAGAAGATTTTGCCTTCAGTTTCTAATTCTATGTTATTACGCTCCAAAGTAATACGTGTAGATGTTACATTCGAACCCCCAGTGTCGTATTAGATGTAGATAGACAGCGGCCGACTCTTGTCGCTCCTGAATGATTAGAAAAGAACATTTGATCCTGAAGTTGGCTCGATGATTCGTGATACTTTAACTTATAGGCTCGGGATGATGATTCAAGGTGAAAAAAAAACCGAATCATCTCCTCAACATATTTCCTTTAGGCCCAGTTTTGTTCCGCCGATCGTATGATCATGAAAATTGTACTTTACCTTTCCTTGCGTACTAAAATCGAGCAGAGTTCAAGCAGTGTACCGAATCTGATCTTTCCGACAGCATGTAATTTCACCCAAGAGGGCTTTTACCAGTGACATCTATTGATCAGAGGCTTTTTGTACAGTATGTATCCGCTTAGAAGATATCAATCCACAGCGTGAAGATGTGGAAGACGTAGGTTCCCAGTATGCGCTACAGTGACTGTTTCTCTTCCCACCTCTATGTTATCGGAACGTGGATAAGTTGCCGAGTACATGTCACTGCCTGATTGCTTTCTCAATCATGCTGTGCAGGTTTTACCACATTGAAGCTGGAGTCTGGAAAATAAGTCGCACAAAAGGAGGTAATCATATCCATGAGTTACAGCTAAGTCTCAGATTCAATTTAAAGTAGGGACTGAAATATGAACTGCCTGACCGGGTCATTATGGTTCCTACCCTCTTTCGCCACCTTGGCCTCTTACTGAGACTCTGGCGAGCTTTGAGGAAGCGCCAAGACGCGATGGCGGTCAGGTATGTCTGTCTTTTCCCACCACTCACAGAGCAGTCATCCCCCTTTTTTGCGGCCCAGGCTGACTTGACTGTTCGAAATGATTCATCACTCTCTGAGAGTCAGCAGTACGTTGACCGATGTGGCTATCGGCGAGCACTGTAGGAACTGCTCTTTATGTCACGGAATGGTCAACTTTTAAACTTGTCATTTCACAACGCCCGTCGAGTCACTTCAGCTTCCCGGTTCCTTCGTATTCCAATATTTCCTTTCGGCCCATCTAAACCTTACGACTTTCCTGCGTCGGACGAGACTCTGCACCCAAGGCAGATACTCATATTTTAACTCGGTCAACAGCCGACGTTTCCAGGCTGCAGACTTGTATTGGCCATAAATGGTGGAACTTGGGTAGGGATTTTGTCGTTTTAAACTAGAGACTTACAAGTCTAGTCTTTTGGCGCAGCTAGTACTGTGCGCTCCGAAGGCACACAGTACTTTGATTCGTTGGTACGCTACTAGCTTTCCAGATGTCAGAATCAATGATGGTGCAGAAAGCACGAGGCAGAGGTGCGGCATTCATTCTGTTCCCACAGAAGTTTAACTTAGGTTAGTCTCGCTTTCAGAGTTTTGGTTACAACATATACAACTTACACGAACGTGTCGATGTTCGACGCTCGCCAGGATGCTCTCAAAACACTGGCCGAAGCTGGACTCCCTGGAAAGACTTGGTCAGTATATGATAGAAGTGAGTTCCATTCAGCTAATCGAATATCAAGAATGCGTCGGAGTGAAACAGCTTGTCGACGGATACAATTACTTCATAAATGTGACATCGACTTCGCCAATAGCCACGTGCAGTACTGCATCAATGAATGCCGAACCGACCACTCTACCCGTCTTCGGTCCTTCGGACCTCCAAATCGGCATTAACTCGAATGTACCCTCCCTCAGTTTCCACCCCGCTTATCTAAGTCTTGAAGACCCCTTCCGCTGGAAAGAATTTCAACGCATGAGCTTCAGCCAAAAATCCCAGAAGAACTGGTCGTTGCTTGTAGCCCCGATACTCTTGAAGTGGTCAAACTGCTTGGCCTACTAGTGCTGGAACCCCCGAACAAGACCCACAGTACGTCCTAGCCTCTGAGATCGCCCGAATGTAATGTGGCAGTCCCATGTCTTCAAGCGGGATGCCCATCTCTGATAATTTCAGCTCAAATGATCTGATGACGTCATGGTGGATCTGTAAACACATTGCGTAATCAAAGTGAGTCGGCTTTCGACAATTTGATTTTCCTGAGTGAAACATGGGAACAATGGAAAACTTTACAACCATCAGTGCTTCAACAACATTCGACTGACGGTGTCTGTGGTTGTGAAGGAAACAAACCCTCTTCATCTTCCCAATGTCGTAGCGCAGTGATTTAATTTGTTGGTTCTTGGAATCCAGTAGATTCTCTACTCCTTTCTTCGCTTCGTCGATCTGAGCGGCATCCTTGCCGCTATCAGCCGCCAGGTAGTTCAGCTGTGTTTCCTGGAGGCAAATAAGTACTGGTTGACTTTCGGATACGGAAGTTACTTGCCGCTCAGGTCAAAAGTTGCAACATCTAGCCAGGGAAACAAAAAGTAGGGTTGTTGACACAACTCGAATTCTCCTTTTCGTCTACGGCTCTATCTTGTCAGTGATCTATGAAGCGGACGAAAAGAGCAGAGCCGCCTCGTTTTGTCCTAGAACCTGGTCATTGTAACAAATATGCTCGTATGACTTTCACCTAACGAATTTTTTAATGAATGCATCTTTCAGAGAAAGACAGGCCAGACCTTCTTCTCTAGAGTCGTAGAAAGGACTTGCACTTTCTTCTCCAGGAGCATGTTTTTAAGGCCACATTTCTGCTGTACTTCGTAGATGCTGCTCTCGAATTTCTTAACAACGTCATCCCTTTCAGCTTCAGCCTGTAAAGTACCTCATAGATAGTGAAGATTCTACAGGTGTCAAATTCCTAAACTGTACGACAAGGTTTCATGTGTTTCCACGCGGACAAGCTAGTAAGAAGGTTAGCTGATGATACCCGTACTGACAGTTAATGGAACATCAGTGCTGGTAGTGGAACTGAAGACAAGGTATTGAGGTTCTGTGAAGTAGCAAGGGGAAGCCCCGCATGTTCTCAAAAGATCCAAAGGTTTAAGGGACGGACTAGTAACGATCGTGACAGCGAGGGGCATGGGGAATGCCTCCATGATGCAGTAAGCAACTTTCTCTCTTATATGGCTACCTCTTACATTATTCACGCGCTCTTGAAGGGCTTGATATTCCCACTCGAGAGCCTTCAGTTCTTTTGTTCTATCGTTGAATTGTTTCGTCCGCTGGTGGAGCAAAGCCTTGTCCTGGATGGTGTTGTCGTTTCGTTAGTACAATTGAAATGCTAGCTTTGTGAGAAGGATATAGGAATCACACTCCGAGGTTCTCACTCCGAGAGTAGTCTTAGATCATACTTACTTTTTCATAGTTTTGCACCGACTTTCTGAGTGTTTCTACTTCCTTCAAGGCTTTCTGAAGAGGCTCCGTCAGCCTCTTGTTTTCTTGAGCTATCTCATGCATGAGTTTCTCATTGAGGGCCTCTTTCTTCTTCATGTCGGTCACGTCCTCCTATAAGAGACCATTACGCGAGTGAGGATGGCTTCGTCTCAGCAGATGACTTCAGACGTGGGCACGTGAAAAAACCCTAGAAGTTGGAGCTTAACGACAGCAAATCACCTTCAAAGTTTTTATGAGGTCCAAATTATTCTTGGTGATATCGTTGTAGTAGCATTTTATTTCTGTAAACGCCTTCTCGTGCTTTTTGATCAGCTCGTTTATATGTTTGTTCTTGCGTTCTTCAATCTCATGAATCTCATGCTTTCGTCGAAGCTCCAATTCTTCTCGCAACATCTTTATCTGTTTATGCGAGTGAGGATCAGTACGATATGCCGATCTTTCGCATCTCTTTCCCAACTACCATTGTGGGCCATGTGCCGTTCGGATAGAAGTTCCCAATTTTTCTTCACCAGTGCTGCTGTACGTCACAACATCAACCAGCGTGTGACAGATTTCTGTCGCTGAGTCGAAAAGAGAAGGAGTGGAACAGTTATGTTCAACGTTACAACTCCTGGCCTGAAGTAGTGATCTTTGTAGGTTCTGAACGACGTTACGCAAATATTACTTCGACGAAAAATCGCAGAACGATCTGTTTTCATTGCTAAATTTTGTACTGCAGTACGCTAGTTCTTAACAAATGAGGCAAGATCAGTCGCTGGCAAGTTCGACATATTACCTTTTTCTCGCACTTGTCCTCAACTTCCTTCTGTTGTATTTCAAACTCTTGCCTCATTTTTGTGATCTCCTTGGCACGTTCCTAAATACGAACAAGGCAACTTGCAAACTCTTGGTTAGAGATTCATTGCAGATTTCGAGCTACATCGCAATGCAGCCTTTGTCCACTTCAACATGCTCTACGTTCAGAAAAACACGAACCAAAGTATGTCTCAATACCAATTCGCAGGATTCGTGAGGACAGTAAGAATCCTCGAAAAAACAAGTCATAAGCAGATGCTCAAGTTCAAATGTCAAGGCTTTGAGTAGTGGAAGAAGTTACCAATCTAAATTGCCTGATAAGCTCTTCGTATGAGAGTTCCATTTCTTTCAGTTGCTCTTTTAAGTCACGTTTGTCGCTCCTGGTGACATACAAGAATGTGTTTGAGACCCGGCCTCTCAAGAGTTCGAAGAGGTGGCCAACTTGAGGAAGTAAGGCCTGTTGGAGACATCTGATAAACTGTAGCTTGATTATTGAACGAAGACCTTGAGAGGTGAGGTAAGGAAGACAAACATCAGCTCGGCTTCACGTTGTAGCCCTTGTTCGGCCTGCAGTTTCAAAGCCTGCTGGTTGTCCGTCTTGATGGTAGTGACGGTGTGTTGCTGTTCGTAAAGCAAATGCTTCATCTTTTGGTTGTAAACCTGACAAAAGAATCCACTGCAAAAGCTTGTTACCCTTTCGTATACATCGATTGCACTATTTGTGTCAATGTCAGTGGTGTACCTAAACCCTAAGCGGGGATCCTACTTCTGTGCCCTGGAATGCAAAACAGGGCATAATAAGGGTTTAGAAGTGCCTTGATTTCGCCTTGGTGCTTCTCCTCGAGCTCCTCCGCATAGCGATCTTTTATCTTCAACTGTGCCTGGAGTTTCTCGTACTCCTCCTTCTTGATGTCCCAAAAGGCATGTATCTTGTCCTGCCACATTTTGATCCATAAACGGCTTGATATGAATTGTTGTAGAATTGAAGCAATTGCTGATTGTTTCTTCGGGTTGGCAGAAGTGCTGGCACGAAGTTGAAACTGCCATCGCTAGTGTACAAGGCCACTTTGACCATTTCAGCAAGAAATATGCGGGACAAGTAGGGAAAGCACGCACTCGTTCAAGCTGCATGACATTGCGTTCACTTTGCTCTTTCAATTTTTCCGCCTCGAGAATAACAATCTGCGCCTGCAATTCTTTCACAGTTGGACCTGTAGGCTTCTCCTTCTTTTTACCCTTCTTCCCTTTCTTTTTGGGATCAGGTTTGGGCGCCATTTTGGCAGAATGGCTTCAACGTGCAATCGCAAGTCTTTGAATCGAATGGTAAGAGAGCCTATTTGCCAGTCCTTTCTGGGCCAAACTTCACGAGCCCGTGTACCAAACTTCAACACAGCTGAGGCAGCTCGCTTCTCATTGCGCCATTATCGAGGCATAACGTTGTTTGCTGGAGTCCAGGATCCAAGAAAACAACGATCCATTCACGATCGCGGATTTTTCAAGTCGTTTCAACTGCTGCCACTGAGAATTCGATCCTTGCAGTGACAAAATCAAAACGGCAACTCCCACCGGTTCTCGGTCACGTCCTGAAATCGAACATTCTCAGTGTTTCCCCGAACTGATTCTCAGATTGTAAGAGGTATTTCTACTCGAACAGAAAATAATACATTGTCGAAATTGCGTTCCTTTCACTGAGTGACCAGAATCCCCAAATGAAGGGCTATCGATTCGTTCAGACAAACCGCAGCCAGAAATTTCTGGAACCGGCGACTGGATCAGAAAAGCACACTCTCTTCCGCGATGGATCAGGCGGCAAGGAGGCCAGCACCACCTCGACAAATTTCTCTACGGCCACATTTGGCAGACAATGTCCGTCGCCGAGGAAAGGGGCCTCGAGGCGTCAACCGATCTCGAGTCTCGGGCACAAGCGCACGATTCTTACGAGAGGGACTCGAATCCGGCCGCGTGTGACTGCAAGGCGCCTGCCTGCCGGCCGGCCGGCCGACACTCCGCAATCCACAGAAGCTCTCTCGAGGTACGCAGGCGCTCCCGCAAACGCTTCACAGTCCTCGTGGGCTCGATGCGCTCGATGTGCTCTGGCGAGAGCCAACTCTGGCAATCATGCCCCTGCTGCTCCCTGCTCTTCCCTTCCCTCTCTCTATCGAGCCCATGCTCTATGATTGCCCGCCGTCTTCGTGCATCTTTCGACCCACATACCCAGAGCCAGTGCAATGTGCAGATCTCAGCCTGTAAGATTGTGCTCCATGTATTCTCAGAACAACCAACAAATGCCAGTTTAAGAGTCCGTTATTCCTTGCCTACTAATAACCATCAGGCACATATAGTCATGATCTCGATCATATTTGTAACTCTATTTATTATAAATAAAAAATCATAATTTTAAAAAACAGCTAAATGTTCTATACTTTCCATTCTCAGAACAAAATTTCTTTTATAATTTTGTTTGAGAAATTACTTTTAAGAAATAGGAATCACTTCTGTTGTCGGGAAATTAAAAAAACAGAGTTTGTCCGTTATTTTATATACTATGTTGTACAAAGATTCACTCAATGGTGCTCAATGGTCAGATCCCTTCGTTCGTGTTCTGTGCCGAGACATTCTAGTCAAGGCAGGGAATTTCCATATGTTCAGTTGACGGAAGTACGCGTGCTCCGAAGTGTGCATGTCTCTTTACGTAGGCATAGTTAGCGTCGAAGGTAGAGTCGTGCTGTAAGTAAGTCGAATGCAGCAGGAGGGAAGAAGATGTCGATAAGAAGTGTGCCTTGAGAAATTATCGCCTTTGACTGGAAGAAGTGTGCAAGGCTCACCAAGTGGAGCATTTGGAGCCTTGTTAACGAAAGGTGCACATGTTGCGTGCATAAACAAGTACCTTCTACATGCATGGATGATCTCAGAACAGTAAAAGTAGAATCTTCATATTTATCATATTGCAACTTGTAAGATTATATAGTACTATATTTTACCATTACAAATTAGAAATATTTCTAAAATAGAATGTATATCTATATCCAAGTATATAGTATCATTTGAATATGTGTGAAACCCCATTTGTAAATTACTAGTAGAAAGATATCCAGCAGTGTAAATGATGATTTCTTTCAATTGTGCTGTATGCAAGTGTTCTTTCAAATAAACAAACAATACACTGATATATCAAAATATTTTACTCCACTACCATCGAAAGGTTGATGCACACAATCAAACGTTAGATAAGAATATTACGTGACTGAAATTATTGTGAATATGCGGACAACCACACATTTAATGCGATAGAGAACATTTTTACCTTGTGGTATCCTTCTCGACACTTGTGTGTTAATTCGAAATGAAATCAAAACTTCTGGATCTCAAATGTATATAAAGATTTACTAACATTACATGTATTGTAATTCATTCTTAATTACATGAAATCCCGACTGTGACTTTGCCATAATCTCCTGGTGGATAACAGTCCCTTTCAAGGCCTGTAATGAACCAGAGCGGTAACTGCTTTTTCCATTCATATACCTTTCTAGATTAGACTAATCTCAACAATCTAATATGGCAAAGTCAACCTGCTTGACCGATGCCCAGCAAATGTAAGATCATTGCAAATTGAGCTAGCTAAACGCGCACAGCAAGGGGATGCGAGGATCGAGAGTATGAAGTCGGTGAAGGTATCATTTTAAAGAGTATGGGACAATCAGAAGAACATAGCGCGAAAACATAATTTGAAATTACTTGGAAAATACAACAAACATATTCTGCAAGCGATATTTCAAAGCTTGTGGCACCTTATCTGGCAATTCTTCAAAAAAATGTGACAATGGTTGAGTAGATTTAGAGCTCCTTGTGGTCCGCAATATTTTTTGCTTCACCGAGAAGTATGAGAGGTCAACAAAGACGATTTTTTATAAGTGTTTCCAGCGCTATCAGTATTATATTCGGTCGTTGAGCAGTTTGAGCGGATAACGATTATAACATTATATTATGAGATTGTTCTCCCATCTACTTCCATCATGATAATACTCGGAACAACAATGAGTTATTGTGTGTATGGGATTAGATCTTGTCATCTTTGATTAAGAATGCCATCATGAAAGCAGACATTTCAAATTTATCATACAATATCGATCAAGAAAAAACTGATGACAACTTGGTTGCCGACATTATGCAGAGCATAGAGGCTTGGCAGATCCACGTTGAACTAGAAAACAAACAAACAAACAAACAGATTTTCCACATAGATGAGACGAACATGGTTGAATATCGAACAGCGTACTAGTGTACATGAGAGAAGAATTACCTCTGGATGACAAAATCCAACCTACCGATATATTTGCTATATCTGAAAGTACTATTGACTTCGAAGCTTTGAAGTTGATAGTTGGATGATAAATGACGAAATGTGACAATATACTTGAGAAATTTCAGCTACATGTTATCATCAAATGTCAAGCGAAAGAATGTCATGCTTTCTCATGACATATTAGTTACATGTTCAAAAAATAAAATCTAAACTCTGATTATTCGCTATCAAAAAGTGCACATTTCATGGGGATGCCTATCTAAATGAATGCAAATTGAATCTGAAGATTACTATATGTAGTCAGGAATTAGAGAAGATTACGTAAAGATATCATGATCCATGATAAACTAATACCAACGAATTTATTATTGGAGAATATGAAATAAAGGTTAAGGAGATATTGAAGCATATAGTTCAAGTATTTTGGAAATTACATGGATAACGTTACAGAATTGGGATAACGTTGACATAAAAAATTCTACAAACCTTTCAAGTTTGATTATTACTTTTATAACCTACGGAAGTCAAGGCTAGCGTAATTTCAAGTATATTATTAATCTTTCAAGATGTTCAACATAACTTTATATTTCACATGGTTACAGGGAAACTAAGGACTTATAATATTAAAATCATTGAATAAATTTGAGTTTTATCCATGAAAATCAATCAAACATACTCTGCTTGCAAAATGAAAACTTTGCAAATTTTTATTGAATATGTACGTACAACTATAGAACGAGATGAACGAGAAACAACACCAGGCAAACGAGTCCATTACTGGATTCCATTGCCGTAATGAGAACGTTTGGTTTGAGCTGGGTGCGGGCTCCGAGCCATGGAAAGGACAAAGCACAACGGCTGGCGCCGGGGGATGGAGCGATGGCGATGGCCATTGGTGGCGGGGCTTGGCTCGGGACGCTGAAACGTTGGACGCCCCCTGTTCGAAAAGGGGCCAAGATTCGACGTGTGCGCTCGTGGACTCAGAGCGAGCGAGCAGAAGATCATTCATTCCTCTTCTTGTTTGGAAGCTTTATGCTTCCGGAAAGTAGAGGAGCCATTTGTCGACTCGTGGAATCCGTCGTCGCGTTCTGTGGCGTGGCGAGCGAGCTAACCAGCGAGCGAGCAAGCAAGCAATCTCTGGGAGAATTGGATCAGAGAGTAGAGTGAATTATGGCAAGAGCCTCGGCGCTCGTGTCAATTCTGAGTTCGCAAACCATGGCTAGGAACTGCCTTTTCTCGTCCCACGTTTCAGTTTTCTCTACCCCAGTCAGTCATTCTCCTCAGCAATATCTTCAGAAGCATTTTCAGCTGCGCAGAGGCAAGAAATTAGCGAGGGACTCAGTACCTTTACAGCGCGGCGAAATTGAGTGTTTGGGTGCATTTCCTGTTAGACCTCGGCGTGTCTCGACAAGAAGTTCAGCCATCGGTGGGGAACGTAATGTCTGTGAAGTGAGTGGACAGGGTTGTGGTTCGAGAATGGGAAATTCTTCGAATGATGCGATGATGACCTCTGGGATTAGGATCGGAACCAGGAGAGCTGGCTCAGACTTGAAAACTTACGCCACAGGTACTCTTATCCCTGCCCGTGGTTTTGTCCCTCAGCTGCGATTTGGGAAGAATTTTTTGCTGAATCCTAAAGCTGGTATATCAGGGGGTGGTATCGTTGCCGAACCTTCTTCGAAGAGGAAGGGATCCAAGAAGGATGCTCCACCTGATGTCAAACTTACACAACTCCGAGAATTGATGGATAAAAATGGAATAGACGCTTATATTGTTCCCTCTGAAGACGCCCATCAGGTTTGTGACCAAAACATGCTTCCGCGCATTCCAATCTGTATATGACAAAATAATAATTGAAGTCGAGCTTATCTGAATTCCCACTTCATCATCTTATCTTACAGGGCAAGTAAATGTCCACTTTCTAGTTATTTCAAAATTCCAAGCAATATGAAATACGGTCACAAGTTTTAAAAAATCAGATACTTTTACACTATGCTTGCTAGGCAGCTGCTGGAAAATTGTGACGTGGGACCCTCATGTTATAGCATTGAATTCTCTTTTGAAACAATTTCTGTTCGCGGAGCTGGTTTGCAAATTGCCTACTTCGAATATGTAATGGATAAACTGATTATTCCTTGCTTAAAAGACTTAATTTAAATCTCTATGATTCAAGCAAGGCTGTTGTTGCGCAGAGTGAATTTATCGCAGATTGCTTCATGCGACGGGCTTTTATATCAGGATTTACAGGAAGTGCAGGTTCTGTCATCATATCTAAGGACAGAGCATCATTGTGGACGGATGGACGTTACTTCCTCCAGGTATTGTTTTGATGTTTTCGACTCAATTGGATTGTGACGGATATCATGTTTTTTACTTGTCAGTCTATGCTGGACATATAGAGTTTCTGGAATTTCGTGAAATGGAGAGTATAGTGGTGCCCGTGAAACTGGCATCCTATCGGTTATGTCAATCGCAAAAATATTTCGCAAATACTTCAAAAGAGTCATATACAACGCAGCTCTCGGTTAATCTGTAAGGTTTCATTCTGGTCAGCAATGAATTTGGATGGGCTCTATGAAGGTCTCTGATTAGTTCATCCCAATGATCTTAAGGTTTTCTATACGACACCCGTACTCAGAATACATCTTCCGTTTTCTTCCACGCATTCGCTTTCATCTATCTCATATATTTCTCTCTTCATCATCCTTGCTTACTGGATCTTTTAGTGCCTATCTGGCGGTGTTGTGTAGATGTATATTCTGGTCTAGAATCTTCAGCTCACAGATGTTTTTGTAATTATATCTATATCACCTTTTGAGCCATAATCAAGTATGAATTTGTTGTTGCAAACAGATCTTCACACATATTCAAGACTATACATCGTTTATTTCCTATGGAAAGAGTATAAACAGAGATGTGAATGGACGGAGAACTTCTATGACATCTGGATATATCATTTACAAGCATATCATATCTAATACATGATGTTGCTATCACTATCTGATAGATGGTATACAAAACAAGGCACTGAGTAACGCATCTGTTTGACGGTTTTGTTATGCATTAGACGCGGTGATGTGTAACTGGTTGTCCTTTTGAACTAAAAGTTTTTAGTTTTCGTACTATGCCAGGCTGAAAACCAGCTAGGTCCTCATTGGACTCTCATGCGGGCAGGAACCGCAGGAGTTCCTTCTATGAGTGAGTGGTGCAGAGACAATCTTCCTGAAGGCTCTGTAGTTGGAGTTGATCCGGTAAGTTCTTTAATATTTGGACATTTGAAAGATATGGATTTATGATTGGACACAGATGGAATGATAGTCGCCTTCAGTTCTTATATCTGATTTTACGTTTTTTGTCAGTACTTGTTTACTTCAGATGCATTTGAAGAGCTGAAGAGAACATTAGCGGAAAAGAATCACAGCATTAGTCTTCTATACGACTGCAATCTTGTGGATCAAGTGTGGGGATCTGCAAGGCCAAACCCTCCCAGTGCCCCTCTCAGGGTCCATGACATAAAGTATGCTGGTGTTGATGTTTCAACCAAACTTGCGAATCTACGAAAAGAATTGGTTTCAGTAGGTGCAACAGTTATAGTTGTTACCATGCTGGACGAAATCGCTTGGCTATTGAATCTGGTATACGACCTGTTCCCTGTTTATAGATTAGTATGAATTTTCTTTAATGCTTGGAATTTCAAAGCTCAAAAATCAAATCAAATTGGGTTGTTGTGTATTTCTTAAGCTTTGATCTTGTTTGCAGAGAGGCAGCGATGTGCCCTGCAGCCCTGTAACATATGCATATGTTGTGGTCGAGCTGGAAACTGCAACTCTCTTTGTGGATGAATCAAAAGTCACCCATGATGTTGCTCAACAGTTGGCCCAAGCTTCAGTTACTGTGAAACCTTACGAGTCTCTTGTTCCTGAAATCAGAAAGTAAGTACTAACCCAGATCAGAGTCCTTTATTCACTATTGTTTTTGTCAATGTACCCTCACTCGCTTCTCAGATTTTAGTTTGTTTACAGACGTTCTTTTGTTCTTCATTTCACTTTTATGGGGTGGTAACAAATTGGGGTACTGACTCATACTTCGTTCAGATTAGCGCTCGAGGGATCGAAGCTTTGGCTTGATGCCTCAAGAGTCAGTGTTGCAATAAAAAATGCCTTCAACGACGCCTGCTTGCAGTATTATTCTAATTTGGGCAGCCTAGAAGCAAGCAAAAGGGAACTCAAAGAAGCCAATGGACCAGCATCTCTGCACAGGAGTTCCCCTATTTCTCTATCGAAGGCATTGAAAAATGATGCCGAGCTCGAGGGAATGAAAAATGCGCATCTCAGGTATTTCCTTCACTTTTCCATCCAAGGACTTTGACATTATTTTATGTTTTAAGCCATGAACACAATATCGGAAGTCACTTGGCAGAGATTGTTCTCTATATCTATAACAATGTTCTCCTTCAATGTGTACCTGCTGTTTAGCTATTGCTTATCCGACTTTCAGCTCATGAAGGTTTTCCATCACGCTTAGACCTGTAAAGACATTACAGAATGAACATTCAGGGAGGGGAGCATGTATACCGTGACATACGAACGATGATATCAACTTGAGTGTTTGATTCTTATATTTCATGACTTTCGTGAACACTGTTTAACATGCATACTGTCAACATAATGGCTCAGTTAAGTGATGAAAACTGTCTTTATTGACTCATTACTTTGTACACAGAGATGCTGCGGCCCTAACAGAATTCTGGAGTTGGCTGGAACACAAGATTGTCGTAGAGAAGCAGTCTTTATCAGAGGTTGAAGTCACTGAACGGCTTTACGACTTCAGAGCAAAACAGTCAGGATTTCTTGATGTTAGTTTTGAGACTATCAGCGGTAATTTGCTCCCGATCAGTCTTCGAAATAACTCTAAAGATTAATAATATCTTCTGCGTACAATCTATAAGATATAGTTTGTCTTTCTAAACTTCTGCTTGTATCCTTTACGGTCTTGCGGTTTAATGCCATCTGGACTTACATTGCTGATTTGCCCCACGTATGAATGATGTTTAGGGCATACCGAAGATGCAAACAAAGAAGTGATGTATGGTCTAAAGATATCAATGATAAAGAGCATTCTCTTCAGAGATATGTCGTCTGAGAAATCGTATCGGAACCGTTACTAAACTTTCTCTCGGTTGATATTTAGGTTCTGGACCTAACGGTGCCATAGTGCACTACAGAGCAGAAGCAGGCACTTGTGCACAAGTCGACGAACATAACCTCTTCTTATTGGATAGCGGGGCTCAGTACGTTGACGGAACCACAGATATTACCAGGACTGTGCACTTTGGTGTGCCAACCCCGCGTGAAAAAGAATGCTTCACCCGTGTCTTACAGGTATGTTTGTGCAAAAAGACTGTTTCTACTCTTCGTAATACAAAGCGGGAATATGTTATTGACTTATAAACGCACGTCAAGTTCTAGATGGCAGCTTTTGAGAACTACCGGAATGAGAAGCTTTGGTTTATCTGTCAACAATACAATTTCGCGAGAAGAAGCTTCCTTCTTCCAGGAATTGAGATTGACATATCTAGGTCAGAAAGTCGATGTTAGTGGGAGTACACATAACAAAAGGAGTTTCCTTATTGTTTCCTCAGTGTTAGCAGTCTGGGTACCATGACAGTTCCTCATTCATTTGATCTGGCCATACAGGGTCATATTGCAGTAGATCAAGCTGTTTTCCCTGAATATACTCCTGGATTCGTGCTTGACGTGCTCGCTCGAAATTCGCTTTGGAAGATTGGGCTCGACTATCGTCATGGTTTGACACTCATATCCCTTAATTGAAATGGCCGGGGCAACCAGTTTTGTACTCTTTTTGGGACTGATCAGTTCCGACCATTCTTTTTCAACATTAGTGTTGTTAATATAAAGTGTTTCATTTACAAAGCGCCTCGCATCTTCCTCCTGACCCACAGTCCATATGCGCAAACTTTTGTAGGTACTGGTCATGGGGTTGGAGCTGCTTTGAATGTGCATGAAGGCCCTCAAAGCATGAGTGCTCGATTCGGCAACATGACTGGATTGCAACCTGGCATGATCATCAGTAACGAGCCAGGCTATTACGAAGATCGTGTCTTTGGTATCCGCATTGAGGTATATCATGTTCACCAATTATATCCATCTGATTTCTTGACTTGAAAGTTCTGAGGAAGACCTAGATGTCAGATGTTTGATCTCGAGTTTTAGCACATGCTAGAGTTAACAAGTACCTCATGTTTCAGTTGGGCTCTCTTATCTAACCTGGTTATTCGTCTCCCTTTTACAAGAATCGAGATACATTGTAAAATGTTGTATTCTGGTAGGCGTAGAAGTTTATTCGAGTTTGCCTTGACTTATGAAGCTTCGTATTTTGTTTTTGTTTTTATCTTGCTAAGGCGCTGTCTATTTTACCTGCAGAATTTGGTAATTATCAGAGAAGCCGAAACAGAAAATCGCTTTGGGGGAGTCACCTTTTTAAGCTTTGAAAAGTTGTCGTTCGTACCAATTCAGGTCTGCATTTTCCTTACATATATCAATCTGTCAATCAGTAAGAGGATCTGGTTCTTTGTTTTTCTATCTTCATCAGAGATGAAAATTATAACTTTTTAAAAATGGTTTTCCTGAGTTTGCTTCAAATCTGTGGCTTCGAGTGCAGGCAAAAATGCTGGAGTTGTCACTCCTGTCAGATTCGGAATTAACTTGGCTGAATGATTATCACGCACAAGTCTGGGAAAAGGTTAGTCAATCCATATTTCAGTATTTCTTGCTGCCTGATATTCTTCACATGGTCTTATATTCTTGGGGAGAATGATCTCATACTCTTGCAAATAGGTAAAAACCTGCGCAAGTTAGTAACTTGCACAATACTGGTGCTTGTGCATTCTCACTGCTAACTCTAATGAGCATCTAATTGCAGGTTTCACCATTGGTCGCTGGAGATGCGCTAGAGTGGCTGCACAGAAACACTAGACCTATCCAAAGACCTTCAGGATCAAAGAAGCCACAGGAACTATCCACTACCACATCTGTATGATTTAACTGTAAATATATTCAAATGAAAATTAGCACAACTATGTTCTCTATACCTGTATTTGTTTTGGCACTTCGTTTTGCGTACTAGTAGGCTATTCAAACATACTAGTACGCAGAGAAGAAAAGAGTCGGGAAAGACAAAAGTTTCTCTTTGTGGGTTCTTTTAAAGTGATTGTGTCTAGCTTCATGACTAAACCATTTTTTTTGCCATTTCTCATCACACTCATTAGTTTATCGTGATACAACATCACGTTGCCAAGCAACTGCTATGACCATCAAAGCAGCCATATCAAAGATGAACAAAGGATCGGGTAGATTTTTCCACTACACGAGTATAAGCAAAACAGGGAATTTGTCCACTATTGTGTACATTTGTAGGAGCGGAGATTGCACGTGATGAGTAGACAGGGATATGACCGTTAGAAGTCGATGTAAAAGCACAGACTCTGTAGACACGAAGTAGAACTTGTTCTAACCTTCTATATTTATTATATATTCACTTTTTGTAAGTAAAACAGATTAAATCGAAACACAAGCGTTGTAATTCAAGTTTTAACCCTTGTAATATTGGTTCAAAACGTATAAACCTCAATCGCTAGAATTCAATTTACACCTCTCGAGTCTTTTTTATCAACTTTAGCCGCGAAGGGCCTCGAGGGCAGAAACGAGAATGACACTAATCAAATAATAGATTTTAAGGTCTGCACTTATTGTACGTACGATTATGTACTTATCACCATATTATCTTAAACAATATATTAACTGTGTGATGCAGAAAATTATTTACATTTTGTGATATTTAATGTAATAATACATGAAAAGAATGTTTGTGAGTCTTTAATTAAAAAATTGTTTCAATCTATTTAATGTTAGATGTATTATATAATTATTTGTTTTTATAATATCTAGATACAAAAGTTATGAATATAGTCATACGTAAGAGAATTATTTCATCACTCATGATTATATTATGAATCTCAACATTAATTTACAATTTTTAAATCTTAACACTTTCATATGTTAAGCAAATTGTAGAATCAAATTAATATATATTGGTAATAGATTAAATGTATATATATTCTAATCTGTACTTTACTTTCCGCGCGAAAGTATTTTTTAAAAAGTTAGCATACAAAAACAATCTCTTAAGTACGTTGGAATGTACTTTAATTTGTGTACTCTTACACTTTGATTGATAGTGTATGGTTATAATTTGTGAATTTGAATAATTTCATATATTTTTTTAATCATGACTTTGATGTAGGTAGACAATCAATAATTTTTCAGAAATAATAAGAACTATAATTTTTGTCTCACCTTCAATGAAAGAGTAATGTGTAATAGTATATTTTCTAGAATAGTAAAACATCTTTCTCTATCATGCATACATTGAGTTTATAAATTGATCAGCATATGACAATGCAACTATCAGAATTATATATAAATACAGAATATGCAATGGTTGAAAAAATTTACATTTTATAAAATTTTATGTCATCATTATCAAATAATTTGATTTAAAAATATTTTTTTATATAAATAGGAATCAAAGGACTATTCAAGATCTCATGTGATGTTAATTTGCTTTTCTATATTATCACATGCATCATTGTACTATATAATTTTGCAAACGTTATCTTGCTAAAAGAAATGAAGAATCTTCTATGAATATATGAAGAATTTTCTTCTTCAAAGAATGAAAATTTAAACTTATTTATGATAACTTAAATAATATAGATTACTTAGATTATATAATTTATTAATCCTTAAGATTACTTTAGGCTTAATAAATTTATAAGTGATATTCTATAACTATAGAGTAAACTTGACCTACATACAGATATCAACGATGTCAATATATCTACAAAAAATTTCAACAGTTTCATAACATTTCCACAATTTCAAACATAGACATCAAATAAAATAGCCAAAAAAAAGTTTTAATTACATTGTGCTATAAATTGAAGTTATTGATTTGATCTTTTTAAAAAATTTATTAATCTGCAATGTACAATGTTTGACATTTATGCAAGATGCAACATAAATATTTGCTACAAAAGGTTTTGTCTTGACTTGATTCATTCATCAAGCAAAGATTTTTTTTTTATTCTCATGATACTTTTCTATTCAGATTATAGAGTATTGATATATCATTGAAGATAAGATTTGTGTTGTGATTTGATATATATATATATATATATATATATATATATATTGAAATAGTTGTGAGAAAGTAATCTGGAACTCAAGATAAGCTTTACAACACGAATATAACTTCCCTAACTAATTGTGTAACATTTTTAGACAATATGTATACCCCGACAAAACAAGGGGCTAAAACTATGCGACCCGATCTGGGCTCCAATGTCTCTACATTCTCTCTCCAAGAAAACCAACGGAGACGAAATTGACCAAACACACTATCTCCAATTTTCCGGTTTTGAGTAGAGGCAAGTTGATGCCAAAAGACCCCATCTCGAGCAACTTCAGTATGACATCGAAAGGAAATAAAGAGTTTATAATCAGTAGCTATTATTAAAGAACAAGATCCGTCTCCGAGACGAATCACCGGCTCTCGATGCAAATCTCTCGATGCTCTACGCCATCAAGAGGATCAGGACACTTGGGAGCTCATCCCCCAGACTCGAGCCTTTCTTCTGGAAACCTCGGAACTCCCCCCTCCAGACATCCGGGGATTACCCAGTAACCCCGGTAACTGGCTGAACACGGGAGTTGCGTGAGTCAAATCTCCCGCACCGACCGACCGACTCCGCCCGTAGACTCTACTGCCGGGAAAAGAGCCCGCTTGCCGTCGAACACTCGCCGTGTGCCGGGCGAGGAGGCATGCAGAGGCTGCCACTGGGGAACTTCTCTCGTGCCAAAAACGGACGAAATGCAGCCCTTGTGAGCGACGATCGATTCCGAACGTCGATAGGGGCACTCGTAGGAGTCGGAGCTGTCACCGCGCGGGCTTACGAGGAAGGGAGGAGGACGTGGACGCGGACGGCGACGGGGAGAGAGCAGAGCATGGTGTGCACGCGAAGCTAAGCTGAACGCAGCTGACGCGGATTCCTTGCTGTGCTGACTCTGCTCGAGACAGACACGTCGTCTATGGTTGCACGCTTGGCCCGGGTCGAGATATAACGTCCCGCTCGTCGCCGAGCGCCGGGGAGAAGGAGAAGGCCGTCGCGTGCGCTGCGCTGCTCCGGGCCTCGCGCATCGATCGATCGAGCGAGACGAGCTCTCGAATAAAGAAGAGCGCGAGTTCTCGCGCCTTCCGGCCTTGCGTTGCGCAATTCTAGAGGAATCGAATCATTCCACTGCTTCTCTGACATCGAGTGCGAAGAACGCCTAATCAGCATTAAATTGTTATTTTAACGAGTGAGGTTCTCGTCGTTGAATTCGTCGAGATTTCTGTTCACAAACGATGTTGTCGTCTGCTCCTGCATCCATGATTTCCTCCTCGGCTGCTCTGGCGCTGAGAGCACCGGCGGCGGGATGTCCAGAGGCGAGGGCTGCCTTCGCTGGGCCCAGCAGCAGCAGCAGCAGCTGCAGCAGCCTTCCCACAGTTTCTTGTAGGAGCGCAGCAGCGGATTCACGTACATGGAGCAGCAGGGAAAGTTTCGGGCGAGTGAAGGGACTAGGGTATTCTTGTGGTTCGTCAGGTTCGGTGCAGAAGAAGCAGCAGAAATCATGGCGGAGGAAGAAATTGGGCACGGCCATGGCCACGATGGCGCCGGCTCGGCCGCAAGAGCAGGAGCAAGGTCGCGAGGGCGAGGAGGCTAAACGGGAGGAGGATGTAGGATCGAACGAGGATAAGACTGGAACATTCTCCTGGAAGGATCACTGGTACCCTGTGTCACTCGTCGAGGATTTGGACCCTGAGCTGCCGACTCCGTATCAAGTGCTCGGGAGGGAAATTGTGGTTTGGAAGGACAGGGAGGGAAGCTGGAGGGCGTTTCTGGACAAGTGCCCTCATCGACTGGCTCCACTTTCCGAGGGGCGGATCGACGAGAATGGATGGCTGCAGTGCTCCTACCATGGCTGGTCTTTCAAGCCTGATGGAGCTTGCGGAGTCATTCCGCAGGCCGCAACCGAAGGGCCGGAGGCCAAAGCTCAATTCTCACCCAGAGCTTGTGCTACGACCTTGCCTACCCTCGTATCCGATGGCTTGCTCTTTATATGGCCGGATGAGAAGGGTTGGGACAAGGCCAGAGAGACTGAGCCGCCCAGACTGCCTCCAGCGTTTGTCGATCCTGAGTTTGCCGTGGTGAATATTCAGAGGGACCTGTTCTATGGATATGATACTTTGATGGAAAACGTCTCAGATCCTTCTCATATCGATTTCGCTCACCACAAAGTGACAGGGAGACGGGATAGGGCGAAGCCTCTGCCTTTCCAGGTCGAAGAAAGTGGGCATTGGGGATTCAAGGGGAGTAACTCTGACACTCCTAAGATCACCACCGGGTTTTTGCCGCCTTGCTACTACTACAATAAGATAGAAATTCCGGCTCCAAAATTGCCCTTCTCGGACAAGGAAACATGGACGATTTGGATCTGCTCCTTCAATGTCCCCATGGCCCCCGGGAAGACTCGATCCATCGTGTGCAGTGCGAGGAACTTCTTTCAGTTTACGGTGCCTGGACCAGAGTGGTGGAAGATCATGCCTCGTTGGTATGAGCACTGGACTAGCAACAAGGTTTATGACGGAGACATGATCGTGCTTCAAGGACAGGAGAAATATTTTAGTAGCAGTGGCAACTATGCCGAAGTGAGCAAGAATTACACGAAATTGACTTACACTCCGACGCAGGCAGACCGGTTTGTTTTGGCCTTCCGGAGCTGGTTGAGGAGGCATGGCAAAGGACAACCGGAGTGGTTTCCTGAAACAGACATGACTAAACCTCTGCCTTCGCTGGTTCTCTCCAAAAGACAGATGCTCGATCGGTTCGAGCAGCACACTCTCATCTGCTCCTCTTGCAGAAAAGCTTTGGAAAACTTCCGGCTTGCACAGAAGGTGTTATGGGGTGCCACAGTGGCTCTTGCTGCAGGTGCTGGAGTTCCACCGGAGATGTCCTTGCGTCTAGTCCTAGCGGCGTCGGCAGTGATTTGTGCAGGATTAGCATTCCTTTTGAAAGAGTCCGAGAAGAATTTCATATTCAAGGACTATGTCCACGCCAAGATCGATTAATCTCAGCTGCCCAGATCCATCCATGTATATGTATGTAGCAAGTGGCAGGAGGGGAGCCGTGTAGCATGGCTACGCTCCTCCCCTCCTTGCCTCCTTCCGTATTCTTCGTAGAATATAAATCACTGCATCGGCGATTACTCAAATTAGCAACCTAGCTGGTAATTGCCGTGCTGGATATTCTTCCTATAATTTGTGCAGAGATTCTTTTCTGTAGAGTTCAGAGCGATGGCAATTTCATCTGTTCTGAGGATGTCCATGAATATGCCGGTTTTCGATGTACATATGTTTATTAACTTGTATATTATTCCAAAGATGTCAAGCCCAGGTTTCCCAGTATCTCTCTGCCTTTTTAATCCATGCGGTGTACATTGAAGTCGAATAGTGCTGTTCAAATTGGAATACTTGGCAAACGAATTGAGGACTCGCATCTTTCACTTCTTCCTCCTCTAGCAAAAAGAGATTGTCCTGTACATGAAGCTTTTATGATGTCCTATGGAGCAATATGATGCAGACTGGAACAATTGCACATCAAGTACGAGAAGCACAAGATTATGTATTGCCGAGCAAGAGGTTGCTCACTGAAACTAGTGTGGTACAGAAAGAAGATTACTGTCAAGGTTAATGAGATTGATACCAACTGGAGTGGAGGGATAGAAGGAGACTTCGTAGAATCTTTCATGCTTCTACGGTAAAGTTTATCTTGACATATATTCACCACTCTTAACATCCTAAGTTTCTAAGGCTTCTACTTGAGAGTAAGCTCACGTCACCATATCTATTGCTTCTAGCATTAAGCACGCCATCGTAAAACTTTCATGTACAAATAATCTCTGGAAGCTGGACACTACTGAATTGGTTGTAATGTACAGGAAAATCCTTTGTTCATCTCATACTCCAGTGTAGAATATGTGTGACAGTGAAACAGGAGTAGAAATGAGCACTTTGTCCAACCCCTTCGAGAACAGTCGCGGGGCTGTTTAACCCAATGGCTACTCTGATTCGAGCTATAATGAATGGCTTGTGCCAGTTAAAATTCTCATCATGTCTCGAAAATAAGAGAAACATAATAGTAAAGTTATTGAAATTAACTCTTAATATATCACCAATTTTGAATTCTCTACAATGTATATCAGTTATATTACCATAATCTCCAAAATCTATCAATCAACTCTAGTTTTATGTCAAATATTTTCAAATTAATATAACTTAGGTCAAGTATATATCCTCCAATGTCATGTAGACCTTGTCGTCAAAGTAATAAAATTATAATTCAAGAAAAATCTTTATTATGACAATAACATGCCAACTTAACATTTCATGACCCAACAGATTGTCTAAACTCATTTTGATACATGCATCTAGTTTTCAAAAACTATAGATTATAATTAAGGTAGTCCAAAGTAAAGTCTTGGGATCTCAAGGAATCATGTAATCTCATCGATATATTTGAAACTATATGTCGAAGATAGAAAAAGTTAATATGATTTTAAAATTGATAAATTTTTATCACTTCACACGAGATTATTAAGTACTTGAAAATTATTTTTTAATATATTTATTTACACACTAAATAATTTTGTATCAAAAGAAAATATATTATATATGAATATTTTCTTATAGTTCTAAAAATGCTTAATAAAATTTTTTATTTGATCACAATTTAATATTATGTGCAAAACTACAAACAACTTACATACTATAAACTATAAATTACAAAATCGAATCTTTAAATCAAAACATAGATATAACGCTTACTTTTAAAATTTAGTTATTTTTTTAGTAAATCTATGTCAAATCAAAACTTGTGTAGAAATTCCTTAGAAAAAACCTGAAATATAATTTTGTACATTAACTTGTGCCAATATCCAATGATTATATCATATTTTTTCATACCTATCGACACACTATAACCACTTGACAGTTTAGATTTTTCCTGGTCTTGCATATGATTTAAAATAAACTAATACTCAGTTGAATATAAGAAACCTATTTTCACATTTGATATTCTAACTTCATTACAGAGAACAGTGGTCAGTAGAAAATATCCAACCATTTCGAGGAGTTGCAGGTCCGTTTCATATTTCGAAACTAAGAAGAATCTCGCGAAGGATTTTACATCTCCGATAACTTTGGAGAACGACCGAACGACGACGAACTCAAGTCATATGTCAGCCAAATGTCCTGGGACCTACATTTGGCTGTTGCATTTGACCGATATTTACGGTCCCAGTCTAATCTAGTCAATGAGCCAGTAAGCTATGAATGAATGTTCCTCTTCTTCTTACAGGTGCTCCTCGGACATGGCGGGCAGTCAGACAATGAAGAACAAGGGAACTTGCCGAGGGAGAGATCGCAAGCGTGGGAGAGGCGGTGGCTGAGGAATTGGCTACAGCTTCAAAATGGCGGCACCTCCAGACGGCTTCGAGGCGAAGACGTAGTCGTTCAGGTCCTGCTCTCGGATGGCGCCGCTGTCGATCCGCGACCGGAAGAAGTCTCTCTTCAAGGACTGGATGAAGGACGGGACGGAGCCGGCGTCCACCAGAGCCACCACGCAGCCGCCCCATCCGGCGCCCGTCAGCCGCGCGCCCAGCGCTCCGTTCGCCCGGCACACCTTCACGAGTTCTTCCAGCTCGGCGCAGCTGCAGGCGTACAAGTCGCGGCAGCTGGCGTGGCTCTCGTCCATCAGAGACCCGAGCCTCGTGAGCGTCGCGTCCTCGGAGTCGCCCGACTGCACGGCGTCGCGGAACGCGAAGACTCTTCGCGCCTCGGAGTACACGTGGTCGGCCCGGTCGTGCAGGTGGAACTTCTCGGCGGCGGCCAGAACCTCCAGCGAGCTCGGGGAGTGCGCCATCAGTTCCGGCAGACTCAGCCGGAGGATGCTCTCGATTTCCTGCGCCGAGTAAGGCTCCCCGTGCAGGTGCGCTTTAACGGCGAGCAACGGCGACGACGAGTCGCGCTCGCCGGCGTAAGCCATGCACAGGCCCTCGACGTCGGAAAGAGTGCGGACGTCGCGAACTAACTCGTGCGCCATTCCGAGCTTCACGGCGAGCACCATGGCGGCGAGACGACACTCCACGACGCGGCAGTTGTACTTGGTGGCGGCGGAGACGGCCTTGGTCGACACGGTGAGGGAGTTGGCGATGACGAAGGCGCCTTTGGGAGGGAGCGCGACGTCGCTGGCTCGAATGGGGTCGAAGTCGATGAGCTTCGCGACGCCGGCGTCGGCCATGAGAGAGATGGCCTGGTCCATGCCGCCGGACTGAGTCCCGATGTGGCGCTCGCAGACGCACGCGAACTCCGACACTTCCTGCTTGGAGAAGCTCAGGCCCAGGGCGGCCATCACGGCGATGGCGGACGAGCAGACGAGCGCCGACGAGCTCGAGACGCCGGCCCCGATCGGCACGACGCCATCGACCAGCACGTCGAACCCCACCGGCGGTCCGACGTCGCGCCCTTTCGCCTGCAGGTGCTCGAACACGCCCTTGTATCCGCAGAGGAAGTAGTTCGCCCAGACGTGGTTGGCGCGGTCCACATCCTGCGACGGGTCGGCCGGAAAGGAGCATCTCGGAAACTTGTCGTCGTCGGTGTTGGCGACATTGAGCGTCGGAATGTGCCCGCTCGCGCTCGCGCTCGCGTTCTGTCTGCGGATGGCGACGACGGTGTCGTGCAGGAGAGCCATGGGCAGCACCGAGTAGCCCTCGTAATCGATGTGCTCGCCGATCAGATTCACGCGTCCGGGAGCTCGAGAGTACAGCTCTGGCTCGCCCTGCCCATAGAGCTCACAGAATTTCTGCCTCAACCTCTGATACCTTCCCTGCGCCTCCAACAGGCTCGATCCCTGCCCATACACATCCTCCAGGGATGCGAAGGTCGGCACCGCCTCTCGCCCCGCGGCCCCCATTCTCCTTCGCCCGCGCGATCGATGAGAATTTCCAGCCCTGCGCTGCCTGCTCCTTGAAATTCTGCCTACATCAATCAAACGATCCTCTCCGTGCCTTATCCAATTCGAGCTCCCGAAAGATGTCGAGCGAATCGCGGTTGATTTCTGTGAGCTCCGGCTGTGCTTCGAGCGCAGGACGACGACGACCCGAACGCGAACCTCCTCAAAAGTGTCGATGCGCCACGAGGAGGAGGAGGAGGAGGAATCGGGCTCATTGCTGGTCGGTTCTGGAAGAGGAGGAGGAGGAGGAGGAGGAGTGCTGACAGTTCTGGGAGGTGCAGAACTGGTGTCTTATGTCAGCGAGTGTGATTAGTGTGCAGGAAGAGGAGAGGACGGGGTCCACTTGTGCCTCGGCTATTGGTCGGCGGATGAGTGTGATGGACGATGTGCTGATGCAGTTCCGAAAAGTTGACGACTTGTTTCTCAGCTATCCAGTTGACCTGTCATCGCCTGCCATCCACGTCACAGCCCTGCACCACGTGGGTTCGTGCGTTCATCCGAACGTGCTTAGAGCGGACTCAGAGTCTAATCAACATGTTTGCCCGTAAGCAAATTCGGAGAACGTAATCTGGCTCGGAGGAGCAATTGCTTGAGTCTGCTGGAGATTTCCATCAAGTCTACAGCACTACGAAAGAAGGGCACCTCACGAAATTTACGGCAATCGGACCGAGTTCAAAGCGTTCCTCGTGTTCTTTTGGATGAATATGTACAGGGTTCAGTCTGTACATAATCAGTCTGATCGTGTCTGGATTTGAATTGATGGTGAGCAGTTTTTTTCGTATACAAACGACCTATATATTTCAATACAGACGAAAGTATATCAGATTTGGCCATTGTAGTCGACTGCTCGGAAGGTACGAAATACATGGGAAGAGACAATAGACCAGCATCAGTTTTGATCAAACAGGGGAAATAGGTCACCGATTTGTTACACTATGTGGGGTGATCGAGATGTATATATGTATATAAGTTAGTTAAAGTATGAACCGATTATGAACCCAAAGTAACCCAATATCCTAGCAAGGCATCCACTCCATTTGACCGTAATCTTCATCAATTTGATCGCAGCAACGTCATCAAGCACAATAATTCATTCCTCCCGAATTGATGACTGACCTTCGATGCTACCAATGCGGACGATTGTCTTTGATCTAAAGTCTCATCCTCGTACAGACTTTAACTAACGAGATACTGGTACTCTAAACCGTATGTACTATGTGGCAGAGTATAATTTTATTGATTTAAAGAGTGTCGGAAGATACATGCAGATAAGCAAATCCTCTTCTGCTCACTTGATGTTATTGTTCGGTTGTTGTGCTCTAGATAATGAAGGTATTGACTGAAATACTTTAAATCATGTTACTATCAGGTCCAAGCCTTGCTACCGATTTAGTGTCAACATTTAAACGTGTTCAAAGCGGAAGTGTTTCGCATAAGCTTTCCTGGGTTCCGCTGGTTTCGTACTTAAGACCAGCGGAGAGCCGTGCAAGTTCAGACAGATAGGTACTTCCGAGCGTGTAAATATGTCAACATTTACAAAACAGTGGTGATCATTCATATGTCGCTTCAAAAACTTTGCATTAAACTTTACCGCAAAACGATTTTGCACAAAAGTATTCGTACTTCCCACGTTACTAACTAACAGTTCGGCAACGAATTTCTAAAAGTAATGTACTTTGAATGCTCCGATATTTTACACTAATTACAAATGTATAACATATGCGTATAATGAGAACAGAGTTGCCCTTTCGTCTTTCAAAACAAAACGACTGCCTACAGAGGATAGGTGCCAATAACCTAAACTACATTTTTGCGCTGGTGCATTGCCTGCTTGGCTACAGCCTTGAACATGCCAGTTTTTCCAGAATATTTGGCTTTGTTTGGATTCAAGGCCTTCCGAATCTTAGTCAAAGTCCATGCGGTCGAGGCAACATGTCCTACAGATGTAAAGGTTTCCTCTGTAACCTCCTTGGCCGATGGTCCATATCTGTGAAATTCCATCGGAACCCAAGGTCAGATGCAATACCACCAAATCAAGCTTCTCGTTTAGTCCATCAGACCTACATTTCTCCCGTTCCCCTAAACTTTTTTGTTAACAGCGACTTGTTGAGCAGCAGCCTTCAACATGCCGGTTTTCGACACAAAGTTCTTCGGATTAAAAGCCTTCCGAATCTTTGTGAAAGTCCAGACAGTTGATGTTACATTCCCTGCTGTTTTGTTAACTTCTTCAGTTAACTCCTTGGCTGCTTCTCCGTATCTGTGAATGACCCACGTTAGAATGGTGAGTTACAACGATCATCGAGGCCGCATCGGCCAAGAGGACAGCCCAAGAGGTGACAGATCGTGTGTAGTTCAGGATGCAAGATCTTCGACCTAAAATGAAGCTCGAACTACCACAACAATCCCATGACCAGAAGATCCAGTTCTAGCCCTCTTACCTGTAATTTACGAAATCTTGCGTCACTGATGACGATCTGGACATCACATCCGTTCCTGCCTTTTCCACTGCATCGAAGACCCTACCTGCATGTAGTACGTACCTCTGTTCATAAGCATCATTCCCAGCAAATATAAAGCCCACATATATTTACGAGTCTTCACAGCTAAACGGAATCGAAGCAAACCAAAGAGAATCTCGACTTACCGAAGGCATCCAGGGAGACCAGTGCAACTTCTCCTGGTAAGAGTTTGAAGAATGCTTTGCCAGGGGGAGAGTTGATTACAGCACTCGAAAAAAGACCAGTAGTGTATACAATGCCTCCAAGCACTCCCTTTGCCACTTTGTCGGTCATGCCCGTCATTTTCCTAACCCTGCATTATACAGAGCAGAATTGTGAGATCACCATGGCAATCCCGAGTGAAAGCAAAATCCCTCACGTTGAGGTATCGTTGGTCATCCGAGAAGATTTTGAAGGGGCTTTACTTCGCCAGAGGATTGACATTTAACGAACTCTTTGCATTAGCACCGTAACAGCATCTAGACAAAAAAAACCCAGGTAAAAACTCCACTCATCACACCAGGTTTCATTCCAGAATCCATGGAAACTGACGAGATAGAACTATACTCCCAGAGTAACCACAAGCAGCTGAGATAGTCTACCATGCAACGAGTACTTAAGTATGAACATCGCAATGCCCGTTGCCTATACCTCGCAAGCGAAACAGAAAACAAACGGCGGAACGAACCTGCGCATGTTTGCGATGGTGGTGGGGCTGATCTTTGACGGATCAGCCTTGGGCTTGAACTTTGCCTTCATGTAGCCGTGCCCAGAGTCCAGTTGCTGTACGGTTGCATCACTCAACCAGAGGATGCCTCTGATCACGTGGCCGGCACCGGTGGCAATCCCCTTGGCCGCTTTGCTATTGTAGTCATCGACATTCGGAGCAATTGTGGTCCAAAACTCTGCGCTCGTCTCCTCTGTCATCATCTTCCCATCCGAGGCAAGAGTCTCTGCAGGCACGACCTTTCCGGGAAATTCAGGGTCCTGTGCCGACGGGAGTTGATCTAATTCCTTCACATCCGTATTGCCATCCTTTTGAACTATAGTGGGAGCCGAGAAAGTGCTGTAGCGCTCGAGGTAGGTATCCAATTCTTGAAACCTCGCATTTTGGTCGTCGCTCGATGAAGCCCGGAAAGTGACACCATAATTCAGAGTTTCCATCTGGCCCGGTTCGTTCCCCAGAGGCGAATGGTTTTTTCCCTGATCAGATGATGAGGAATCGACCTGCGGGTCCAAATCCTTCGGCACTTTGAGCGAGAAATAGTACTGCGTGGGACTGAGCTTGACCGTGGACATCTCCTGCACCAAAGGCCACATCAGATCATCACCGACCTTGGCAATGACGACGACTTTGGTCTTCTCCTGAACGAATCGGATCAGCTGAAAGTCTCCTGAACCCAAATGCGGACTTTTCTCCCCATCGATCAGATGCACAATCACTCCCGGAATCGTCAGCAGCACCTGCTCTCCAATCAGAACTTCTACTTCCTCGCCATCTGCTCCCGGCGGCTTGTACAGGTCGGGATACAACTTGTTTTCTGGAGGAGCCGAAAGGCTCATGGATTCGATCCCGGACGTCGGTGGAGCAGGCGGAGAAACGGGCTCTCTGAGCAAATAGGGATTCGGGCCATCGTTCTGCGCAGCATTCTGGGCGGACTCAGGGTTCTTAAAGCTGCCCATGGGAGCGGTCGGACTCGGCTGCCCCGACGAGTTTCCGAGCCAGTTGCTCGATCCCACCTTGAAATTCTGTTGACCCGGAGCTCCTTTAGTTAACCTGCTCGCCTTGTCTTTCAAATAATCCATCTCCGCTGCCACTGCTCGCACCAGAAATCAGGAAATCAGTGCAACCCTCGAAATCCTTCTTTTTCTCGAGCCTCGCTCTCTCTCTTTTCCCTCGACAAACAAAATCCAAATACTGTCAAAATTCAGTCGAACCCTCGAGGCCCCTCTCTCTTCATATACAATCTCGCCTCCTTCTCCTCCTCCTCCTGCAGCTGAACTGCGTCCTCGAGGATCGCCTCCACAGTTTAATACGATGGCCTCAATCCACGGAGAAAGCGCCACTGTCGAGCTCGATGCTCGCAGAAGTCAAAACCACGTAACCCATCGCACTCACCGACCCGAGCGTCCGTCCAATTGCAGGATCGCAGTCCCTTGCGCGGAATCTGAGCTGCGAATCGCAACCGCAGTCGCGAAAGCAGAAAGCTTGACGTCCAAGAGTCGAATCCTCCGCGGGCCAAACTCGATTCAGCAGCGGGAACAATCGAAATCCACGCGCACTTTCGCAACTCCGAAGATCAGATCGCGAGCGAGTCCGCGTTTCTTGAGGCCGAGGTCGATCCTCACTGTTATGTACACGGTGGGTCCGACGTGGTGGCACCGGGCCTGCTGCGCCTGCGTGGTTGGCAGTTTGGCCCGGGGCAAAACTGGGCGACCTCGACCCTGTTCATTTCACTCGTCGATGACGTGTCCGCTCCCTGTCCCGACCGATTAGAGGTGTGATGACACATGGACGACTTGGAACACGCGCCGCAATGCTGAGCACGTCCGGTATTCGAAAATGCTCTTTCCTGCGTCCGTAGCGCCACGTAGCATACGGAAGAATACGGCAGCCAGGTGGTACACCTTGTTCGTTTGACTGCTGAAATATTCCCTTTTCTGAAAAACAGTCAACTCGAATGGCATCGCCTTGGACAGCGCTGGTTGGATCCACCATTATTTTCTAAAATAATGGTGGATGTCTAGTCCCGTTCTACGAGGGAGAGACCACCTCGGAAAGCGCTGGTCAAATCAACCGCTTTCTGAGAGAATTTAAATATGATGGAATGATCAATCGAGTTTTGCTATGCAGAGCAATGGGATAGGTTCAATTTGTAAATGGGACGGTAAAGCCCATCAACTATCCAGGTTGAGTGTTACTTGAGCTATTTAATGTTATTCAAGAGTATTATAGGACATGTCATGGTTTTTTATATATATATATACATATATCTCTCTTTTTAAAGAAATATGTTCTAAATACTTTCACTTCATATGATAGAATATAATATTCATTTTTTTCAGTAATTTCCTGAGTATTAGGAAATTAAGACCATGTAAGTTTGGAATAACTAATTATACAATGAGCCCTAGGATTTGGTACAAATGAAAAAACATAATAAGTCTTCAAGTTACTAAACTTTCAAAAAAATAAACGAGAAATGCATACATCTGCAAAGAGATAGTTAGAAAAGTGAAAGGTGAAATATTTGTAATCATATTGAGAGATTTAATCTCATTGAATCTCATAATCATAGACATTTAAATATCATTATATTCTACAAATCAAAACTCTTATGATATGTATGACTTATCTCGTTCATTGATTCATTGACATAATTATTTTAAAATCATTTTATAATAAAAAATAACTATAAATATCACAAGTTTATCCATTTCTTATTAAACTGCATCATATCTCAATTTTCTAATTTATACAAATTTCTGCTTTTAATTAAAACATAAAAAATCTATATTTTTGTTATCATGCATGTTTTGAAACCTTTATTTGTATAAAATGTAAAATTTTAAAATATTATTTTAAACCAAAAAAAAAATCTACGTGTGTATCAATTTTGAAAGTAATTTTTCTCAATTTGATATGATTGACAGTAGTATTGTTTTTGACATTTAACTAAAAATCCAAAATAAAATTTATTGTGCACTACACGAGAAAATTTCAATTTGAATATGTAAAACGTAACTGTAAACTTTTGATTTAAACTCAATACGTTAATACAAGATTATATCAAACTTATTATCAACACATAATTTCATATAGTTTGTTTTTATTTTATAAAAAACAAATAGAGTAATTGAAGTTCATGTTAGAGTATAAACAATGCAACTTATCTTATAAAATATCATCATTTCCTAACATAATTCACATATATGATGGAAAAATATATTTGTATTATTTGATTTTAGCTCAAGTCTTGGATTTTTAGCTATTTTGATTATGATTAGTTAATATTATTTAACGAATTATTATGAACTTATATTATAACACACATTTTGAAATTTTTAGTAAAACCTTTTTGATTTTTTAAGCTAATGCTACTAAGTTGAATCAGGTATCTATTTATCAGATTTATGCTCCATGCTTGAATTGTATTGTAAAGTATATGACATCAATATTAGAACAAAGGTATTGAAAACAAATAATTTATGCACTAGTGTTTGAGCTTTAATGTCTATATAATAGCTTCATAGAACAATCAAACGAACATTTGTTGCTAAAACTTTTCAATCAACTACATTTTTTGAGCATCAAAATTTCAATTGCTTACAATCCGCAAGTGTTTGTCAATGATTTCATGATGTATTTCAAGTACACACAAGACAATATAGATATGTTTGAATATTAGCATGAGGCTACACAATGCTTCAATGACAATATAATACTATACTTTTTCAAATTTGAATCATTAAGTGTAACATTTGAATATTCTTGTTTGATTTTATTTGTTAGAATTTATTAAATACAAACTTGTTCAAGATAAGTACAAGGTTTTTACTCAATTTCACAATTAAGTTTAAATCGAGCCAATAGATTTGATTGATTGATTACCATTGAATTAAAAAAAGTTTCAGAAAATACATGAAAAGTTCTCATTCTTAATTTTGAATTTATATTTGAATTAAATGTTGAAACCATAAATTAAATTAAAGAATTTTAGTTAAATTTTAGTTAAATATAAATAATTTTAAAAGAAAAATTCATTTTCATCAAAAATATAAATAGGTTTGAAGTATCTTGAGACAAAACTATTGAATTAAGATTTTAAATTTGAAAATAAAAATCTACAAATGTTATATGAAACAAATTTAATTTACATTTAAACTCAAAATACATTAGGTTTGAAATATCTTTGATATTTTATTTAAATTTAAATGTCATTTTCAAATTAAAAATGATATGAGAAAATGATTAAAAAAAACACGAAACAAATTAACGAACATGAAAACTAGGTATAATAGATTTATGCATGAAATTTATGTATCATGAAACTAGATTCAGATATGGTTTTGTTTGATTGAACATTGTACAATGTTAAAGCATTGATTGATTTTGTGTATGCTGAACAAAATTTGTATGAAAAAAATACATAATGAAAAATGTACTTATCCATAGAAATGAATGCATAAGTTAGAGACCTACATTTCAGAAGTGTGGCGTAGTTGGCAAAGTAAGCTAACTATATAATTGAATATACAATTTGATGTGATGGATTTGTTATTGATATGTGTATATTGCATTAAGGTAAAGAAAATTCTTTTATTTATGGTGGCAGTTAAGATGCTCTAAATACAGTTTTGAAGCAGGTGATGGAATATCATTTTTTTCGTACAGGTTGTATTCGATTAAATGTCAAGCCTATCAACATTGATGATAGATAGATATTGTTGATTTTTTTTATCAAAATGATTTTTTTTAGAGAGTTTTTCTAAACTTTGTACTACAGTTCATGTTCTAAACTACGGATATAGTTAATTAAACTAGCAATGATGCTATCTCTATATAAGATTTCATTTTATCATGTTTTTCATCAGCAAATGAAAACTAGTTTAGAGGCGCGATACATGCTGAATTATCACTTAAACAATTTTAAAGTATTCATATAGGTTTCAGAGATCAATATTATACTTGTTATCCTCACTTGTTTTAAAAAATCCTACAGAATGATGTATCAAGTGCTTTTATTTTGCATATAAGTATCAGTTGAATTTAAAATTATCAACAATTTGTTGGGTCACAACACATGAGAAAGAAATTTCTCTTTTGTTTAAAACTTCAAATATCATATAATGAAAGATATCAAGCTCAACATGAAACTAGTGTGTGTTGTAAAAAAATAATTTAACTTCAGTTTTAAGTTTTATGAAAGGAGTTCCATGAGAAACTTCATACATGTCAACGCATCGATATGCAAGACTTAATGAAATCTTGAATGACATGTTTAAATAGGGAAAGAGAAAATATCTCATAGTTCAAAACCGCACCCTCACGCCCTCAGTATTAAGGTCATAAACATTGGCAAATTGCCATTTGATAAACACAAGGGAGAAAGATATAGAAAGAGAAAATTCTAAATAAAAATACATTCATATCAACTTTCATGTACGAATCATGTGATTTAAGACAGAATATAACTTGCATAAAGAGAACAAACAGTTTGTAACCTAGGGACTTCAGGCCTGGAGCTAGAGAAGTGAGTCCGTCCAAGATGGCTCTGTTATATCAAAGTACGATCTTAGAAAACAACGGCAGTTAGGCCTTCAACTTCAATATTTCAATATATAACTTAAAGTCTGAAATATTTCAAGACAAAAGGATTCCAAGGAAGTAGAAAGCGGAAGAATTGAGCGATGGAGAGAAGTCGTTGAGAATTCTCCTGCAATGTCCACCATCAGGGGAATAGGTTAATTGATCAGGACTTCATTTGCATTCTGTTCTCATTTGGCTGACACCAGAGTGCACCGGTTTTTTGTGAATTGGAGAAGTGGGAGTTTCACTTACAGGAAGTCAAACTTCCGAAGTCTTAACATCAGAGCTTTTCCCGAGTCTCGCAGTAAAAGAGCATCAGAATGCAGAAAGCATTTGAGAATTGTCTCGACAGATAAATGGCCCGCCGCTTTCATCTATGTCAAGGTAAACGAAATAAGCATCTTGTAGCTCGAAACACAAGCTCCTTCATGGCCATTTAAACTGGAGGGGACTCGTCGATAGCAAAGAAGATGGGAATACTGATCAAGCTGTTTCCTTTGAACATGTGGAATATTAGCAATGTTCTCCTTGGAACAACCTTAGACATAGTCACTTAGAAACGAGAAAATGAAGAAGAAAATACAGAAGGAGAAACCCTGAGCCGAAGCGGAATGCAAAAGTAAAATTTTTACTCTTCTGGTGGAGCATTACGCGGGTATCATGGGCTTTGCAATTGGAAGTGGCAGGTATGCTTGAAGTCCACAAATTATTTGTTGGTAATTTTCTTAAACTCCTATTATATCCATGTCGAAACTGTGAACTTCTATCTGGTTATTAATACTCTGGAAACTGATGATTTAATGGGAATTTTATACAAAATCCTCGTTTAACCAAGGACATGTTTTATATCACAATCTGTTGGTTTTGATATCTTACAAGATAAAAGTAAACAGAAGACTGTCTCATGTTTGTTATCAAACTGTTTACTGATAGAAAAAACTATCTGAATATACCTATTTGGTTTTCGTTACTTGCAACTTACTGACCTAACCTTTTCGTTCCGCCTTAGCGAGCTTCACTGTGGCTCAACATACTCAAATTTATCTTACTCCAGCAACGATCTTCGTCGGCGTGAAAACGCGTTCATATAGAGCAGTGGCATGAAGATCCGAGAATGCCAACGGAAAAGTATGTGCTCTGAGCCCTCCGAGTGTCTGACTATGATCTGATATCAGTACTTAAAGTTTGTCTTACAACACTTGTATATCCAACACACTTCTCCAGCAAGTGATAAATTTTCTGACCAACTATATAGAACACGCCTTCTCAGATCTAGAACGAATCGTAGGAGATAAAGAAATGAAGCAGCAATATGAATCGGACGAATATGTCACTTCTCTTGGCAAGCAAACAAAACCATGAAATTCTGTTCATAGTTTTGTTCACAGAAATGAATTGGAGCATGGCTTTCCTGACATTCGGGAAGAAATCAACGGATCATCGAGGACGGGAGGATCTGATTTGGCTACTTACTCGCACTGGTTAGCGAATCGCACTCCAATGACATAACGGTCGGAAGGCCAAAAACCAACCAGCCCAGAGAAGGGAGTCGGTCAAGGGGAACTACGAAACCAAACCGACGGCGCATCAGAGAGGCCTGGCGGACGTGGACTCTCAGAGCTCGACGACCATCTCCTGTAATGAGTTCTGACGATCGATGAAATCTAGGAAGCTGTGGCCATGAGGGCAAGCAAGCCCTGGCCCGAGCGACTGTCGAGCTTCTGAGAACATGCCCCAACTTCACTTGGCGTTCGGTTCTCGCCGGGCAGAAGAAGCCAGAGTGGACTCGAATGGAGGAGGAGGAGGATCAGATCCTGTAGGCCCGGACTGCTCTTGCTTTCATGAGCTCTCCTCTGCTCTGCTACGTTTTCCTTTCTCATTCGAAACATGCTGATCGATCGGAGCAGGAGCAGGTCCCGGTAGCACTCGTAGAATTCCGTGGAGACCCAGCGACCGATCGATCAGTCGAAGAGCATGTTCATGCATGATACTGTCGCAACGGAGGACGCTGTCCAGATGAAGGCGAATGGGTGCACGTACACCCCTTCCCACCCCACCATTCAGTGACACCCGAAGTTCTCAGAATTCCTCCGCCCGCTGCTGCTACTGCTGGCCAAATTCTCCCTGCATGGATGGCAACTCACGTCTCTGGACAAGAATCGAATATGTGAGAGCGACGAGCTCATGGCGATGTCGACGACGGGCAACGAGTACGTGGTTTTGGCTTCGACTTATGGAATGAGCTCGGAGCCTTGAGCCTTGAGCCTCGGCCCTTGGGCTACTCCCTCTGTCTCCCTCTGACAGTGGTCCCTACATTTGCGCAGAACAGCTTCGATTGCACTCTTACGGGGTGGAATGCAGAACTGAATACGAGCTGTTTATGTCCAGAGAGATTGGCTGCTATGCGAAGATGCACTCTAGCAGTTGCTGTGTAGCAGAAAGATGACGAGCATGTGAGGAGGAGAGGAGAAAGATTCGACATAGAAGCAGGAGGAGGAGCAGCAGCAGCAGCAGCAGCAGCAGCGGAGGATGGAGGAGAACGTCAGGAGCCTCGTCGTCGGCAAGAATGAGGAGGACGAGGAGGAGGAGGAGGAGGAGGAGGAGAAGAAGAAGAAGAAGAAGAAGAGGGACGTGGTGAACGAGAACTGTCTCGAAGGAAAACAGGCGACGGCGACCATTGCTGCGGTACTGCCATGCGGTACGAAGGTCAAGTCGGAGCCTCCGGAGGACGATTGTCGCGAACGAGGTTTACCTCGAGTGGCAGTCGATGGAGCGGAGGGGAGGGCTGCGGAAGCGGAGGACGTGAAAATCAAGCCTCCAGGTCCAGAGGATCGGGTCTCGAGCAAGGTTCAGGATGCGATTCCTCCCTGCGTCGACGGCGTCGGCAGCAGCAGCAACAACATCGACAGCTCCATCAACGTCGTCCACAAAGAGGAGCTCGAGAACATCGAGCTGAACAGCTTGGGCGAGTCTTCGCTCGCCAAGCTCAAGAGGAGGATCCGCCTCCGGTTACTGGCAGAAGAAGCCCGGAACTCCATCGCCAGAAAGGCCGAGCTCGCCGCCGTGGAGGACGCGATTTCCATCCCGAGCTCGAGAATTACCACGCGAACTCGCTCGTCCGAGCTCTCCTCCCGAGCGCCCAACAACAACTATCCGCACGATGAGAAACCGGTGATCGCCCCCGCACCCGCACCCGCACTTCCATTAAAATCACGAAATCGCATCGTCAACCTCTCCAGCGAGTCCGAAGATGAAAATCCCATCCCACGCAAAACCGAATCAGAGCCTTCTCAGCTCGTCGTCGAGAAAGATCATCCCCCAGCAGCAGCATCGGCAGAAAACTCCTACTTCGAAGCACTGCAGAGGCTGTTGGGGCCGCTGCTTTCTGCGGTCGGTCCGACGGACTCGTCGACCTCGATGTCAGCAGCCGAGGCAGCTGCTGCACGCAAGCCCGGTCGACCTGCCAGGAGATCTCCTCGAGGTTCCAAGGCAACGGAGTCCGTGTCGTCGCTGGTGAACATTCTGAAGAAGAGATCAGCAGCAGCAGCAGCAGCAGCAGCTGGAGACGAGGGGCGTCCGAAGAGGAGCAACCGCAGGTCGAAGCCGAGGGAGAGGGAGAGGGAGAGGAGAGAGGCCAGCGGGACGCAGGACTCGGCTCTCGAGTACGAGCAGGAACGCGCGGACAACATTCGGCGGAACAAGGAGTTCCTGGCGCAGCTGGGGCTGTCGTCGACGCTGCACAGCATGAGCGCCAAGAGGAAGAGCAAACGGGGCCGGCTCGCAGGGTCCAAGAGCCAGGCTGCTGCCGCCGCCGCAGCTGCCGAAGAGCTGTACGAGAACTCCAAACATCACAATGTCGAGGAGATAATGCTGCAGCTCTGCGCTCTGAGAGCTGCTGCTGCTGCCGCTCAAGCTCAAGCCCAAGCCCAATCCCAAGCTCTGGGAACCAAAAGGCCCCGACTCTTCGACCCCAGTGACAACGAAGGCGATGAAGATGACGATGAGTACGTCGAGGACGACGACGATGAAGATGAAGATGAAGATGGAGAAGAAGAAGAAGAAGAAGACGAAGAAGATGAAGAAGGCCATGGAGAAGGAGATGGAGATGGAGAATCTGAGACAGCTGCAGTGCACGCGAGTGCAGGTAGAAGACCGAAGAAAAATCCGCAGTCGAGGAAACGAACATCGAGGGACAGAAATCTTCGGAACGAGAAGCAGAAGAAGCAGAAGAATTCGAAAAGCAAGAAGAGCACGAAGAGCTCGTCCAAGGCGACGTCAAGCAGCAGCGAGATGTCGAGAGGAGGTTTGAAGAGCAGTAAAGACACGACGACGATCGCTGTCGGCAAGAGTAATAATCCTCGAGCCGGAAGGCGCACAACGATTCCGTCTGCTGTTCTGCACGGCTTGACCTCGAGCAACCAGGAGCTGATCAGATTCGTGTCGGAACTCATGTCCTCGGCTTCCCACTTCCTACCTCCTACATTGCTCGACACCAATGCCTCCCCCGCCGCTGCTGCTGCTGCTGCTGCTGGCCACGATGATTCAGTCCGATCGGCCCGACGAGACGACGATTCGGATCGGGAAAACTACAACACATCGCACGACGACGATGACGACGACGACGACGACGACGATAGCCCTCGGGGATTGGGAGGGGACTCGGGCAGGAAGCGCAAAGACACATGGCTCACCATGATTCCGTTCGAGACTCCCAAGACAGAGTACGAGCTGGAGAGGGACGAGATTCTTCGGCGGCACAAGCATCAATTCGAGCGCCTGGGAATCGTGTCCGAGCTGATCGAGGAGCCTCAGCCGCCTCGCGCCATCAGGCCTTACTGCAGGCGCTGGGCATCCGAGCCCGACCCGGCGTACCAGAGGAACACGAGGTTCCAGGACCGCCAGCGGAGGACGTCGATGCAGCCCGACCGCGACGCAACATCAGCAGCAGCAGCAGCGATGGACACCCGAGCCCCGATCGAGGCGTACAGCACCTCGAGCGCTCCGTCCTCGGTCGCCAAATTCACCGGCGGCTGCAAACTCCAGACCAGCCATGGCGCCTCGGGCGAGACGGCCAAACTGGAGGCCACCGACACGGAGGTCTCGGGATTCCAGCCTCTGGACGGAACGTGGCTCGACCCCGATCTCAATCGCATCTACACCATGGACCTCGCTCCCATCTGCGCCTCGTCGCCGAAGACGGGCCTGCTCGCCGCCGGTGGCAGCCAGGGCCGACTCGCAGTCTTCGCAGTGTCGGATGCCGACTCCGAGTCTGCGTCCAGAGCGCCTCTGCTCTCGTGGGCCGTCGACAGCAGCTGGGTCTCGCAAGTGGTCTTCGTGTCGAACCAATTCCAGGTACGAATCGTGCCCTCGACATCGTCCAGTCGTGATTGATTGATTGTTGTCACTCGTGGGAATCCAATGCAGTCGCTCTCGTTGAAGGATTCGGAGTTCTGCTGCTGGCGACTGAATTGAAGCTCGGTGCTGGACTTTTGTTGTGAGGCCACAGGAGCACGGAACTCTTCTGCTGTCGAGCTCGAACGACGGCCGCGTCGTCCTGTGGGACATCAACAAGCAGCGCGTCCGAATCGGAGCTCGTGGATTCGGGGCCCTCGCTCGCGAGGCCATTCCCGTGGTGGTCTGCGAGAGCTCCGAGCTCCACAGCGGTGGCATTTTCGGCATGCATGAATTCCGAGGCTCCATTGCCACTTCCAGCGACGGCTGCGTCGCCATCTCCATTCTCCGCGAGACGGGCATCACGGTGGACAGGTTCATAGCTGGTCACCATGCTGGAGTCATACGAAGTGTCAGATTCAGGTCTGAATTCTTCCCATCCATATCTCTCTCTCTCTCTGAGAATGAATGTCAGAGCAATTCTGATTTTCTGACATTTTTTGTCGATGGTGGTGGCGGCGGAAAATTTCATGGCCACAGAGAGCAGAACGTGCTGGCCGACTGCGGAGTCGATACGGTCATAGGCATTCTGGATTTGCGAGCTGCGGATCCGTGCACGCTGAGGATTCAGACCACGCACAAAACGGGGATAAGCATGGTCGAGTGGAGCCCCGTGAGCGTGGACTCGAATCTGGTGCTATCGGCGAGCAACGATCCGCAGCTGTACGTGCACGACATTCGCTATGGCGCCAAGGCCATGCTGCAGCTGGAAGGCCATGTGCACCCGCGACGAGTCAAGTGCTATAGCATCTACCGACCGACGTTCGTGGCCGGAGGCGATGCCATCGTCACTCCGGGCGAAGGCACACACCAGCTCTCTCTCTACTCCGTCACCACGGGCTCTGCCGTCAAGAAGCTTCACGTCGGCTACGATCCCAACATCTTGCTCTGGAGTAGCGCCATTCCGTCCCAAGGCGGCGTGTGGGCTGGCAGTCGAGGCATCACCAAGTTTCAAGCCCTGTGGCAGCAGCGCCCTTCCTGCCAAGTCCAATCATGATTGTCAACGACGGTGTCGACAACCGTGACGCATGGTTTCCTTCTTGCCTCATAGCTGCACTCCAGAACCTGACTATCTCTCTCTGTCTCTCACTCTCTCTGTAACTTATGCTCGTCCGAGAAATGTCATGTCATGTCACGGCTAATCCTCGCAGCCTCGGCAAATCTCTTGAGCTGCTGGACGTGTAGCAATAGAATGAGCAGAAAATAAGCTCAGCAGGACAGGTTTCCAGCAATTTAGCCGACTGGTTTCGTTTCACCGGGAATGAGCTCCTCCTCGACGATTGCAGTGTCGGGAAACTTCGAGCCAACAATCAAAGCCCGTTCTTACGGGGGACAGTGTATGGAGCGATATGATCAATTCATGTCTTTGAACCAGTTGATAGTTTCAGAGTTTATAGTCCGCTCTCCCTGGTGTGTGTGTTCATTACGTTCACATCCATGGACAGATTACCACAGCAAGGTGATTTATCTCGCCGAGGTCAGGGGCTGAGGATGTCCGTCCTCAGGTGTAGTTGCCACCAGGTCTTGCCTTCCTTGCGCCCTACAGGGGCATGGAAGTGTCAGAAAGGTGAAAAGGAGGTGCTTGCCTCTACTGCCATCGTTGCTGTTCGGTCTGCCTCCACTTTATCCAACAAGTCCTGACGACGGATCGAACAGATGTCTGTGAAGGTCAAGCCTGAAGACCTCGATAGTACGGTCGGCAGTCGTTCAGGACAGCGCGCTTACACGGAACACGTGCATACGAACAGTTGACATGCCTAAAGTGCAGGGCAGCGCATCGTGTTCTATTATCCGATGTTTTATTACCTCGGCACAATTGCATCGATACCTTCGCATGTTTCGATGCAGAGAGTTGGCATTACGCAGATCACGATTCAAACAAGACGGCGGAGAAGGATCTCCAGCTACGATGCCGTGGACGGCTCGTATAAAAATTCATGTAAAATCACCAAACACAACTGGGTAGGCACAACCTGCCTTTGTATGTATGTACGTCGCCATGATTGTGTGGCACCCGCATTTTTATAATACATACCGGAGAATTTTGCATCTCCAGATTTTCTTTACATGTCATATACTTGGAGTTCCTGCCCTTCCCCCTCCTCCTCTGTGGTCCAGAAGCTGCTTCGCTCGCTCCGGCTCTTTTCCGCTGCTGCTGCTGCTGCTGTGCTGCATTCTTCGCTCTGATTCTCGTGAAGCTCCGCGAAAGGACACGCTCGTATTTTGATCTCATCACGCTGCCCGAACTATACAAAGACTGGTGTTTACAATGAATCTGTCTCAGCACCGGTGGAGGTAAAAACCATCGAAAAAACTTGCTCTACTCTCTCTCTCTCTCTCTTCGTGCTTACAGTACAAGTACAAAACAATAATCTGGCACTAACTCGGGACTCGTTCGGCTGAGGTTTCTTCGTAGAAATCCATGGCCTCGCCGGCCAGGTAATCTTCGTCCCGGAATCGAGACAGGAACTGAGCGAGCCTGTATACGTCTCGGAAGGTGGACATGGGGCCCAACGACACACAGACCAAACCGGGCTGCTCCACGGAGCTGCTGCTCTTGCGCATGGGGTCGAACACGCTGATGTCCTTCACGCGCTCGGAAGCTTTGAGCAAGAGGTTCATGAGCCCAGGGCTACTCTGCGAGCCGGCTCCGAGGATGATGTTGTTCTTGAGAGCCAGGCTCTGCACCAGCTGCGCGGGGATCGGGCTCTGCGTCGAGTCCAGCACATTGAAGGCGACGATGCTTCCTCGGGTTTTGGTGCTCAGAGGGCCGTAGACTTGCGTGAGAGGCGGCCCGGGCTCGCCCTGATGCTTGAGAGACAGCAGCATTTGCAGCAACCACGCAGCCAGCGATCGCACCCTCTTCTGCACGGCCTCGTGGCCCACGACGTCCAGATGTCTGAGGCCGATGTGCACGGCGGCGAACGACAGCGGGCTGAGCACATTGTCGTCGTCGACGATCACGCAGTCCCTCTCCTGGTGCCCCGAGGACGACGGAGTGGCCGGGACGAACTTCACCTTCTTGTCCATCTGCACCTTGAAATCCTCTTTGCGCACGAGCACGAATGCCATTCCCGACGGGTAGCCCAAGAGGTGCATGATCGATCCCAGGACGAGCTCCGGCTGGTACAGGGACAAGTCCAAGTCGCCCGTCGGCAGAAAGGTCGAGGTGTCGAGCAGAACCTGCCAGCCATTCTGTTGCGCTTCGGCCACCCAGTTGATGGAATGCAGCACCCCCGATGCGCACGATTGCGCCGGGTACACGAACAGCCCTCCGTTGCTCTGGTGTCGAGCGTGCCTGTGCAGCACCTTGCGCAGCTCTTGAGAGTGCAGCGAGAAATCGGATTCTCCCAGGGGTGCCAGAGCTGGTTTGGCGCCTTTCTCCAGCGCTGGCGCCATCAGCCTCTTGACCGCCTCGTGATTGTCTTGGCACAGCAGCAGCGGCGTGTTCTTCTGGAATGGATAAGCTTCTCCCACCATGGCAAATGCTGATGCGAGTCCCGTGGTGAAAACGATGGAATACGTGGCTCGGTCCGTGTTGAAGAGCTGCAGGATGGAGTCGTGCGCATCTCCCACGTGGTTCGACAGATGCGGAAATGCGTCGGCCTCGGCCGTGCCCAGGCAGGGCCCTTCTTCCATGAGCAGCCTCGTGTGCTCTTCGACCTGCAGCCAGCAGCCAGCAGCCAAACCATCAGCGGGTGAGATCGCCCTCGAGCACCTCTCGAGCACCGACAGGCCAATAATCTCTGCTGCGAAATGAACGACAAGAATTTCATCGAGTTCTTCTGAATTCCTTTCCTCTAGCCCCCTCTCGATCGGGCGGCTGTCAAATGCCAGTGATCAACATTGGGGGAGAAACTCTGCAAAGGCAAATCAAACAACCATTCACAGCATTCACAGGTTTGCATGGATCGAAGGGAAGGGAAGGGAAGGGAAGGAGAGATAATGGCCAGGACACAGCAGATGGTGCAGCAGAGCGTGAATTCCCTCCCTCTGATTACTCGGCAGGGGAGTTTGATTTTACCTGGAAAGCTGAGTAGAGCCCGCATTTGGCGTAGTCGAGGTACACCAATCGCTGGGATTCGAGCTTCGGATACTGCTCTTTTCTGATCAGGTCGACGGAGAGATGATCGAAATACTCCTCGTACTCGCCGAGAAATTCCTCTTCCGCATCGTCGTAGTCCGCCAAAACAGCTGAGCCGATGTTGATGTCGTTTTCCAGGACGGACGAGGATGCGAGCACGCTTCGTCTGCTGGTGGTCTCCTCTGCGCCGTAGCTGTCGCCCGACACACTCTCCTCCCGCGAGCTCGGCTGCTTCTGTAGGCTGAGCAGACCCAGTTGGCTGCGATGGCTGTGATGATTGTCGCCGATCGGCCGGGGCACTTTGGCCAGCTGCTGCGGCTGCTCGCCGACGGGCTCCAGCGGGAACAAGGACTCAGCGAACGACCTCGGCGTATCGCCATCGTCCACCTCCTCTTCATCCTTCCACGACGAAGTGGAATGGCGGCCCGACTCCGAGTTCGTCACCTCGCCCTCGCCCGCCGAGGCCACATCGTCCTTTTGCATTTTGCCATATGCGAAGCTTCTGTCTTTCTGCACCACAGCTCGACATCAGACCCACACCCCACCCTCACACGCTCGCAGCTCCTCAAAAACACATGGGGTCGTCTGCGGTGCTGCACAATTTGAAATTCATCTATCGGAGGGCGGCGGGCCTTTACCTCGAGTTTGCCGCCGCTTGACCTACTACTTCGCAGCCTCGCTGTGAATCTGTTTAACATCGTTTTCACCAAGAAAAAAAAGCACGAAGAAACGTCGTCGAGGTTGGGAACTGTCCCGCCCTGCCCTGGGAATTCTCGTTGACAGATTGGTGATGCGAACTGCCTTCGAAACTATCGATGAGCTGCCTTCGACACTCTGACAAGAAGAAGATAAAAAAAACAAGTGGATAACACACAGCTCTGAGCTCGCTCTCTACAAATGCTCGAACTAGCGAGCGTCGGTCTGTCGGTCAGAGAGTCAGGCAATCAGCCATTCCATCGACCAACGCCCGGCCCTCAAAATTCAATTCGTCCTAAATACAGTACGCGAGCTAAGAATAGACCAAGATACTGGAGATTGCTCTCGGCCTGCAACACTCTTTTCTCCACTTCTGCCAATTTTTCATTCTACCGCTCGTAACAGGATTGAACCGAGCAGCCGACCACAACAGGCTCCACAACAGCGCCGAAGCAGCAGAACAGAACAGAGCAGAGGGAGGGAGGGAGGGAGGGAGGGAAGGGAAGGGAAGGAAGGAAGGAAGGAAGGAAGGAAGCCTCTGGGCGGAGGAGGAGCGAGCGAGAAGGAGAAGGGCGACGAATGATGATTGCTCTTCACTCCAGCAGGAGCGCAGGAGCGTGTGAGTCAGTCTTTCACTAATTCATTCACTAATTCACTGCCTGTAGCTCGAGGGAAATGCATGGGTCCAAAGTCAAGGCGAATCCATTGTCCTCTATCCAGAAAATACATACGCTACAATACAGTAGACTCGGACCCTTTTCCTCCATAGTCCATCTCCGTCTATCGATGTCTCCTATGCCTGCCTCTCGTGCTTCCAGGCCAAGCCACATCCACCCTTCCGCCTCTCCTTTCCACTCGGCAACAATTCCTGGCAATTTCGCCCTCCAGCTTCTTCTGAGTCTTCTCCTCCCTCGTTTTCAACTCGCAATCGACAATCCAGCTGGTTCGTCTCCCTCTCTGCCTTCCTCCCGTAGCTCGCTCTGTAAGTCTGTGACCCGCTGGCGTTCCTGCCCACAGCTCCCTCGCCTTGCCTTGCAGCGCAATTAGGCAGATTGTCCACTGACTGCCAAACACGGTCGCGTGGCTCGAGGACCCGGACCGCTCTGCTGAGCGCACAGCGCAGCTGACGAGCTTTCGATGGCCGCAATGATTCTGTGGGTCCGGCCGCCACATTGCGGTCGCGCCACCTGCGGCGCCATCCCCGAACTCGGCCTGCCTGCCAGTGGAATGAAGCTCTCCCATTGGCTCTGTTCGGATGTGACGATAAAGGACCTGAGGCAGGCGTCGCTTTCTGGAGCCTGCTCGTCGCGGCCCGCGCGCTAGCATTTCTCTAATTCGGCAGCTCTGGAATTCGCCTCTATTTTGGAGGCGTCGCCGAGTCCCGGAGCGGACTGACGGTGGGCCTAATGACGGAGGATCCGGATCGCTGAACCGACAGCTAGACTTGCAGAAGTCAAGACGAAGACAGTACGGCGAAGGAATGGGAAGTCGCGGGTTTGAGTCAAACCGGGGACTCCGATGCCCCGGACTGCCGAGACGCGACACTGGCGTCGGGCGCGACCACAGTCGTTCGCGCCGCGACCGGACGGGATCCGCGTCAACCGCTTTGGACTTCTCTCAATCCTCCCCATTTGGCCCCACATTAGTCTAGGTCGCTGCGACCGCTCATGGATGACAGAGACTCGCTGACGCTGCGCCTGCGACGCTGAGTCCAGTCCTGTCCAGTCCAGGGCTGGGCTGGGCTCGCGCCTTGAGGGCCGAGCTTTCCCGACCGCTGGGGGCGCTTGAACAGCCGGCGCGGGCATATTGGCCCACTTTGACTTCACGCCTAATTCGGAAGTTTCCATTGGCGCATGTTCCAACGAGAGTTGACGTATTTGCCCCTTTTGGTCTGCAGTCGTTGTCATCTCGTCACTCTCAACTTTTGTGCTGAACTGCGTCACTGCTTCACCAGCTTAGTGCGAATCGGTGCTGGATGTGAGTCACGTGATGACTTTTTCTACTTGGCATTAGGTGATTATAAAATCTGATGAGATTATATCCGATGGTACTTATAGGCTTTAATGAAATCTAATAGCATTATAAATACGTGCTGGATGTGAGTTACATCGTGAATTCTTTTGCTTGGCAGTGGATGATGAAATTATATCCGATGATACTTATAAGTTATAATGAACTCTAATAGCATTACTAAAATGTGCTATATGTGAGTTACATCATGAAATTTTATACTCGGAATTAGATGATAAAATATAATTTGATGAACCCTAATAGCATTATCTTTATGGTGGTTTGCAAGATATATTCACCCAAGGAAAATTCAGGAGGAACCTACAGTACTCTACATCTATTTCGTGCCTAGAAATGCCAACTAAGATTCTGGAATGTTAGTTGCGGCGTCTCGTAGAAGATGATCTGATCTGGTAATTAGTGAGATTGACCGGTATCCATATAATCTGGTCGTTAGTAAACTATCCAAAAGTCAAGTTCTTGTGAAATTTGAATGACTGAAAGAGCCGGGAAAAGGCGAGAGGGGTGACAACTGGAAGACACATGCTGAATTGAAGTATCTGAGGAAATTTGTCCAAGTTCATTACCTTTTTTAAGACCTTGACTAATTTGTGTACGTAAGGCATTGCTCAAAGAGCTGAAGATTTGTTTCTGATCTGTATATGAGCTGTTAACAGTTTCTACCACATAAATGTAGAGTTTTAGCATAGAAGAGGTTTGAATGTTATGAAGTGATAAAATATTATCACTATTATGATAAAAAATAATTACTGTGCACAATTCTCCTGTATGGAAAAAGTCCTTGTGTGAATATAAAATAAGAGAAGATAGAAAAACCTATCACTTTTGGCCTATTAATTTTGATTGGATTCAAATATTTAAATAAGATAAAAATACTGAGCCACATGTGTAATGAGCTTCATCGTCAAGAGAGACTATTGTGACATATGCTCGGATTTCCTTGTGGTTGTGATGGAAACCATGTGAGTTTTGATATTGGTTTTTGTATATCGGTGTTATCTTGCTTAGGAAGAAGTACATGTGTTCAATTATTAGACACTTATAGTCAATCGATAAGATAATTTGGACATCCATCATAGCCACATGTGAATTGGAAAAAGAATAATCATTTTCATCACATCACAAGAAAGAACTTGAAGTGTTTGATGTAACGAGATGATGATCAAGAAGTATGAGAGATAAGAATATAAAATAATTAAATACAATGTGTACTTGTTAATTATATGCTTTAGAAGATAAAAGTGAAAAGCATGTTAAAAATCATGGATCTGGTCAAGACTTTGAAGCCAAAACCATCCATCTATATGGAAAGGTAAAAATTTTAGTAGACATCTATGAATGTAATCATAATGCATTTGCAATCTTCACATATGAAACAAATGGATGAGTTTATTGATTATTTTATGTTCTTTGAGATTCTTTAGCAATGATGATCATTGCTAAAGAATCAAAGAGTTTTCAAATAGACTATATGTTACACTGAAATCAATGAGCTTCAAGATGAAAAATTTTGACACAAAATTCCAAAATCACATTGTTTGATGATCTTGTCATTGATCTTCATAATCTTAGAGAGTAGATAAATGATGAAACTAAGAATCATCTCTTGAAGTCATAACCTACATCATATTAGTCATTGTTGTTTGGATTAACTTTGATAATGAGTGTTATCGGCTTAGTTGAGAGTAAATGCATTAGTATTCGCGTCTATGCAAAACTATGTTTTCATCTTGAACATTGATAGTAAATTTTTTATTTGTGTGAATATAGCCAAGTGACAAAGTTTATTATTTTGTGCATGTACAAATGTGTTTTCAGTGATTTTTCATGCTTTTGTGTGAATTCAATACAACAATTGATATCACATCGATAGACACAAAAATTTGATTCTATTTGGATCATTGATTTTTGACAAACAATTTGCATCTGAGCAATTTCAAGAGCTTCCATGATTGTTTGCGTGAAACATTGCGGACATGTACATTTGACGATGATTTGACAAATATTCAAGTATTTCTACATTTACAGTTTGATGAATATTTGAATATCAAAAGTCTTTCATATTTCAAGAGATTAAAGAAAAAGTTTAGCCGATTGCACTCACATTTCGTGCAGTTTTTAGATTTCATTATACTGTTGAATCCAAAAAATCATTGTTAAAATAAAACTACTCCACATTTTTTTCACGCTATGCGGAGTTTGTGTTACAACATATTTGAGGTTTCAAATATAGTTGTATCTGGCATTGTGATGTGTGCAATTTAGGGTTGTGAAAACGAGATGAAAGATTTTAAAATCCAATAATGTTGCTTTTTTGTGGAAAGTGAGTTGAAGATCAAATGAAAGTTTGGATGCACTCTGCTGTTTGAGACTCTTGAGCAACAATTTCATCGCAAAGAGCTGTCAAATAGCATGAATGTGTACTTGAAGTTGATAAATTTTAAGATAAAAGATTTTTACATGAAGATTCATAATCACATCAATGCATTTGATGATCTTGTTATTGATTTGTACAATTATTGAGAGATTCTTACTTATGAAAGTAAATAATTTCATCATTTGAATTCTATATATGTTGTTGCATGTGTTGTATTTCATCATGATAAACAAGTCATTACTAACAACAAGGTTGTAAGCGCTTTGTTAATTCAAGACATAGAATAAAAAATGATGTTGACATCTTCTCCATCTTCTTTCTTTTTGGGGTAAGACAAAAATAGAGATTAAAGTTCAATCATATTTACGAAATGACAAAAATAGTAAATATTTTAGAACCAAAATGAATCTAAGTCTAGTAATAAATCTCTAGAGTGATGGTGGTATGTTAGAATTGTGACAAGACTGATCACATCAAGGACAGTTGTATAAAAATTCAAAGATGTTGATCTTTCATTAGCCAATGTGATTCAAGAATCTACCCAAGGAGTATGACCTACAACACGATGGATTATGATGCTAAAGTTATGTATAGTACAAATATTATTGATGATGTATGAAACTCAATAATGTTTGTTTTTATAACATATGTTATACTAGAGAATATATTTGTATATATTCAATATCAAAAGGTTTAGTCTAATTGCTAATGATGAACCATGTGGAATTGAAGATATTGGATTTGTTAAAATCAAAATGTGCGATGAGTTGAATTTATATTGACTGAAATCATACTTATATTTTATATGAGAAAGAATTTGATATTTTTTAAGTTGTTTGAATACTAAACCCAAAAGATCTTGAACAGATATCTAAAAACAAAATCCTTGAGATGAAAGTATATGATAAGATTTATGTCTATATTTATAAGCATAACAATTTTTCTTTAGTAAAGAGCAAAAGCATTTATAATGAAGTCAAATTTACTAAATCTTAAGCAAAGATATCACATATATGAACATCTAGGCTGAAATACATGAATAATGATTGTTTGTTTCTCTTAGGCGATACAAAATGATTAATTTTCATAAATCTAATTGATTTAGAGTTTTGCAGATATTGTGTTGTGAGCAAACATCATATACAACCCTTGATGTTGAAACTCATAGTTCCAAATATTCATTTGAATATGTACATAATGATGTGTGAGAACTCTAGCTAAAACTCTCACTCTCTAACATATTTATTATTATAAACAATTTATTGATGATTACTCAAGTCTTGTGTGAATTTGGTTACTCACACACAAGTTTTCAACTTTCAAAAGCTTAAAATTTCATGTTAAAGCTCAGACTTGACACGAGGTATATTTACTTATGAATAATGGAGAGGATTATACTCTGAAAAGTTTTGAAGTTACTACAAAGAGTAAAAAATTACTTTTCATACCATCACAATTTATATATTACAACATGATGTTATTTTTGAGATATTCAATTGAACAATATTGGAAAAATTGCGCTGTATATTGAGTTAATATGATTTAACATATGAATTTTGAACTGCAGTTGTCAGTATTGGATAAAAAAAAAATCTTATGCAATCAATTTTTTGACACCATGTTATGCGAGATACAAACATATGGAAAATTTTTGCTTGTATGACTTATATTCTTAGACCTAAGATTAATATAATTAAGTTGGATCATAGATCAACAAATATCTTTTTTAAATATGCTAGTGGTGTGAAGGATATATAGGCTATTATAACATTAGGTTTTGGAAAGAAAATTACTCAAAGATGAAACATAAATTTTAAATACGAGATACCTTGAATATTTTTACTTTTTTTAATGTAGATAACTCAAACATATACATGAAAATAAGATTTTCTTTTCACCATCCAATACATGACATGGC